GTGTGGGTCGCTGTCACGCTAACCTCAAAATTGCCGCCAACAATTTAACAAGCAGACGTTGTGTGAAAAATATGTCAAACAAGTGGGTAAGGACGGTAAAGTAGACGGCGAGAAGCGGGAATATTCTTTTTAAGGAAAATTGCGTTAACACGCACACACGTGCACACCCACACATGGGCTTACGTCCCCATAGTCGAATTTCCAGCATAAAAAGTAGCCAACACACGAACAAACACAAAAATATTCCCGCCACGTTTTGAATTATGCATGTCTGCCATACACACACCATGTGCTCTCTTTCGCTCAGTGTGTCATTTTTTCTCTGTCTTCCACTCGTCCGCTCTTTTTCTCTTGCTCTCTTTCGCTACGATTGTCACCAAAAACCCCTGCTAGGAGTCAGCAGCAACCCAACGCAAAGAAAAATATGCATATTCGCAAATAAAATGATTTACAAAACGAAGAAAAACTTATAAGTGCGCAAGTATCGCATGTTCGACTATAAGATACCTTTTACTGAAACTTAAAATATAACGCAATTTTATTTGATAATGTTATAGTAATATGTAATATGCTGGTTATAGTAATATGTTTTAGGTATTATGTTTTGTACATTTTACTAACATCTTAATATAACCTTCAAACCCTATGAAAATGTCTAACGAACTACACGTCGTCTATTTTGGCTACACTATAGTCTACGACCAACATGCAAATGCGCTCCAGGAGTCCAAACAAAGGCTGGCGGAGACAGCAGCGAGGACAGCGTGTGGCAACAGCCAACAGGAAGGATATATTTGTGTATTATACTCTTATAATAACTAAATTCGCTGCCACCAAAATCACAGGAGCGCATTCATTTTGGAGAACCACTCGCAACCACATTCATACATTCAAGGGGAAATGATGTCACTTTTCCACAAACATATGCGTGTGTGTATGTGTGTGCATGAGTTATGGAAGTGCATCAAATTGAAAAGATTTTCAGTGTTTGGGCGAAAAGTGGCTACTCATTTTGAGGCCAATTAAGTCAACGCATTATCCAGAGCACAGCGAGAGCTGAGCATCCATTAGGATTAAACGTGCTTAGTACAAAAATAAGGAGAAGCTAATGGAACTGAAAAAAGCATCCAAAAAATATACATTTTTAAATATGTGCTGGATTTGTATACCAATTAAGCATTGTAAAACTAAGTAAGATTCTTTCAACGACAGCCCGAATGAAATCAGCATATCATGCAAAAAGTACTAATTATCGTGCCAGTCATTAACTCGACATTTCATTAATAATTATTATTATGCGCAGCCCTCCTGTTGTTTGCTTTCTTTTTGCTATTCATCGCATTTCAATCAATATTAAGTGCCAGCTCTCAATGCCCTCAAAGTACAAGTACTACGAATAAAGCTGCTACCAACAGTTATTAATACTTAAAACAAGGAGCACAGAAAATCGCGTGACTCTGGGACGAATTCCAAGTTACTTAGTATAAAACAAAGGGACTGAGGAGGCAGTGACTACATACATCACATATAGAACGAGTGTTTAATATAATTGCTTTATTTTTAATTTTCATTTTAATATGTCGCTGCACACTTGACCTTGGCCTGGCCAGCCAGGGAGGCACCAAAGTTTTGTGGCCTCATAAATTTCATATTGATTTCCTACTGCTTTTCAAAACTGACACAACAAATAATCGTGGCGGAAGGCCCAAGTGTACCATGAACAATGAACAATGAGCTGTGAAACTTTATTGACTCTTTTTACTGTTACAAATTTACTTGATAGCACCCGGTGACTGCAAAGTTTTGGATGCTTTACGATGCTTGCAGTTGCTGTTCTTCTGTTCTTCTTGTTGTTATTTTTATTCTTAACATTTACCAGCCCCATTTCTGCAGTAAAACCCAAGAACAACATAATTTAGCCAAACAACAATAAACTGTTACTCGAGATGTTTTCTAGGGGGAACACTACACATATTCATACATTTAACACAAACATACATATGTACATACATACATACATCCATACATACATACATACATAAGCTAGACATAGGAGAGTCGTAGCGGAAACTGTAACTGAAACTGCTGGGGAAAATGCTGGTAACAAAGTTTTGTTTTTTTGTGTGTTTGACAAAATGTAATAAAGTGCAAACAGTAGCAAAAATAATGTGAACACATAAAAATGCGTCAAGTTTTTATTCGTATCAGCCTCAAAGTCTCGACATCTCAATTTCCTACTCTCCGAGGAGGAGCTGTCGGCTATGGAATGCTTATTGTTTTATATTATTTACCCTTTTGAATTTGGCGTTGAAAGTATTGCTCAACACGAGAGTTTGGCTTATCGCCGGGTGAGAGAAAACTTTGCTGCAGGCACTGTACGAGTTGATTTAATTGGGCAAAGTTTTGAATCAGCTCAAAGGATCTCCAAATCGAATTCTTTTGCCAAATAACTCAAAGTGGCCTAGATAAATAATGCTATGAAAACGACAGCTGTTTGTCCAAATTAACGCCTCAAAATTAATGAGTTGTAAAATCCAGGGACTCTGCCCAAATTATTGTGCCAATACGTTGCTTCGTTAAGTGCAAAACTCGAGACAGTGTTTTCTAACGCCAGACAGTCATTGGCTAATGAAACTCTCGCGACAAATTGTTTGGCCAAAGGCATTTTTCCAACGACTGTTGACGGCTCATTAATGATAGAATGAGAGAAAAGGGGGGAGAGAGAATGAGACAGAAATAGAAAGTGCGAGAAATGAGAGACAAATGCTTTTATGCCAATTGTGCAGCTGATTGCCTTGTGGCAACAACGACCTCGACCTAGTTCCGCTCTTCCAACACATGCCTTTGAGTCGTAAATCGAATGAGGTTCGCTTCTGGATACTTGTCCCTCGCAGTTATGACAAATTGTGCGACTCATTTTGCTTTGCTTTCCCTGACACTTATCACACTTGTCACACTTGAATGCTCCAACAAAGTGGGCGTGGCACTGGCAATCATCGATGCACGCCGCTTGAAGCAAAAATGTTTTGCAGAAATAAAAAAATATTGTAAATCAAATAAAATACGCCAAGCTGATTTCCTTGAATTGCATTTTATTAATTTTTCACTTTGGGTCCCGCAATTTTTATTGATTTATTCAAGGGCAGTCGCTTGTCTCAGGCAATTGCTATTGGCGCTCAGCATTTAGTTAAAATGAATATACAAAAAGTTTTAATATTAAATTTTCAAAAGCGAACAGGATTATTTTTTAGCAAAACTTTAACAGATTATTGTTCATAGAACCTGACAGTTTCGTAGGCAAGAAAAAATTCTAACAGTCGGCCCAACTATGTCTTAATCTATACTTCATCCTCTATTTATAAGCTGTAACTAGTCCAGCTTTATTTGCTAATGTTGACGAGAAATATGCAAATAAATTCTTAGACAAGAAAATAATTATGACTTCAGCGCAAATAAAGTTATATTAGACCAAGTGAAATGTGAACAAAAAATGTTAGCTATAGAGGGAGAATATGGGCAGTGGGCGTAACCATAATATGGTGGCAAACAGTTGCTTTTTAATTAAAAAAGATTTCCCTTCATCAGCTTTGTTAAGTGCAAGCGCGTTGCGTTTATTAAACTTGAGTTACGGCGCACGGCGAATGGCGCACAGTGCGTATGAGGAACATGGAGCGGATGCCATGGAGGAAAGTAAGAGAAAGATAGAAAGCGTGATAGAGAGCAGGGGCGGGGAAAGGAAAGAGCATTTTATTTTGCCTTCTAGTTGATTAAAGTTATTTTAATTGCTTTTTAATGTTAATGGCAAAAGTTGCAGCTGCTGCATAACTTTTATGCACAAATATTTTGATTTCTATACTTATTTACAGAAAGCTATATTCACAATTATGCATTTATATTTATCTGGCTGCATAACAAAATTCAAGTGTTTATAGTTGAATGGATTATGTAAATATTTGTATTTATTATCAACTTTATTGCAAATTTATTAGTTAAAAAAAAGCTTTTCTACCTATCAGATTATTTAGTCAAATTAAATTACGCAACTCGAATTAATGTTAAGTGTTGGCCCCTAGCACACCTAGCAGCGACCTGATCTGCCCGCCAGTTGTCATTTTTTTGCGGATTTGCGCTAAAGCCAAAAAGTTGAATGTCACTAAGTTGCGAGAGGAAAGCCTTTAAGCCATAATTTAATATATTGACACAAAGCTTTTTCGTAAGACGTGTCTTTGGTTGGCATCATAATCCTGAATATTGTGCATTGACAGCTGTCGCTGACGGTCCCCACAACACTCTCACCCTCACTTAAGCGAGGGTAACGAAATTTCTGAACGAATATTGAAAGGAAAAGTAAGTTTTTGGCTTAATGCGCAACTATGAGAAGAAAGTTCGTATTTGCCTTTAGTTCGGAATTGGATAAAAACATATGGTCATACACGTACACTTACAATATGGCTCTAGTTGGGAGTTCTCGATTAGGAGATACCCTGAAACATGTTTATTACATACATATATTTGTACACCTTTTATACTCGATTTACTCAAGGTAGCAATCAGTGGTTTTGGACTCCCACCAAACATGATATGTTGCTTCTAGAGTATTATATCGCCACCCCAGAGCTATAAATCAAGTTAATAACCCAACTTGTATTGCCACAATTTAAATGCAATTGACTTTTTTAGAATACACATATATTCTATGGTACAATAAGATTTTTGTTTTTGGTTTTTGTTTTGTTTTTCCAATAAATTCTGTATACGTGTACACACACACATTCATGCGCGTCTGCTTCGAATTCTATCAACGAGATTGTAATTGCGATTGTATTGTTTTTTTGTGATGATATTTAAATTCGTTTTTTTCCCAATAATAATTAGTTATTGGTGTGGATGTTGAGTAGAGGCATAGCAAGTGGTGTGGTCTGTCGCGAGCTCGAGCCCAGCCGAGGACATTTTTTTTCTCCCGACTAGAACATCTTACTTGTTTTATAATAAAAAATATAAAAGTTAGCCATATTTTAATTTACTGATTTACAAAATTTTGTTCCTTCTGTGTTGGGTTAATGTTTCTGAGAGTGGCACATTTGTATTTTGTGTTGTTCAAATTGCGGTAACAATGTGATTAGCTAAATTTATTGGCAGCTGCGCTTACATCCCAATTTAACTTCTATTAAGGCCCTGTAGTGGCAGTCTTTTTGGTAGGTTGATCATAGTTATCGATGGCCTCGTTGAAGTACGCCAGATTATCGTCCTCTAGAGCACTGTTGACAGTGTACGTTTTCCAGAGGTTGCGAACTTGACTGACACGGCTTTCCACGCCAGGTAATGAAGCGCTTGAGGAGACTCGACTAACCTGGTTGGCCTGGCTGGTAATGTCTGGCAGCGAGTTGGTCTGGCCGATCGGCAAGCTGTCAGCCTCGAGCACAGGCCTTAATTTGCCCTTGGCCAAAGGCTGTGCCGTCAATTCCTTGACCCGATCCGCGTAACGCAGCGTATTAAGCGTATGCTCGACGGAATGCAAGCCTGGCGAGATCATGGCTATCATACATGTTCTAACCTTCTTACCGCCAATAAACGAATCACGCAGCACCTGTGTCAACTTGGAGCCGCGAAAAGGCAGATGTGGTGACTGGCGACCCAACGCCCGTATGCACTCCTTGAGTGCCAGCAACGATTTGTTGATCTCAGCGCCCTCAAGTCGCGTTTGCCGATCAGCGCAGCAATTGTCCGCACCACGCTCATTGCCAGCCAAGTCGATGAGCGAGAATTTTCCACGCAGCCGCTTCTTCTCTCCAATGCGCAACACAATCTGAAACACTGCATGCGAGCGCGATGATTTGGAGTTGGCCGAAGTATGGCCGGAGGTGCGCACACTGTTGCCTAGCTCCAGTAACTTCAGTACATCGTTGGTATTGGCCACGGCCTGTTCGGTAAGTCCCACAACTTGCACTTTCTGCTGGCCATCCTCGAGTACACGTAGCTGCGGCTTACCTGGCATCAGCAGATCGTACACCCTGCTGCCATATAGTTCGAAGAAGCTGCAGCTCACACTTAGACCCAAGCATGCATAGTTGGGCAGCTGCAGGCATGCAAAGACATCGCCGGCAGCCATGGCATAGATGCCATCGCGACAGTTCTGCTGCTTGCCCGTAAATACACCGCCCATAGTGTGCGTCTTGCCACTGCCTGTCTGGCCGTAAGCAAAACAGGTGGCCATGCCACCCTCGAAGATGTGGCGCACCAGCGGACGTGCCGTTCGCTCATAGACTTGGGCATTAGTGCAGTGTTCGTCGAATGTGTAGTCGAAACGAAAGTTGTGGTGCTCCAGAAACTTGGTCAGATTGACCTGTTTGCGCGGTTCATGAACCACAAGCAGCTCCCTATTGGGTACACTAATCACGTCCGGTTCGTACATGGCCAGCTCCCGTCGATTCAGCGGACGTTTGCGCACACACACCATTATCTGATGTTCCTTGGGCGGGCAGCGTGCCAGACTCTCTTGCGGCTGGAAGTTCATTTGCACTCGATGTATACGTATCATGCGTGCGATCTCCCAGTTTGGATTGCCCGGATCCGCGTCCTGAAACGACTGACGCCGCGCACGTGTCTCATCGTGCAGCTGACGGCGTTGCTCGCGTCTCGCCCGCAGGCGCTCAATCTCCACGACAACGTCGTCCCTTGCAGATTCGGGCACTTGGCGCGCCGTCGCAGTGACCACGGCTGACAAGGCGCCATTGCCGGCTGTTAGTCGTGGCACCACAACGCCATTAACGCCCAATGAAAAGTGCTGTGGACGGGCCGGCCGCGGCGGTATAGATGCTAGTATATTGGTATGAGCTGTGGCAGTGTGTATAATTGATGATGCATCGTAGATCTGCGGATTGAGCTTTATTATCGTATTTAGCGGTATCTCCTTGCCGCGTGTTATTACGCCCTCGTTCCATTCCACAGTCACAATTTTATTAGAGCTGCCATCCAATTTGATGATCCCAGCCTGATGAATCCGACCATCGGAGCGACGTATGTACACCTGCTGATTAATGGATAGGACATCCATCGCCGGAATCCTTGTGGCAGTACACCAAAAATTTTGATTCCCAAAACAAAGTTGTTGCCTTTGTCTCTGTGGGTATGTGTGTGTGTGTGTGCAAATAATTATCGAAAAATTCAGCAACTGAAATATGAGGGAAATTTTATTATTGCCTATTTGACAAACCCCGATCCGAAACGTTATATATAGACATAAAATGCAAGTCATGCAATAAAAAACGGGATAGAGAAGTTTTTTGAAATGTTTCGAAAAGCAAAGAGAGAGAGGCGGGGAGGCAGAGTAGCTTAGAGACAGCGAGTGTCAGGATTGAAAAAAATTTTCCATACAACTTAATTTTCGAGCGGTCGTTCCTATGGCAGCTATATGATATAGTGGTCCGATCTTAATAGAATTTTGCATATACATGAGTAGCATAGTAAAACGAATAATTGGTCAAGATATCTTGATAAACAAAAATGTTATTCATACAAGAACCTAGTTTTCGACCGATCGTTCCTATGGCAGTTTATACGATCCAGCCTGTTCCGACATATGTATGTACTGCGTGTGCCAGAAAGAGGGACTTCTGCAAAGTTTGATAAAGATAGCTTTAAAACTGAGAAACTAGTTCGCATAGTAACAGACAGACGGACAGACGGAAATGGCTGTATCGACTCGGCTATTGATACTGATGAAGAATATATATACTTTATGGGGTTGGAGATGTCTCCTTCTATGTCTACACATTTCACGACAAAATTATAATACCCTCTGCAAGCCTATAAAATGTGAATATGACTCTGTGCACCATGATCTTTTACTCCTTAAACTTGAACGTCTAGGTTTCCCTCCGTCTCTTTTCATTTGGATTTTTTTCTTATTTAGAAGGTATGACTCAAAGAGTGAAGCTGAAACTGACTACTTCAAAACAAGTTCACGTTACTTCTGGTGTTGCTCAAGGTAGTCATCTTGGACCTTTACTATTTACTCACTGTTGTGGGCAACGATCGGCCAGTCAACTTAGTTTGTTCAAAGTGTATGTTTATGACCTTCAATCGTACTACACCTTATCTTGCCAGTTATATACCCGACAATACGCCAGTGCAATGTATACTAACAGTTAAGAGCCTAGACATTCTTTTTGATTCTAAGCTCTGCTTCAATCTTCATATATCTGTCATCCTTAATGTGGCCAAAGGTGCACTTGGATTCAAATTGGGACTCCAATCTTCGGTTGACATTCCAATCCAGCAGGATTCTTCTTCTTGATCTATCGTCGTTAACCAACCGTAGGACAATCCTCGGTGTTGTCTTCCTACATAAGTTAATTGTTGGAGACATAGACATAATGGAGACTAATTGTCATAATTTTAAATAAATAAATGAAATGTAAAATATATAAAATTAGATCGGATAAAGCTGAGAAATTTTAGCTATGTTGCTATATGTTCAAAAGGGCAATCTTTTCCCTAATATTTTTATACCCTGAACCCATTAAAAATGGGGTATATTGTATTTGTGCGAAAGCCAAATGTATGTAACAGGCAGAAGGAAGCATCTCCGACCCCATAAAGTATATATATTCTTGATCAGCATCAATAGCCGAGTCGATCTAGCCATGTCCATCTGTCTGTCCGTCCGTCCGACCGTCCGTCCGTATGTATAAACGCAAGGATCTCAGAACCTATAAGAGCTAGAGACTTGAAAATAGATGAAGGTGCTCCTAGCTCCCGCGCAGATCGAGTTTGTTTCCGATAAACGATAACTTACTCCGTTTCCAAGCAATCGATAAAAATCGATAACCATATCCTGTTTTTTGGGCAATTTTGGTAAATAATAACAGCTAGAGTCACCAAACTTGACATATAGCTTCTAAAATAGAATATATATGTGCATTTGATGTTGGAAGAAGAGGGTTTAGGGTATCCCCTAGTCGGGAGCTCCCGACTAGAACCTCTTACTTGTTTTATTATAAACTAGTTTCGACACGTCAATTAGTGGCTCAACTCAGCTTTATTTGACCAACTGCCATAGACCTGCCCCTCAATAAGCTTCTGTCAATATTTCTAACCTCCCCGCTGGCTGAATGGAAGCAAGTGTTAAACATCTTTAGTTGTGGCACACATAGTACCACAGGACCTAGTTCATAGTTTGACAAACATGGCCCTCTTTCCTTTTGGGGGCGGAAACAAAGATGATGTTGCAGCAAAATTTCTATAACCATAGAATGTTTGCACAACACTTATTTTTAGTGAAAAGCCCCTCAGTAACAGAAGCTGATGCAAGAGCTGAACTCCATGGCCCTCCTGCCCCCAGCCAAGGTGCGGGTGCATGCGGTGCATGTGAAAGACGGTGCGAAACTTCGACAGCCAGTCGAGTGCATATTAAACAGAGCTCCGGGCACTTAACGAGTGCCGTTGCGTCTTAAGCAAACATTGAGGTAGACAAAGGCCGAAGGCTGCGGATGCAGCTGCCATGTGGCACCGGCTTACGTGCACCACATATGTCCCACCACCGCATGGCTAATTTCATGAATATTTGTGGCCAAATAGCTTGCTGTCGTGGCTTAGCGACTTTTTCTTGTTTCGATTAGCTGTAAATACCAAATACTTTGCAGTTTTGTGCATTTGACATTGCATCAAATGCCATAAATATTGTACTAACAGCAACAACACTTTGAAATTCTGAGCTGAACAAATGTCAGAAATGCTGTGAATTTAGGCAACAAATCAAATTGCAAAAATAACCCACTGCCAAATCAAATAAAAGCCAAACAAAATCAGATGAAAAAAAGGAAAAGCCGCATTCATGAAAACGCAGTCGAGGCCAACACAATTTCAGCTCAGCCGCAGAAACGGAAGCGGCTGCAAAATGCAAAATGGTTGCCGTCTGAAATTAAATGCAAGCTGCAAGCAAAACTGTTGCATACTTTTGCGCGCTTCTATTAAATTTCCCTGAATTTATACGCAGCAAAGACAGCTTTAAAACATTTTATAATAAAAATTCACTGAAATCAGCCCGTATATTGACAGTTTCCCTTACTAACATTATTTATCTATATATGTATATAAAACAAGGTTTGTCCTGACTGACTTAGTTACTGACTGATTGGTGATCAACAGCCCAACCCGTAAGAGCTAAGAAGCTGAAATTTTCAGGTTAAGGCGGGGTTTTGGAAAATTCCACCCGAATATGTAGAAAATCGCGAAAAACGTTTGTATGCAACATTTTTGTTTACTATCCAATCGGCCCGTTCAAATTTGTTTCCAAACATCTATACGAAAATTCATTTTAGAAATAGAAACTTAAACTTAAAGACTTAAAGATTTTTTGAGAGAAGTTTTAAGTTTGTTCGATTTGCTTCAAAACTCTACACAAGAACTTTATGAAAACGTGTTTCACCCTCAACAGTGGTAAATTGGCGGAAAACGGTTGTATGAAAGTTTTTTGTTTACCGTCCGATCGGTTTCAAAATCATTTTTAAGAATCTCTGAGAGAATTTATTTTATACCTGCCACAGGCAAGGCTGGGCTATACCCGCTAGTAATTAATATATATAATCTTAATTATAGCAAATGTTTAACTTGAACAATATTCTGCATATTATTGTAAAGTTGCATTTATCATCCTGTGTAGCTATGCAAAAAAATATACCCGCTTTCTAGATTTTATATACACTAAAGCATTTCGGATTTATATACGCAGTTGAATTTTATTTATGTAATATGCCTCTAATGTTACGTTAGTCGAGAGCAGAGGCCATTAATTAATGTGAACGACTCTAAACAACATAAGCTCGCGCCTAATCACTTAGGTATTTCTTATACAAACACACACAAATATACTCACACACACAGCGCCTTCCACATTTATTCAGACAGTCGAATATAAAAGTGGCTTGAAACTAAACTCTAACGTACTTGTAACAACATGGGATGTCATTAAAAAATAAGCAAAAGTGCCTCTTAAATTACAACCCATAATTTTCGCATATTAGTTGAGCGGCAACTTGGTATGGGTATTGGAGGCATCATATGCATTCAACATGCAATTGCGTGCCAAAGGGGCAAACGAACCCCAAGCGAGAGCGATGATGACGACGAGGACGACGACGACGAGTACAACAACGAGGACGCGACGGGTGAAGCCTGAAATTAAAACATTATTCATAAGCAGCCCACCAACGTTTGAGAATGGAGATGAGGCCAGCCAAGGATCATATCGCTCTAATGGCATGCTACCCAAGGAACTGCTTGGCTAGCTCTGTAGGTTTACCCCTTCACTTCATAGACCAGTCTGGCTGGGTGGCGTTTTACTGCTTTTAAGTTCTAATGACTCCAATGCGATTCACAAAAGTCTGGTAATTGTAAACTTTACGTGCCACGTTGCTGCAAACCAGAAATGGAATCGCAGTCGGGGTCTGACTAGCTGCCGTATCCCCTTGACATCTCAAGTGTAATCAGAGTCGAAATCGAAATCCGCAGCGCGTTTCTAATGAACTAGTTTCTTTTTGTTTTCGCACACTCCTGAATCGAGTCGAATTTATTGAGCTATAAAGGTGTCAAAATGTCTGCCTCTCGCACTACATAGATTAAATGGCATATTCGTTGATTGTGAATAATTAAGAAAGGGCTTGCGTGTGCTAAGTACGCTCCCAGCTCTCTTTCTATCTCTCTCTACCTCCCTTTTGTCCATCATTACCATAAAAAATCTCATTAGGCCAAATGTATAATATAATGACTTTGCCCTTAGCTTTGCGGGTGCTTTGTTTTTTGGCATGTTTGAGATGGTCTTGCAATTCATTAGGCGTCTACCAGGTGAATCAATAATGAAGATGAAGAGATGTTACAAAAACAAATTAGTTATTACAGGGCTGCAAGCCCAAATATATACTTAAAGCTAGTTTTTTACACACAACAAACGCTGGGTTTCGTTTAAGCCTTTCAAAAATATGATTTAATTTTTTTTTCCAAAATTGCCCATTCTGCTGAAAATATTGCAAGCCGTAAATATTTTCACATAGAAAGTGCGGGCTAAATTAAATCTCATCACAATATTGGCTGCTACCAAATATGGTCAGTTGAATCCAATGGTTTAGGCTCAAACTGTTTCTGCTTTGCGCCGAGTCTCCACCAAAAAACCCTTAATTTTGAACGAAACCGTCTCTAAAAATCTTTTGGTTCAACACCGTTTCGTGGCTTTGATTTAATAGAATATCCCTTTAATGTACAAAGAGTAAAAGAGATCATAGCAAGCATATAATACTAATACTTTTGCTGATATAATTTTGATTCAGTCTCATTCCGTAACGGACCTCCGGGCTATACACATCTAATATTACTCTCTGTTCATAGTTTGTTAGGCAACTTTAAATAATTCTACCAAAATGAGCAACTTGTAAGTATTAATGTAACTTTAACTGGCTTTTGAATGTTCATTTTATCTTGGTTAATCCATTTAGCGTGGTCAACTGGATGAAGTGCCATGGCACCGAAACTCCTTCTTATAATGCACCACGCGTTGAGCTGCTGCGCCCGATGACCTCGGAGCTGCAGAGCCTACAAAAGTTAGCTCAAGCAGCTAGGCGCGAACAGATGAACAGATTGGTTATTCAAGAGAAGGCCAACTATGACGCTGAGCTGAGAAGCACTTTGGGCAAGTCCTTTGTTAAGGATGATGTTTGTGATCGACACCTGTGCAGTGATTGGGGCAGTCACCGTGACAGACGTACCCTTTAATTGAGTTTCAAAACTTTGAAGATGCAATAATAAAAAGAAATGTGGTGCATATACTAGTTTGAAATTATCTGTAGAAAAAGTGGAAATCACTTTTGGATCGGTCGTTCTTCACTAAATGTTTTATATAAATATATATTGTTATACATGTAATATTTATTCCACATAAGCTGGGGTCGCTACAAAAATGGGAGCCTAATAAAAGCAATCGAAAAAAAAAACAACTGGTGCTTGCACTTATGCCGCGCTGCTATTTAGCGGAACGAAATTTTCTTCATTTATCAACGTTAATACATACTAATTGTAACGCCTTGAAATTTCAGCAGCAATCATTAACGCAAATCCACCTCCCTTCTGCCAGTCAATGAGGCGTAACTGCTTTAATTACACACAAATTATTTGGCAATGAGCCTGCACAATTTGGCCAAAGTGAATTGCATTTATTTGCGTAACTCAACGTTCACCTTTCGCATTTAGTGGGCCGATTAATTCTTTACAAAACCATGGCAGTAAAGTGAAACTTATTTATTCGTATAACTTGATGCTACAAATGTCAGCATTAAACAAGAGACTTTGCAAATAGGATAAGGTTCGGTTGGTTGATTGCCTCGGAGTTAGCGGGTTGCTCTGCAAGGGACATGTCTTTCGTTTGATTTGGATGCTTTATAGCTGCTGCTGTCCCAATTTGCACCCTTTTCATGCAATGTGTGAAATGTGGGAAGCATTTGATGCGCCGCCGCCGCCATCACAGCCACTCCCTCTGGCCCTCACGCCCACAAGCTGGCAAGGGTTCCTTCCCATTGTTGTTCGTTGGTCAAATTGTCGTAAATTAGTTTTAACACCTGACTGAGTGGCTTTTCGAGTGGTTGCCGTGTCTCCATTCAAGCTGGACTGTGTGTGTGTGTGTCCATTTGAGTTTTCTCAACAAGTTTCGCCTACCTTGGCAGCCTTTGCTGTCAGCTTGTGGACAGCAAAGATCCGGTGCGAACAACCCTTTTGTGTTTTGTTGTCCCCAGCGCTGACTTTGTCATCTGTTTTGTGGTGTGTGAAATTAATGTAATCGTATTTTAAGCATAAACTATGTAAGAACATTGCTTTTCAATTAAGCTGCATGCCGCACACCTGTCCAGGCAAGGAGCATTTCGCATTAAGTGCCAACTTCTGGAATAACCACTCGAAATGCCATCGAACCAATCAGCAAGTAGCATGGCCAACATTATCTGGCAAGTGCGAGATTTCGGGCTTGTAGGTAAAAGTGGGGATTACCCGCAGCTGATGAGTAGCTTAACCTTGCTGACACTGCTCCGACCATTCCCAATTTAGACAAGCAAATTACGTTTGGTAAAAATCCCATCATAAAAACTGAAAGAAATGCTGCACAAATCCAAATGCTGTAAAAATACAACGCAAACATTTGGGTCACTCCGTTTTTTTTCGCTTTTTCGTTTATTTTATGGCAGCTTTCAAAGTTTTTACTCATTGCCTGATGGCTGGCTGTCCGAGCTGTCCACCTGAACAAGCGAAGCAGCTGCAGCCGCAGTCACAGCCGCAAGGGCCCTCGCCGAGGTGGCAATAAAATAAATGGCAGCACTTTCGATTTTACCCGCACAAACCAACACTGGCTGGGACACAGGGTGCCTCCAAACTAGGGATGGACGCGGGCTAGGTTATGACGACGCTTCCCAACACGAACATGAAACTAACTTTTTTAAACACGCACGAAAACAATTATCCAGGGCACGGCCCATCCCGACACGGTCCAAAATAACTTTATTTATTTTTTGTTTTCTTTACGCTTTTATTTTCTTAATATAAGATTTTAAGCCGAAGTATGCAAAAGATCAACTGGGCTTGAGTGTGAAGCCCGACCGTACTCTTCGTATGCACGGAGGACGCGCGAGAGAAAAACACGGTCCTTGCCCATCTCGACATCAATCCCCCGAAAAAGGCTATTTGGAAAGGCGTGGATGCGATGGCGCATACGCCATATATCAAAAGGCGAAAGAGTAAAGCACATAAACCAGCTTGAGAGAGTGGGGGATACTGTTGAGAGCTGAGCTGAGGTACTTGGAGTGAGATTTGCAGTAGAGTTGGTTAACGGCAAATATTTGCGGTATTTTCACTTGGCCACTGAGTGGTTTATGACTCCTTATGGCGCCTGCAGCCTGCAGTTTGTATTATTGTCCCTGTTGCTGTTGCTGCCAGGTAAATCCAAACACTAAAAGGCACTACTCTTGGGTATTTGCTAGCTTCTCTCGCCTTGAGCTGCTCAGGTGACTGACTGGCACTGCGCTTAAGATTAATGCCCGGCCATGGCGACAGCCACATCCGCAACCGCAGCTCTCCTTCGGCAACTCGATTGTTCAAAATATTGACAATGTAGCCAATGCACGGGAATAAAACATAATATTGAAAGGAGAAACGTAATTTCTAAAAGGATGACGAAAAGCTTTAAAGCAAAGCCAGCGACAACGACAGCGACAACGACGACGAAGGCAACGACAACGGCGACGGCAACATAAAAAATGAATTGCAAAGAAATGAAAGGAAAAGAAAAGAAAAGAAAAGAATAGCTGGGAAAAGCACAGAAAGTTTTCATTTGCCAGGCACTTGGCGCAATACTTACACACATGAGCAAAGTTTCAATGCTGTAAAATATGTGAAAAATGAACGGAAATACCGCAACGACGAGGCGGAAATGGCAAAATACACGTACAAAGATGGCACAAAATGGCCGACGAAAGCCTCAAATCAAAGGAATATGTGAATGTGTGTGCGTCGTGGTGTGATGAAAAAAGGTTTCTGACAAAGCTACTGTCGCATATATGACATGGAAAATGTAAGGCACACACTGTAATTAATGACAGCCAAATTATTGTCGAAATGCGAAAGGATGTGCCCACAGATAACGACAACCTCAGCCTGTTAGGGGATCAAAGATAACACAGGGCTTGTGAATATATGTGAATTAATGCTTTTGTCAAATGCATGAAAACGATGCCATATATACTATATCGAATAATATGAAGGACTCATTAGGAGCGTATGCTTAGCCCAATCCGTTCATGATGTCAGAAGAGACGTCAAGAGATTTGGTATTTTAGTGTTATACGATGTTTGAGCTCGTCAGGTGTCTGCTGCGGGTCAGTTACTATTATGCGCTGCTCGTTGGTGTGCTTAACTTTGAGATTGATTTGCGAACGGGTCGGGCGCACATAACCAGACGGACTTCGATCTATGCTGCTTGCGTGAATGTGATTTGCATTTGTGGCCTCCCCTGGTTGAGTGGAACGCATGTAATTCATTCTTTCTGGACGCAGGCTGAACTACTTCACGACTACATGTTCCTGGTCATGCTTAGTGGGCGTGTCCTTTGTGTGTCTGTGACACTGATCAGCCGTTGGTCCCAGCGCCGGCGATTTGTTCGCCTTGTGAACTCCTTCCAACATCTGACCCAACAGAAGCCTCACGTGATGAGAATGTGGCGACGCGGAGTTATTAGCAAATTTATAAGCGTTATTCTCTCGGATTTTTTGCAAATGGCAGCTAGCTTGCTACTTATTTGGGAGAAGCTTACAATTAAGTTGAGTTTCAGCGTCATGATTTTTTACGCAATCTCAGCGCTTGTCAATATCATTATCTCCCATTATTACTTCGCCCTGCTCAATGTGTACGGTCAATATATCCTGCTCAATAGGGAGCTGCGCGCTGTACTGGCTGAGACCCGCTCTCTAGAGTCCGAGTGCCGGAAGGGTGTGTTTATTATAAAGTGCTGTGCTTTGGCCGATCGGCTAGAGGCCATTGGCAGAAAACAATTTCAGCTGTAAATATTGATCAAGCATTTAACAAACTGCTTTGGACTGCAGACCCTGCTACTGACCATAAGTTATTATATGTCGGGCGTCTCCATGATCTACCTCGGATTTTCCGAGTTGACGGGTGCCATCCGTTTAAACTGGAGCAAATGGGTCTTAGCTCTGCTTGGCTGCGGATTTATATGCTACTTTACAGATATTCACATATCCGTGAATATTATCTACGCTCTTCTGGATGCACATGCTGAGATGGTGAAGCTGCTCTCTCAGCACACTCTTTTTGGCCCGGGCTTAGATGAACGACTGGCGGCTGTTGTAAGAGAATCTCACATGTAATAATCAAATTGGCTTTCAGACTAGACAACTTTTACTTTTTAGTTCGACAGCTTTCAAATACAACTGGCATGGAATCCTGTAAAGTTCTCAGTTCTGGGGCTCTATGACATGGAGAAGTCGAATGCAGTTACTTTGGCCAGCTCAGTAGTAACCAGCTCTCTGGTACTGATACAAAATGATTTAAAAAATGCCCATTTATATTAATTTTAATAAAGAAACCCACATATTTCTTAATATTACTTACGAAGTTGTTTTGTTGCATTCATACATACATTTGTCTTCCGCGATTTTTCAACATTTGCAAATGGAATTTGCTAAAACATATTCATTGCATAAGCTAACTACAATTAAAATGTCTACTTTCCCGCTCTTAGTATTTGTTGTTGCTGTTTTTTTTTTTATCAGCAATCAGTCAGTCAAGACAAATAGTTTATTATATATAGACTTACTTGTGCACTAATTAATCTTCGTTCTGTGTTCCATAAATATTTCAAGTGAAAGTAGTTAGTTGTTCTTGAATGTTGTTCCATTTTGAAATTAGTTATAATTTCTTTGGGGTCATCTTATCAAACAATCTATCAATCGCATCAAATGCTATGTATTTGCAGTTGACAGTCCCACCAATTGAAATTGTTATTTCATTTAGTACTTCGAAATGTTTGACCCCGTAAAGTGGATATTACGCATGGTGTACTTTTATTCGCGGCTTCTTGGCGTAATAAACTTTGAGATTGACATGAAAACCGGTCGGGCGAGCGTCACGAGACGAGCATCGATATATGCAGGTGTGGTTAATGCTTTGACTCTGAGCCTATTACCATTTTTGGGTCTCAGTAATCTGGTGCAAATATGGTCACATGCCGGGCTGCTCCACGAGTATCTCTTCCTAGTCATCTATGTGACGCGAGTCGGCTGCCTTGTGATAACGTTATGCAGTCGCTGGTGGCAGCGCGGTCGGCTCATTCACCTGGTGAACGCCTTTAGTCGCTTGGCATTTCGGAGACCACAAGTTATGAGAATGTGGCGTCGCAGAGTTGTTTTAAAATTTATGAGCATTTTCTTATCGGAGATCTCTCAAGTAGCAATAAGCTTTTATCCGATCCGAACATACCTGACTCTTAAGTTGACCTTTATCATTCTTATGTTGTATGCAATGACAGCCCTGGTAAATGTGATAATCTCGCATTTTTACTTTATAAATGTGAATGTGCATAGCTATTACATCCTGCTCAACCAGGAGATACAGGCAGTGCTCAGCGAGATACGTTCCCTGGATGGTGAACATCGAAGGGCTACTCGCATGATTAAATGCTGCTTTCTAGCCGACCAGCTGGAGGACATAGCCAGGACGCAGTCTGAATTGCAAACGCTTCTACAACGTTCAACCCGTATTTTTGACATTCAGGGTCTCTGTATAACCGTCATTATGTACCTTTCCATGATTACTACCATATACTTTACCTTTGTCGGCCTCACATTGACAAACCGTGCCTTAAGCTGGAGCTTCTCAAACGTACTATTCTTGTTTGAAGTCACCTTCTACTTTGCGGATATTCTGGTCACCATGGACAACCTATACATTGTCCTAGATGTCCATGCGGAAATGGTAACCCTGCTGGCGCAGTTTTCAACGCTTGCTCCGGGCTTAGATGAGCGTTTGGAGATGGTCGTAAGTACAGTTAATAGAATTTCGAATTAGTTGATTTAATAGGTTTTTTTTCAGTACGAGAGTTTCCAGCTTCAGCTTGCGCGGAACCCCTTACAGGTGTGCCTCTTTCATCTCTATAAAGTAGAGCGAGCAAAAGCTGTTGCTATAGCCAGCTCAATAGTAAGCAACTCTCTGGTGTTGGTTCAATACGAAGTGCAAAATACATAGTTGAAATATGTTTATTTTGTTGTAATACTATCGAACTTGTATATATACTATTTTGTTACCAGCATTCATTTGTTAGTTATACTTGGAATATTCCCAAACTGATTAACGTAGATTCGGTAAGTTTTGCTGAAGCAATATTTATTTCCATGAATTTCTCTATTATATTACTTCACAAATGGTTGAATATCAATATCTACTTTGGGGACCTGGAATACCTATACTAATTAATATATTGCCCGCTATAGAACTGCGCTTGACCAATGCCGCCTATTGACTGGTTCACATGTTTAGTTATTTATTATAAGCATTCCATTTCGTAATTAGCTTTAATTTCATTGGGTATGTCATATCAGACTATCCGGGCAATCGCAACAAATGCAATGCATTTTAATTAGACCGTCCTGACAATGGGAGTTGAAGCTCTGTTTAGTTCTACAATTTGTTTGGTATACATTTACTCGAGACTTTGTAGCGTCATAAAGCTTGAGATCGGTGTTAAAACAGTTCGAACCCAAATTGCGAGACACGCATCGATCTATGTAGCGCTGGTACATAAGCTTTTCCTTACTGGGCCAAAGCCAGCTGATGTACACATTGTGTTCACGTACCGGCCCCCTCCACGAGTATCTGACCCTAATCACTCATAGCAGCCGAGTAATATGCGCCACCGGCTCATTCATCTAGTAAACGCTTTTCGTAAATTGGCCAATAGAAATCAACAAAGTGACGGGATGTTATTATACCCTGAACCCATTAAAAATGGGTATAAGGGTATATTGTATTTGTGCAAAATCCAAATGTTTGTAACAGGCAGAAGGAAGCATCTCCGACACCATAAAGTATATATATTCTTGATCAGCATCAATAGCGGAGTCGATCTAGCCATGTCCGTCTGTCGGTCCGTCCGTCCGTCCATCCGTATGTATGAACGCAAGGATCTCAGAACCTATAAGAGCTTGAAATTTTAGATGTAGATGCTCCTAGTTCCCGCGCAGATCGAGTTTGTTTCAGATAATCGATAACTTGCTCCGTTTCCAAGCAATCGATAAAAGTCGATATCGAATCCTGTTTTTTGGGCAATTTTGGTAAATAACAAGAGCTAGAGTCACCAAACTTGACATATAGCTTCTAAAATAGAATATATATATATTCGTTTGATGTTGGATGAAGAGGGTTCAGGGTATCCCCTAGTCGGGAGCTCCCGACTAGAACCTCTTACTTGTTTTTAATTTATAAGCTTTCTGAGTTTTACATTCTGCTCGACCCGAAAATTCGGAAAGTGCTGGTTGAATCTATTAAAACTATCTCCTTTATCCCCACAATGTGAACCGAGCTAATGTTTCATATAGGGCCCGCTCCATAGTTACTAATTCGCTGGTTATTGTTCAATATGATATACAGTATTCTTAAATATTTGCAACCCAGAGCGTCGACATATATGCATATGCTTCTTATCATTTGTGTTTTGCGAAATATCTTCACCCAACACAGTTTACGAACTTCACTATTCTATTCATACATACATATGTAAGACAGCTGCTTGAAAGAGTGCTGATTATAGCCATTCTTTTTATACCCTGAACCCACTGAAAATGACTAAAAAAAGGTACTTATAATGTATTTGTGTAAATATATGTAACAGGAAATATCTCCGACCCCATAAAGTATATATATTCTTGATAAGCATCATCAGCATCATGTTCATCTGTCTGTCCTTTGACAGACAACAGCATTACAATTGCGATTGCATTGTTTTCTGTGATGCTATTTTAATTCGTTTTTTACTCATTAGTAGTCAATTATTGGTGTGGCTGTTGAGTAGAGGCGGCGGCAAGCAATGCGGTCAGTTGAGAGCTCGAACCTTACCGTGGAAACTTTTTTTCTATGATTTATTTTTATTATTACTAAAGCAAACATGCGCGTAGCGCGAGCTGCATTGGTGATTGAATAAGAGGGTTCAGGGTATCCCCTAGTCGGGAGATCCGGCTAGAGCCTTTTACTTGTTTGTTTTGTAATTAGCCATATTTCCAGTGGCTACGTCATATCAGTCAATCCATAGATTAACAATCATAAAATATATATTATTGTCATTAGACCCTCTGCCCAATGAGAATTGAAGCATGGTTTAGTCTTTCAATATGGGCGACGCGGTGCAGTGGATTTTGCGTATATCCTATTATTACTCGAAGTTTCTTGGTGTGATTAACTTTGAGATCGACATGCGGACAGGTCACGCGCGCCTTACGAAAAGCGCATCGATCTATGCAGTCCTGATAAATATAATAATTTTCGGTCTTCTCATTGTCCTAAGTCGCAGTGACCTAATACAAATGTTGTGGTCACGTGCCGGCCACCTCCACGAGTATCTATTTTTGCTCGTCCATGGTACAAGAGTCTGCTGCGTGATGGCCACCTTGTTCAGCCGCTGGTGGCAGCGCCGCCGGCTCATTCGGCTGGTTAACGCATTTCGCGCTCTGGCGATTCGGAAGCCACAAGTGATGAGAATGTGGCGACGGCGAGTTATTATGAAATTTATCAGCATAAGTATGTCGGAATTACTGCAAATATTAGTAAGCTTTTTATCCCTCCGGCCTTACCTCACTGTGAACTTGGCCTCTAGCATATTCCTGCTATATACTCTGACAGTACTGGTCAACGTGATTGTCTCGCACTATTACTTTGCCATAGTAAATGTCCACAGCCACTATATTCTACTCAATCAAGAGCTGCGCGCTGTGCTTGTCGAGATCCGATCCCTAGAGGGGGAACATCGTAAGGCTGCATTCATGATTAAATGCTGCACCCTTGCAGACCGGCTGGAGGTGATTGCCGGAACACAATACGAAGTACAAACGCTTCTCGAACGCATAACCAAGATTTTTGGAATACAGGGCATCGTTGTAACCATCAATAGCTACATATCTATACTCGCCACAATCTATTTTTCGTTCTCCTCCGTTAAGAAAATGCATGGTATGGAATGGACCCCATTGTTTATTTTTCTGTTTGTCTTAAATGTCGTCTGTTACTTTGCGGACATTTTAATTACCCTCAACAACGTCTACTTTGTCCTGGAGATCCATACACATATGGTGAAACTGCTGGAGCGGCTTACAATGTTTTCTGCGGGCTTAGACGAGAGACTGCAGACGGTCGTAAGTGTAGCTAACGTATTATGGTGAAATAAAAACATTTTTAAATTACTTACAGATCGAGAGCTTTCAGCTTCAGATCACGCGCAATCCTTTAAAGATATCTGTGCTAAACCTCTTCAGTATGGACCGATCGAGATCTATGTCGATGGCCAACTCACTAGTAACCAACTCATTGGTACTCATTCAGTACGATATAAAAAACCCTAGAGAGTAATTTAAAATCTCAAAATGCTCTTATATTTATACATAAGAGAGTTCGTTCTGACTGACTGATAATCAACACACAACATAAACCGTAAGACCTGAAATTTTGACCGGAGCTTCCAAGTGGGAGAACACTTTGTTTAACGCTCATATGATAAACAGCAGCAATAACGACACTATATAAATAGGTGGCTCAAATACAACAACCATTTTCATATATAACAGACTTTGAACATATCAGGAAATGGAAAAAGAATAACTGTTACCTATATTAATTAAAATATTTCACCACATCGGCACCTAGTAATTTATAATCGGTATTTATATGCAAGTACCACATAAGACTTAAGCTGAAAAACATTTATTTCCTGCAATCATGAGTTCAACAATCAGACAACATTTATACACAACCTACAATTACAAAATATGTTTCCATTTGAGCACATTAGATTGTTTAAAGGTCGCCAAAAGCTATCGCTTTAAAAGTGATTTTATCGACCTGTATGCGAGTAGAGTGCAGCTACACGTTTTCAATGTGACCAAAACGAAGCTCTGAGGAATTTAAGAGACAGGCAACAAAAGAAAACACAATATTCTTAGGACAGGCAGGCACACAGTTTGAAGTTGGGCCATCTCTGAGTTTTGTAGTTGGAGCCAGGGCCAGTGTCCTCTTTTGGTATCTCGGCGGGGCACGAAACAGAGAAAAATAAACAAATTAATGAGTGAGCGCACCAGAATGAAGGGGACGCCCAGATCATATGATACCACACCATACACGGTATCTGTGTCAATGGCATGTGTAATTGCGAGCAAGCGAACCGATAATGGCCGTTTTATACAGTGGCTGGCATCTGTATACGGTCACGGAAATGGTTGTGGTTGAGGTTGTGGTAATGGTAATGCCTTTGGCGGGAATCCTTTGTGTTGCGATTGCCAGGCATTTATAACTTGGGCAACTTGTCCTTGCCCAACGACACTGACAAATCCTGTCGCAGCGTCTCTCGATAGAGCGTCAATTCCTTGCCACAAATGGCAAATGGCAACAAAATAAACGAGCTTCCATTCAATTTTGCACGAGCATTCCAGCAGTTGCTGCTGCTGGCTGTCAGTTTAGCATAAGTCGCTGTTTCATCCGGAAGGCAATATGCATTGCCAACTGGTAGACAGACGGGCGTAACGCCAATAAGCACGCAATGACATTTTAGCATAATGCATTGTAGCATCTTCAGCTGGAAGCCAAAACCAACAGCACGACAAGGACAACAAACAGCACCCTGAGTGGTTCCCATCCAACACTTGTTAGAGGGGTATGCGGCTGGTGTTGGATGCGTGCCTCGTTCAAGTGGCAAATGCAACTTCAATTGGGGCTTATCTATGTGTATCCAAAGTATCCGAGTACCATGTCCCGTAAACTGGCCCGATTGTAATAATATGTACAAATGCTTTGCATGAAGCGGTCAGACGAAGTTGCTTTTCTTTGCCTCCTTGCATCGGGCTTAGAGTGTCAAATGGGCTTTCAGCTGGTTGGAAAACGTTTGTAATCAATAGTGGCAAACAGATAGCTAGATCCTCATGCAAATATACTTATTTGCACTGATGCGCATGTCAAAATAAGAATACAAACAGTTCAACTCTCTAAAAGGAAAACAAAATTTTTAATATATATGTATAAAACTGTTTGTCCTGACTGATTGGTGATCGTAAACCGTACAACCTACAATGCAAAAATTACTTATTACTGGTATTCACTTTTGTACTATAGGTAACATAGATATGTAATTGCAAGTATGACATTAATGCCTCAGAATATGTAAGTACTTTCGTTACCAGATTTGGAAGAGCTGCTAAGCTTGGGCAATTTGTATTATCAAAATGTAAAAGGTTTGGCATAAATCGCAGTTCGCGGCGAACATTTACAACTGACTGAATGCGCAGGCCTTCGAATTTCGAATCATACTCATAAAAAATATGCGAGGCAATCGCGACCCGGTGCGCATTGGCGGCAATGCATTGGAAATCTCATGGCCCGTGCTAGAAAAACTGAAAATTAAATTGAATTTCCAAAAGGCACGCACATAAATCCGAAGGCAGAAACGTGGATACAACGTACAAGCTTGAGGAGGGCGAAAAAAGAAATACGAAAGACATGGCGTCAAAAGAAAATTTGTAGTTTGCTTGTGCCGAAGGCCAGAAATTTTGCTCAAAAGTATCATAAATATTTGATTTTCACATTTTGTAACGTCTCCGTCTGGCCGGATATGTCTGTGCCAGGATGGGCGTGGGGTGCCGAGAAAATTGATAAGATTCAATGATTACGTTTCGAAATTGATATAATTTGTGCACAATTTTCAGCAATTGCCAAATGTCGCGTACGTGATAAAGTTTCCCCTGGCGATTTCTCTTAGCGCATTAAAGTTTTCACATTTTCAACTAACAAGCCATAAATATATTAAACAAAGCTTATATTATAGTTCAGTTAATGTGTGCATTAAGAAAGGTAGGCTTTTTGGTGCTCTTAGCGTTTTCATTAGGGTTGCCATGCAACTGGCTATCAATAGGGAAAGCCTCTTAAGAACCGCTCATACAAGTATTTGCGTCTTACATCGGTACAAGCCGTCGCTCGTAAATACTTTTTATGAACACCTGCACATTACAAACTTTAAAATTTATGTCTGTGTTCAGGGCTGTACGGGTGCTTGCTACCGTACTATATGGGCTCGTATTTATGGATGTGGCGTCGTGAATGTTGCGGCATATTTGGTTTCGGCGTGCGAAATGCATTTTATGAATCTTTTATGGCTTTTAATGTAGAGACACCTGCAGATATATACATGCACGCCCACACTCACCCACACACACACACACTCATACCGAGATTGGCGCCACCTGGCGCTGACTTTATGCGGCACTGGCGTCACACAATCAACGCCAGCGAGTGCCCTCGCCGAAACGGCAATGGAGAACAGGTTGACGGGCGTTGTCATAAAAAGGCAAGGGGGCGGGTCGAAATACCTTTACCTTTATGGTGTAAAGCTGCATGCGGAATCTGCTCACGCGCGCGGAACGTATATCATCCTGGCCTAATCCTTGGTGGGCATGGCTTTCACTAAGCGCTGCACATGAAATATTCCCACCCATATAAGAAGAAAACCAAGCAACAACAAAGTTGCTGCATTTTGATTTATGCGTTGCTGAGCTGGTTAAAGTAAGTATTTTTGGTAATGCTGCCACGCCTACTCATTAGTTTGCGGGCAGCATTAAATGCATGCTTACCTATTACTGCATTGAGAGGGTATAAAATAACGATGTCGATATCTTGAGTTTCAACCATCGTGGATTTCAATTTGAATGCGGACAGCAGCAGCACTATGAAGTGCACTTGGAGTTGAATCGTTTGCATCTCGAGTCCACAATGTAAGAGTGAGCAGTTCTTAAAAAAAAATCGTTTTATCTGTCCTGAGCTGAGACGCAACTTTAAAAGCAACGCCTTCTTTTAGGAAGCCTCCCCATGCGACTTTCATAAACTTAAGGTACTGCCTACAGCTTTTAGTAGGAGTAGGAGAGTGGGAGACTGAGTGTCTGTGTCTCTTCCATCCGGTTTCCATAACTTTAAGTATTGACTACATATTTGAAGTGTAGGTGAAATGCCATTTTATGCCAACTTATGCGACGGAAATTCTATACATAACTGATTGTTGAAATGAACAGCTATTCAGACAATTCCAAAGCACTTATTTTGACGCAAGCAAATTTTAATTTAATAAATTCTTTACTTCCACTCACTTAATTCACATTGAAAATCATTTAAGACTGAAGTGTACTGGAAAAGATCTAAGCAAACAATGCCGAAACATACTTGTTTTGAAAAGATCTTAGTGCTGCACACTCAAAATAAATCAAGCAGATTGGCAACAAGCTGTTCTTTGATTCAGGGCCGTTCGCCTGGCAGACAAGTGGGCTATAGGACAGAGTCAAAAGGCTTACCGTACTCGTCAGCCCACTCCAAACAAATATCAATAGGCAAATTAATCATGTGAAATGCTGCACATTAAAATAATTGCATTTTGTCAACACTCATGTTTTTGAGCAATATTTCAGCCTCACCATAGGCACTCATCCGAATACTTGACCCGAATTCGAATAGCGCTGAGCAGAGCTAAAACTAAAAATCACTTGCACTTTTTTCTTATAAATTCAAATTCACTGTCATTTCTTCTACGCTTATATGTTTTTCTTTTCCCGTGATAGGGATTGTCGAACTAATTGCATCTGATTGCAATCGTTGCAGTTACCAGCAACCAGTGGCAGTCAGAGGCCCTGGTTTGGGAGCTACACATCCGCATCCGTTGATTTTCCATTCGCGTTATTTCTTTTGCTGCAGTTCATTCCCCAGCAAACGTGAGCGAAATTTAAATGGCGCTGACTTTGCAGCTGACTGAGTTGAGCTGTGCTGACAAAAAGGACACCAAACGGTAAGAAAAACAAGTAAAACTTATTTACTAGAGAAGAATTTACTAACAAATACCCTGTACTCACATGCCAAAATTCCGAAAAGTTATCTCTGTTAACAATGAAAAAACTAAAGTAACTACTTTCAAATAGAACTTGATAATGGCCCAATATGAGCATTTGCCAAGTTTGATTATATATATATCCAATTGCTTTGGTGTGGAGTTTCATCCTCAAAGTCTTTATTTATTAATCAAACCATCTCAGAAAAGATATGAATCGATTCAAGTGTCAGATTAGCTGTTTTTGGGACAATTAGCTTCATTCAGTTCATAGTAAAATATAAATTAAATTCCAGGCTCACAACCGATTTGAAACCTTGTTTTAATAAAGTGTTTGTTGAAGCAGTGTCTTTCTGCCTCCTAAACACACTCACTCCTTTTGCCCATTTGGAGAAAAAATTGGGTATAACAAAACGTAGTAGATACAAATTGATTGGAAATTTGCACTCAACAAATGACATGGCAATAACAGCAGCAGAGATTTTGATTTTATTACCGGCAAACAAATATGCAGCAATTAAACGAACGAACATACAAATATGCTCAATTATTTTACAATACCATAGAATATGATACTCAAGAGATTTAAGTACTTAAGCGAGCTGTACACTAGACCAGGCTGCGCCAGGCACGTACAGCAACTAGCTCTAATTTGACGGTTAAATCAATTTACAGCCACAATTAATAAGCAAAGCCACGCCCCGCAAGGTGTAAATGTAGCACACACACGTAGCATTTCAATTTCCTTGTCGGAAGAGACAGCAACAAGCGCGTGTACTGAAAATGGAACTGCGGACTACCGCGGGGTAATCTAAGGCCATCGGGAGACGTGGTCTTTGAAGTTCATGTTGTTTGTCAAGAAAATGAATTTCACTTGACGGCGATTATGTGGCAGCCATTCAGTGAACCAAGTTATAGCTGGCAAAAGTTTTGTAAAACATTTCCGATATTTCAAAAAACCGCCACCCAGCAGCTACACACCGCACCGTTTTCCATTCCTCATTCCCCATACCTCTCATACCCTGCCTCATGTCGAGCGTGTCGTCTAACCAAAATGCCAAACACGAATGCCAAAACGAAACGCTGGCTGACAGCAGCCAGCGGGTAGCGAAGGGTAAAAACTTTTGCCTAAATCACTTAACAGAAAACAAGTGTTGGCATATGCCCCACTACCAAGAAGCCACTACACCCCCTGCCCTGCTACCCATACAATCCCATCCCCATCTGTAACAATCTCATTTCTATCAGAAAACTTGTTCTGCGCCTTTTCATTGAAAAGTTTTTTGTTTTTGCTGTGCGAGTGCTACAGAGACGACGAAGGCAATGAAATATAATAACAAGAAATAACCGGAAGCAGCACACAGGAAGCGTGCTGTTTGACATACCACACACACAGACACACGCACACACAGAGACATCAACCATACTGTGAGTGCGTAAACAGAAAATCAATTACAAGTGCATACACTGTGGCGCCCACTGGCGGCCTGCAGCTGCAACGCACGCATTTCGGGTGCGGGGATTTACATTAATTACGGCACGAAACGCTTTTTGACTTTTATTGTGACATAGGCCGGGCAAGTATATAAAGCACATGAATGTTTCAGTCCCCACGGAAGGAGCAAGTTTTAAAAGCATGTTAAGAGTCGCCGGGAACCCCCCCCCCCTACCTCCCTCAACCGATCACACATCCATTTGGTTAGTCAGACACACACACACACACACAAACATACAAACACATAACGTGATTTTCGGAAGCCTTCTGAGTTGGGTCAGCAAGCCTTTTTGCTCTCAGTCTTGCCAATCTGACCATGCGGAACAGAGAAAAGCTGAGGGGAAAACTGAGCAGAAAGTTCAATTTTAAAATCGCTTGCATAATTTATGAGTGCAGGCCCTGGCATTTGAAGCTGTGAACCACCGCTTGGACATTTATGGACAACAGGCTGTAGCCTTCTTCTTCTCCCCCTTCCCCTACTGCTTTTCCATCAGGCAGTGTTCGTCAACGGCCATTGAATATTTATCGCTTGAATTCCTTTCTGCTGTGATTCCTTCCGACCAAAGTTGAAAATGTGCCATTTTGTTTAATTTTATGCAAATCGATGTCGTTGTGCAGCTATATTGAGATTGGCATTGGTATTGGTTTTGCTTTTGGTATTCGTATTGTTCCCAGTGTTGGGTAACCCACTGTTGTCATCTCGCTCGCACTTGAGCGAAATTTTAATTAGCATTTTGCTTGGGGCTCAACGTGTTGCATGATTCTCGTCGTCATATCTGTTGTCACACATCTGTACATGCAGTTTGTTCGTGAAGTGCAATTTATTTTGCCATGTTGCGTGCCCCATAACCGCACAACACGAAAAACACCACAATGTGGTTTTGGTCACCATGGCCAGTGGCAGTCCCCTCTATTACTACACCTACTCCCCTGCTCTACTCACAATAATGGAGTATTTATGAAAATTGCAAAACATGTGCAGACTTGTGAAATGTGAATAATTTGAAGGGAACTTTCCCAATTAAATGTATGTGATAGCAAGAATAATAATTACATGTTAGATGCGTTGAACTTTCAGAAATTTCTTAATTTGTGGTATTCAAAAGAAAGTCATAAAGTTTTGCATGTGCCTTTCTTGAAAGAAAATTTCTCGGATGTTATTTTTAAATAAGCACAAAAAGTGCATTCAATAATAGTAAGTGCCTTTCAAAATAATCAGCCGGCAGCAGAAATGGAAATTTTCTTTTGGTATATTATAGAAAAACTCTACTTCTGGCATATTTTTGGCAAGACAACCACAATTTTTTTTGCATAAATTTGAATAAAATTTTTATGCATATTTGCCGTATACATAAATGATTGCGCCTTGCCATATAATTCAACATCATGAGCATTCCACTGTATTATTGAGATGCCTGTCCGTTGTCTGAAATATTCCGACTTACCCATACTTACCTGTGACCATGCCAAGTGCAGTTACTTTCTGCTATCTGACAGCATTAAAAGTGTCTGCTCAAATTTCTAACTTGCCAGAAGAATTTCGGTTTTTGTGTGTGTCTGTCTGTTTGTTTTTGTGGGTGGGTGTGTGTGTGTGTGTGTGTGTGTGAGTGTGTTCAGGTAAGACGTATTACTCGGGCCAAGACATGGATGAGAAAACCCCTTGCCCTGCCCAACTTCTTTCAGTTGCACGCGAGAAATGTTTCGTGACAAAGAATTTCAAAACTGAAACTGAAGAAAAACGTCGGAGAGACATTGTAAAGCGTACCGCAAGTAGCGCAAAACTTTGAAGTTTTATTAAAAATACACACCGCAACATTCCTCAAGAACTTTGCACACGTAAACGTGAGATAATTTGGCAAGCCTGAGCATGAGCTGGAGCCTGGTCTTCGAGGGCAGGCAGTAGGTGCCATGCTTACCGCAGTAGAGTGTCAAGTACTTTGGATAAACTTTTGTGACAGCTCAATTTAAGGGAAGCAAAACGTATGAGGAGTGAGTTTTATGCGGTAATGTTAGAAATATTAGAATTTCGGATGATAGTTTGCAGCCCCATGCTGGCATCTAATGAGCAAATGTAAGTTAAAGAGCTGAATGTTAATCACTGGCTCGTAGATAAAGTAGCCGAGCTTATAAACGCAGGAATTGTAGAACGCAAATAGGTTGTACCTCGTCTGACTCTCTTAACCCAACAAACTAGGCAAACTTCTCATAAACAGCATTGTAAATGTTGATCACATATCTTCGAAATCAATTTTCATGCAGCAAATAGATGCACCTTCAGGCAAACAGAACTCTGTCAACTGCAATTGAGACCCGACAACAGCCGCATAATGCACTTAACTGGCAGTTCCGCCTACGTTTCACTCGCTGACACATATGCAACATGCCTGGGCAATGACTTGAGACATTAGCACCATGTTGTGGTTATGGAAATTAGCTCCCAAGAATGACAAATGTCGTGGGTACCAAGATTTATGCCGGGCACGAAATTCAAGAACATGGTGCAACGCATCCTGCGAAAATGGAACACAAACAAGCGACAACAACAACAACTACACCAACAACAGATGCCCAACAAGGACAATTGTAGAGCCGCGGGCGGTACAGCAGCTACTGCTCACTAATTGGTATTTATTGCTACTTAAATGCCCCAAAACTTGTTGCTACTTTTCACCTCGTATTTCATATGAGTTTCCCAGTAGCAACGCCCACCAAAATGTCGGATGCAGGCGTTGATCTGGTTGGATCAGCCAATGGCAGATGGCGGCTATAATTAGCAGATCGTGCGAGAGAACGAGAGCAAACATGCTTGAGATGCTCATCGCCAAGAAAGTGAAAACATGTGTGTTTGTGTATGGATCTCGAGGAATTGAGGAGACCGCTGCATCTTGAGGCTAATTTCAGTGGGCACACGACTTTGGCACGGTTTAGTATCGTCGCGACAATTATTGTAATTAACTCGTTTATGTGTTGTGTGCTAATCCAATTATCCAAGTTCGCGGCAGGATGCCCCCGATGATGTAGTGCAAAGAAAAGAAAATAAATTAATTCAATCAGCAGCCAATTAGACAGACAAATGAAGAATTTTCAACGGTCTTATTCGCACAATTCGCACGACTAATTGAATTGTGTAGCCACTCCTCTGCTCTCATCATCATCAGCATTATCATCATCATTGTCACCGGCGTAGCATTTGCCCAATTAGCCAAAGCAGCGATTGATCAAGTGATTTAACAAGTTTTGAATTAAATTTGCCAACCATGTTAAACTATCAGCAGCAACTGCATTCCATACCCGTCGGCAATGCCGGCAATTTCTATTATGCCGCAACGACAATGCCGTCGGTGGCGTCCACTACATCCGCACCCGGATCCGGAGCGTCTGCAGCACACACCTTATCATCCGTGGATGCTGCATATACCGCACAGCCACAAACTGTAGAGCTGGAACAGAAGCTGCACCAGGAAGGCTATGCCAAGGACAAGGAAATTGCAAATCGCAGAGAACTAGACAAAATGCATCGTTTCTCAGTAGACAATCTCATTGAACTAAAACAGGATGCGTTTGGCAAGAGCAAATTGACCGTGGAGCTGTCAAACAACTTTGGTAAGGTTTGGCCACATAATTAAATTATAATTAGAGTTCAAGTTCGAGTCCCAGGCTGAAGCACATATATAGTAGACAGTGCTGTATAGAAGATTTAGTTCATGATTTATAAGTATGTCTCATCATTTTTAACAGGGCCTACGGCTCGACGGCTTGCTGACATGAAGTCTGGTTAGAAGTAAGCTTCTCCGACCCCATAAAGTATATATATTCTTGATCAGCATCAGTAGCCGAGTCGATCTAGCCATGTCCGTCTCTCCGTCCGTCCGTCAGTCCGTCCGTCCGTCCGTCAGTCCGTCCGTCCGTCCGTCCGTCCGTCCGTATGTATGAACGCAAGGTTCTCAGAACCTATAAGAGCTAGAGACTTGAAGACTTTAGATGTAGATGCTCCTAGTTCCCGCGCAGATCGAGTTTGTTTCCGATAATCGATAACTTGCTCCGTTTCCAAGCAATCGATAAGAATCTATGTCGATATCCTGTTTTTTGGGCAACTTTGGTAAATAATAAGAGCTAGAGTCACCAAACTTGACATATAGCTTCTAAAATAAAATATATATTGTTGGAAGAAGATGGTTCAGGGTATCCCCTAGCCGGGAGCTCCCGACTTGAACCTCTTACTTGTTTCTTTTTTTGAAGGCAGCTTATAGTTTTTATTTATCTCAGCATACCCCACGTCTGCTTCAGGGTGGTATACATCTCATGTAATCTTTTTTTTTTTTAACCCAACCAAATCTTTTACCCACGCCATTTGTCTCAATTTGTCAGCGGAGCTGTCCACAAGATTGCATCGTAGATCAGCAGCGACCTGTGTGTAGTATGCCAGGCACTCCATAAGAACAACTGCAGTGCCCAATGAGGTCCCAAGGGAGGTGGGGGGGTAAAACGAGATGTTTAATTTGAATTGCCAGCGAATCGAGCAACGAACGATAAAAAAACAGTTGCAGCTTAATAAAATAAAAAGAAGGCAAGATAAAAAACGAAGCACAACATCTCGAAATCGAAAGGGAAACCTCAATCAGATTTGTGCGCCAAACGCAGAAGGGCATGGCCATGGGAAACGCAAAGAGAAAGGGGAGTCCAACTGAGACTGGCACATGTTACAATCCAAGCAATGATAAAAATAAACACACGCCTCTGGTCTCAACCATTTACAGCACACGCGGGATAGGGGCTGTTACTGCAACTGCAACTGCGACTGGCTGGGATAAGGCTGGCTCGTTTTATGCTCCACTTGGAAAATATAGTCACTGGGCCGGGCTGTTGGGCGCTTCGGTTGTTCAAAGGCATGCGGCCTCTGAGGGAATATCATGTCGGCTTTGATTACGTTTTGTCATGTTGACAATGTTGAAGTGTTGTCTGCCGTCGGAAATGCAGCCAAAAAGGGGACAAAAAGACGTTGTGACTGGCCAGCGATTGAGAGCTGTTCGCTTCTGATAGCATTGCCATTGCCAGCAATGACAATGAGACGCGTATATTTCATAGAAAATTATGCCGCTGACAAGCGAAACACGGACTACAACCAGGCCAGGAGACGACATGTCGCCATCAGAAGGAGCGCCTTTAATGTTGACAACCTGTCCGCTGGGTCGCTGGCTGGCTAAAGGGGGCAAATGTGAAACGGCAGCTCAGCCTTAACCACAGCAGCAGCAAAAATGCACAAGGATGACGCTGTCATCCATTTGGATGTGCAATTGGCGGCGGCATAAATGAGCGAATGTCGCCCACATATGGCACCTAGATGACATGCATGAGTTCGCCTCACGCACACACGCACACACACAGAAATGTGCAGCCAGATGCAACTACCTACATAAATCACATACATACATCCATACGTATCTATCCATGCTAGCTGAATGTATAAATTTATGTATGAATCTATGTACATTCATTTGCTTTTTGCATGCGTGCGCATAATATCATAAATTCTCAGCTCATTTCAATTCAAATTTATCATTTACGAGCACCATACTTATATATATACATACGTGTATATAACGCGGTTCTCAGTCGAATGCACAAAATATTACTAAGTAAGCCATAAAGTTCTAATATGAAAATGATTAGGTAATGAGAAATATGGGTGATGCTCAAAGAGCTCCGTAGGTTATATATATAAACAGATGGATTAAGTAAGAGACCTACCATTATAGGGAAAATTAAATAATGTATAGAAAATTCTCAAATATGTTTACGAGATGTTTGAGGAAAATTAACAGTTTCTTTTCTCAATAAGAAAATTGTTGTATTTTTGTTTCTATATACCACGCCATAAATGTATGTGTATTTTTCCAAATATACATGTGTAAAATTTCTGAGAACGTTTACCGAAATGCTTAGCCAACGTCTAAACTGAGAATCAATTAGTGAAAGTTGATGCTCGCTTATTGCTGTTTAATGTCACACTTTCAGTTTAATTAATAGATCGTAAATTTGTTGCGTTTGCTTGCCATCGTTTGGGCACCTAAAATTAGTAGACATCTGGCGCGACGATGTTGTCGAAAATATATTTTATGACCCATGCCATTTGTTTATGACCTCCGTGATGACAATAAGCCAGCAAAAGGATCAACTAGTATGCAAACTTTAATGCGTTCACATCCATAAAACCAAAATTCCTTGGCTGCCAAATTAATTCCATATACTATACGCTCTTATCGATTATTTATGAGGCAGCCTTGCATCGCCATCAAAATTGCACCATTTCGACGTAGCTCAATAAAAGTAAAAGATTTTCTTTAATGGTTCCACAATTGTCTTCCGTTGCAGGCAGCGGCGCCGTGGATTACCCCAACAATCTTAGCTCGGGGCACTCAAGGAAGCCGCGACGTAACCGCACCACCTTCAGCTCGGCTCAGCTGACAGCTCTGGAGAAGGTGTTCGAGCGAACCCATTACCCGGACGCATTTGTCAGAGAGGAGCTAGCTACCAAGGTGCATCTGAGTGAGGCGCGTGTACAGGTAAGCTAGAAGAGTTATTGTAATAAATAAGCTAAGGTTACTTAGTTTGTCGACCACGTCTGAAGCTGAACCATGCATCGCACACATTTAGGTCTGGTTTCAGAATCGCCGCGCCAAGTTTCGTCGCAATGAGCGCAGCGTCAGCATCGGCCGCCCTCTCCTGGATACGGCGACACAGCTAGTGCCTGCTCCGATGCCCAACAATATACACAAGTATCCAAATCTGACGCACAGTGCACCTCCTGGTGCCTACGCTCTGAACTTTGCACCACTTGAGCTGCGTTCCTGCCAGAACTATACAAATTGCTATAGTGGATTTGGTCCAAATCCAAGCAGTAGCAATGGCGTTTGCTCCTTCTTTGGAGCGCCCAACTATTGTGTGGCTGCCAACTATGCTAAGAACACATATCCGTCGCTCTGATGAAGGCTCCCTCAGAGATTCTACACAAATTCAAATTATTTTAATTAGCTAAATTGCATTATTATTATTATTATTTTTGATAGAATGTATTTTAACAGATTTTTACCTGACTAATATTATATTTATATAACATTAAATATGATGCACTAAACTCAAGAAATTTAAATGAAAAAGCAATTTTTATTGCCCGTTCTACTGAAAATATTGCACTTCGTACATATTTTCATAGAGAAATTGCAGGTTAAATTTGATATCAGTCTAAAAATCAACCAATTTTATTTTGAACTTAACCATCTTTGTAAAAGTAATATAGTTTGCTTTGTAAAAGTAATATTGTTCACTTCAGCTTTCGGTTCAGTTGTTATAAGCCTAATACAACATATACTCCTACTCATATATATGTATATTATTATTTTATTATATATTAAAAACATCTCATGTAAAGATTTTCACAAGCCAAATTCAAGTTATTCTCCCATACATTATTATTATATTATATATTAACAAACACCTCAGCTTATGGAACATTCATAAATTGGTTATACACAAATTTTCACAAGCCAAATTCAAGTTATTCTCACATATATATATGTATATTCCAATGCTTTTCTGAACAAGAAAAACAAAAAAAAAACAGCCAATTTATAATCATCAACTATGCATAATTTGCCCAATCATGAATTCTTTAAGCTTTTCAATTATTAAGCTGTCTCTGGTTTGCCAAATTAACATTACTGATTTAATTATTTACTTTGATAGATGAATTAATTAAAAATTCATACGCATACAAGCACATGCGTATGATAACAAGATTTAAGCGTGTGCGTGTGTGTGTTTGTGTGTCTGTTATCCGCATGTGTAAATTTATATAATAAAACTTAATTAAAGTCAAAGAAAACCGGCAAACAAACAAAGGGAAAGCCAAAGCAAAGTTTTCAAAGCCACAACACATCGGCAAAGTGCCGACACCATTCAAGTACATTAGGATTGTGGCCAACTCGGTGTTCAACGCAATTAAAAAGACAGATTGGCATAATAAATACAAACTACAACGCTCAAACAGCAACGACAAGCAGGTAAATTTAAGCAATATATGGAACTTAGATTGAGTTTCAAATTACTATTTACATTGTGGAAAGAGTTAAAGGCGCCGCAGTTAAAGTTACCCAGAGGAATTCCTGCAAATCTCTAAAAAGCCCATCTAATTTATCATACAGCAAAGCCTAGGCACATCTCCATACATGAATAAGTATGTATTATAGAGGCAGCTTTTACTTTTTTAAGCACACAAAGCAATAAGGTGACATTCAGGGAATTTCTGCTACACACACATCGGAGTGTGTGTGCTTAATAGACAAAAGGTTAAAAGTACTATGTAAAAGTTTAAATGTAAATAAAAATTCCTTTTTCAACCAGCATGACAGACTTTAGCAAGTAAGAGGGATCTGCTCGAGAGCGACAGACTACGAGATACCCTGAAGCCAGCTTAAAGATGCCTTTATAAACATTCTAGCTCCCTCAAAACCACAAGATGAGCCCTGTTTGGTAAGAGTGTTCTTGATTAACTTTGGTGCCTATAGTCCGATCTTTCTGAAATTTCGAAGGCTTAAATATAGTATAAATAAGTGCGACTATACCAAAGCCGAAGATGCTACCTTTTCAATTGAGATTTTCCAACTTTACCAAGAGAAAAATCTCATATTTGGTGTATATTATACCTAGGGGGTAGTGAATGTAGCTATTTTATTCTCCGAGAGTACTGGGAGAATGCATCAAAGAAAAATGATTTCCTTGTATAAATTAAATATTTAGTCTCTTCTCTTTTAGTTTCCTAAATCGTGATCGAGATTGAGATCGTTCACAGATTGACTCAGCTCGATATCCAAATGCAGATTACATATACTTTATGGGAGCGGCGATGCTTTCTTTGTCTTGTAACATACATTTCCACAAAACCATTATGCCCATTATTACCCAGTTTCAATGCGTTCAGGGTATAAAAATGCAAATTACCATTTGGTATGTAAGCGATATCTGCAACTAATTTGCATAAAGGGTAAGAGTCAGAGTCAGATAAAGGGAGAAACAACGAGCGATGAGTGTCGCTTGTGTATGTGTCTTAAACATTTTTACAATATTTACAAAACTGTAATATTGTTTGAGAAGAAGCACAAAGGAAAAATGCGTTTTGTTCCTTTGCGATGCGGCAAAATAGTTGCAGACAAGACGCAAAGGGATGGCAAATTAACCGAGGCACGACATTTGCTGACATGCTACATGTTGCAAAACTTTGCGGAACACACACAAGTGAGAGAATGTGAAAAGAGAGCGAGAAAGTAAAAGAGGCAGTTGGAGCTCTGTCAAATCAAATGTCTTGACGGAATTCCAGGACAAACAATTCGCTTGCCCGTATACCCATATTTGGCTCAAGTGGGACTTGACGCATTTTATGAGTGCGCTAGAAGGAAATTTCCGAGAATATTATATTGGTTTATTTTTAGAATATAATTTGTAGCTTTGTTCTATGAGCTACTCAACTCTGGATCCAATGTAAAGCAAATAAATATCAGGTAAGTTAAATGCTAAGTAAACACATTAACTCAGCTCATTGCTGACAATCTCAATAATTGGGTGATAATGTTGCGTCTGTTAAAAAGCAATTATTCATACACATCAAAATAGTTGGATAGGGGCACAAGCAGGCCTCACATATGCATATGACACGGGTCTGACAGAGGGAGAAACCATGACAAGAGCCACTTCTGTGCGCCCTCTGTGCCGTCACATGAAAGGCGCAGCCGCAGCCTCCTTGACAGCTACTGCAACCCATATAGATATTATGATGAGGGTGATGAGATTTCCTACCGTCGCCGAGATACTTGGGCATGTGCTTGATGACGAATACACCACAATGTGTTTTTCAGTCGGCCAGAGAGCTCTGTCAAAATAAGACGTCACCTGGGAGAGTATCACATACATAACATATAAGATATAGTTCAAGGCCCAGTTCAAAATGGTATTTGTATAAAAATATATTCTAATTCAATTAGTGTATGAGTGCAAGTTTTGCATATCAGGTCTAACTGTTCCATTTTAGTTTTTATCTTCTGAGACCCCATAAAAAATATATATTCTGGTAGACCATACGCAGAACAAGCTAATCATTCATATATGTTCTTGTATAGAAAAATCATATTTGTTACCTGTAGCATTTAATCTTTATTTGCATCTGTTAACTATGGGGTTGCTAATCTGTTAACGTATTTGTACGCACATTTTTACAACTACTTGAAGCGAAAGAAAACAAGTATAGAAATCAACACCAATAACGATATTATCCAGATATTCAAAATAAAGTTTGAGCATGTGCCACTATGTATGATTCCACCAGTAACGGCTGCTTCTTGTTCAGTAAAGATAATTACAGAAATCTCGTTTAAATACTTAGTTGAAGCGAGGCAGGCGCTGACCAAATCATCCGCCAATTTGAAGGCATAATTCACGCATGTAATGCGACTGCTTGCGAGTTTTATCATTACCGGCACCCCAGATGATAGAACGCATCTATATGTAAGGGAAGTGAGAATATCCAGTGCAAAACATTTCGCAAACTTTTTGTTGCGAAAGACTATCAAATATATTTGTGGCTTAACATCACTTTGGAACACGCTGTAAGGATCGCCATCCTCCAACATATAGCCACTATATTCGTTTTGAAGGTCTTCCGGAAAGTCACCAGAGCAAATCTGACTCCATTCTGGACTAAAGATATCGGTACAACCCTTAGGAGGTTTTGGAGTGGAAAAATTTTTTTTGTTTGGCATATTTAAAATTTTGTAACACTAAAATTCTGAATTAGAATTATGTAACCTAGCATACTTTGGTTTTTCATGTCTACAATAGTATATAAAGATATTTAAGCATTCAACGGCTCGAAATAACGGATAACATCTGTTTGAATAAGCCTATTATATTAGGTGATCATCACACATAATTAACAAAAATCTTTGCAAAATATAGAAAGGAATTGAAATGACAATGACTTCACACAATATCAAGATGACCTTTATTTTGACCAGCCACTGTGAACAAAACGATTCGCCAAAAAAAAAAAAAAAAAAAAACAAAAACAAAAAAGAAGCTCTTCAAATAGAAATTGGAAATTTATAGAAACCCGATTGATGGGTTGATTAACATTTGTTTACAAACGTCTCTATGAACGTGTGACTACCTATATGAATGTGATAAACAAAAACGAACAAAGCGTCGTTGAATATATTATACACAAAAAATACAAAGTGGTAGACACAGTGATTCCCCAAATTTACCACCGAGCGAAAACCTTAACCCTCAACCGGTTTCCAAAGGGGGGCCTACATCAATTAATTAATAAGAATGAAATTTGAAATGCGAACACAATCATGATCCCGTCCTCAGATCCAGTTCTGCTGGCAATCAGACTAACTTTTAGTATAAAATAGACCACATCTGAAATGGACACGCACATTTCAAAGTAGATACGATTTGAGATCAGAGCATAAAATGCGAGCTGCTATTATTTTCATTGTTGCGATATTCGCGCTCTTCAGCGTGATGGAGGCACTGCCACAGTTTGGATATGGTGGCTATGGAGGCGGTTATCCTGGCTTTGGAGGCGGATATGGCGGCTTGGGCGGTTATGGCGGATATCCCGGTGGCTTTGGCGGTGGCTTTGGCGGCTTCCCCGGCGGCTATGGCGGATATCGCGGCGGCGGCGGAGGCAGTGCCAGTGCATCCGCTTCAGCATCGGCTTCAGGTGGTGGTGGTGGCTTCTATGGCCGCTAGGAACCATTAGTTAACTCCATTTCGTAGTCTTAAGTTTAAGTTGCTAAATAAAGTGAATGTTAGAGTAAAGTTTTGCTGCTGCCAGACGCTACTTTGTTATATACCCTGAGTCCATTGAAATTGATTAAAAAGGGAATATTGATTTTGTGAAATTGAATAAAACATTGAGCAGGCTTTACCGACATCATATCTGCACAACCGTGAGCCACATGTCCACAAGGGTATTTAAACTTCGGCGTGCCAAAGATAGCTGTTATTTTTGCTTTCTTTTGTCTTAGACATTTTTGCGGCTGTCTGGCGCAAGTTTTTACTATATGGATGCTTTCTTTTGGGCACTGGCATTGCTGGTGTGGCATGGAATGGAATTCCATCATAAGTTGGTGTCAAGTTTTGCACTTGAAAACAAAACAGTTGCCTCTGTGTGTATATGAGTGTGTGTGTGTGTTGAGGTGCATTTAGTAAGGAACTTTTCATGAACAACCCACAAGCATATTTAAAGCGGAAAAAATAAAAGTTTGCAGCGGCTGCTGGCCAAAATGAACTTTCACTTTGCTCCCGCAGCCCCAACAGAGTTGACACACATTTTTTAACCCAAATGGGAGCCAACAGCATCAGAACAAACACGAGCACAAGGCAGCTATGTGAACACTTGCCGGATACAGCGTTATCCTTGCTGCAATGCTCCATACACTCATGGGATGCTTTTGTTAGGTTCGTGTGTTTTTGGCCAGGCTCCAACTAAGCATGTAATATGGCAAATATATTTGTAATTTCTTAAATATTTTTCCCGCTTTTTGGTAGCGCCTAAAAATGTCCGCAAGCAGTTGGAACAGTTGAGTGGACTCAACTTGTTGTGTCTTATAAACTTATTCAGAGCTAAAAGTTTTCGTCGAAACAGCAGGCAAGTTGGTTCAACGACTGCTGCTGCATCATTAAAACTTTTGGCCTGTCATCTTTTATTGCATTGCCGGCCCAAAGTTTGTCCGTGTCCAGGACTCACATACGCAGCATTCACAATGCTCCTGCCATATTGTTATTTTGGAATTTATGCGCAGGACAACGACAACGACGACAAAATGCAAGTCAAGCCATTCAGAATGCTCTTACGTTCGACTCCATGTTGCACTGATGACCACACCCGGTCACGGCTTGGCCACCAGCTGTGGGCTATTCAAAATGTCGCGGCGTTACCATTGAGGTCCGTCCAGGTCGGCCATTGTGCTGGCTCTCATTCTTGGCTTCTGCATTCAAGTGGCCCCAGCTCCTCTTCGCCTTTCAAATTCGTAATATAATAACGCGCTTATGTCCTTTCAGCATTTTATGATGCCTGGCTGTCGTGCTATCTGCGAGCCCGCCAATAAGAAACCCAGACTAATGACGACTGCCTGGCCAGCGCCTGCATGTTATGTATGGGACAAATGGAATGGCCTCGAGCTGGACGCACAAAAACGAGAAAGAACCGTCGACGTCTTAATATGCTCGCAGAGTTTGCCTACGATATATTGCAAAATCGGGAATGTTTTCTATAAGTCCATATAGCCATATGATATGGCCCATGTTTTATAATGATATCAAGGACACTAAAAACCTTATTTTATGAAAGAATAGTCGATCGATCCTTACGGTTCAAAAAGGCGGACAGAGAGACTATTTTACATAGAAAAAGAAAGATGGACACGGCTGTATCGAATCAGTTATTGACACTAATTAAGAATTTATATATGTGATGTGTTTTTCTTTGCATTACAAATCGCATGATAAATTTATAATACTCGCCACAAAAGTATTAACATTGTACAGAGTACAACGATTTTTTGCAACAAAGACAGTCAGGGGCTCTAAAATTTTGTAAAGGCGTGTCTATGATCAGAGCTGGCTTAATTTAAGGCCGATTCAGTTTGAGCTCGATATTTATGCGACATGTACGCATCTGTCTGTCAACGCACGTCAGAGACATCAATTTTTGGGATTGATAAGATGTTGGTGATATTTTTAAATTACTGCCAATGCATGGGGCGACAAGCAAAGGGTGGATCCACCAGAGGGTGCAGTTCTATAAACAGTTCGCCTAAAATATGTCAATCGAAATGTAAATCATTGCGTAATTTGCATTTTGAGCATTTGCTTCAATTGAATGACGATGCTGACTTTGTTGTTGTTGTTGTTTCTGCTGCTGGCAACACGTGAATTATGGTGGCAATTTTGACAATTGCCAAGCTCCGGGCCACGCCTACCACCCAACAGCACCGCATCCGGTACTTGGGCGTATGTGTATATGTGTGCGAGTGCGTATGCATTGTGTAACTTGAGCCCTCCTCACGTGCACATAAATCGTTGCCCTTGTTATCCAACATAATTGTGTTGACATGTGAATGCTAATTTAAATGGATTTTAGTAGATTTTCAATCCGATTTTCATCTGTTAAGTAAGTACTTACTTAACACAAACGAAAAACAGCTCAGTCTGTGCAAGAACACAAACTAGTTCCAAAACTATGCCTACCTCACAGTACAGTCCAACAAAACGAACTAAGCATTCAATGAACTAGAGAATAACGTAAGGAACGTGTTTCATAGATATACTAAACATCACACTAAGCTCTAACAAAAAGAGACTAGCCTCAAAGTCCAGTCTGAAAAAACATTCATACAAACAAAAAGAGCTAATTCCAAAAATACACTAACCTCGAAAGTATAGTACAAAAAAACTTGGCTTTCAATTTAAAAGTTTGTCTGGTAAGAAGAGTTAAAAAGTCCATGTAATGTAATTTGGACACGTTCGATAACGAAAGGAATTAGATTTGCATGCAGCGCTTTGTAAAAATGAATTTGTTGCGGAAATTATGTTGTGATTTATTTTATTTCATTTTATTTATGCCACGGCGTTGCTCACCTGGGTCTCAGCCAAAAACGAACATTAAAATATATACAAATATGTATAAATAGTATGTACATAAGTTTGTGTGTGTGTGTGTGTGTGTATAACATAACTTTTCTCACGTACATGCTGAGCAGATGTGCATACGCCAAAAAGTATGCAACAGCAAAACGTGATTTCGTTTTAAAATTTCAACGCTTTGCTGCTGTCAAAGGAAAATTTATTTGCGAAACGCATTCATTTGGAAATTATCGAGCAGGAAATTATTGGCTTCTACACCACCCCGGTACCCTTTATTGTTTTTTTTTGCAGTGCCTGATGCTACAAAATAAAAAATATTGTAAATATCGCAGTAAAGCAAAACGTGAGCGTGAAATTTCCACAATAGCAATTTTCTTAGCGTTTTCCTCAATTCACTTGTATCGGAAAAACTATTAATGAGTGTTTAGGGAGCCAAATGGCACTGGAGAGCAATCTCACATAACTCAAATCAAGAATACTAAGGGCATGTCATGTCCACAAAAGAATTGAGACTTATTGTTCGTTTAACAAAACAAATACTTAAATAATGTTATAAACCCAAATATGTTAGTTAGAGGGCATTCATTATTTAATTTTATAGACAACTGCTCTATAGCTTAGGGACAGTCCCTCATTACCAGATGAAATTGCAGCAACAGTATAGAATAACACACAATGGCGCCCAGCATTTGGAACCAGAATTTCCTGGTCTCTTTATAGAGGCCAAAAGCCCAAAAACGTATCCTCGAAGTACTTGCATAGAGTAAATAGACATTCAGCTGGACATAAGCCTTTTCAGCCACCTCCTGAAACCAATAGCCTTCACTTACGGCATCATAAGGAGAGCTCTGGTACTTGATCGCCAGATCACACATGTCATCCAATTGGAAAAAGTCAATCAGACGTATCCAAAAGATGAATGTGCCATAAACGAGCAGATACAAATTGGCATCAATGCCAAAGTAGAAGAGCATACTTCAATACCAATTGCACTAGAGGTGAAATTTCAGAAGCGCGCTGCCTGTTCAGACACAGAGTGCAGCGTCCCAGCAAGGCGTGCAGAGCCCACAACCTATGCAACTCGGCCAGGTGTACGCTATTTGGCTTTCTCGCATGCGCTGATCGAATTATTTCTTTCAGGTGGCGATTTACATGTTGATAGCAACATGCTAAGCTCCACAGAGCCGGAAAATATCGTTGGGTGGCAATAACTGGAATATTCATGGCATTGCCGTAAAAAAAGTTGCCTATTAAAGCCTTCCACCTTGTCTCATGGGGCAGCAGCAGGCCATGTCGCTCCACCTAAGCAACAATACGCTCCACATTCACCAGAACGCTGTCCCGTCTGGCACGCGATATTACAGTATAGACTATGGTAACATAGATTACCGCGTTCAGTATATAGCTGGTGGATGTGATAAAATTCGGTCACCAGCTGACCAACTCAAGGAATCATGCTACCATACAGAATAACAGGGGCAATGTTAAAATCCCAAAAGAATTTATGAGCAGGGCATAGCGACGTGTTAGCCAGGTCTGGCGGAATCTGCCGGCCACCAGCCTGTACGAGGCAACGCCCAGGAGTAGAGCGTAATTGTGGTACCACTGTAGAAGTCAGATCTGAGTATGGTTTTCCTTGATTTTGTCACCCCTCCGTACGATTAATTACCTAATGTGCTGCTGTCTATGCCGTCAGCTCGTCATGAATATCCCAAGCCAATTATAATATTTTGTATTCACAAATTTATTGTTCACTTTTCGCTTTTATATTAAAAGAGACTAAAAAGAGATAGAGTAGCCTAATACCTGCTCGGCCTTACCATCAGTTGCACACGTTTTAATGACGCTGTGTGCTGCATAGTCAATCTATATATTTGTATTTTAAATTAGTTCGGTTGTAGCTTATATTTGTATACATTTAAATAGCTGGTAAATTCCAGCCTTGCCTAGTCAAAGGTCTTACTGCTGAGCGTCCGTCACTCAGGACAAAGACTTTTCTAAATATATAGAAATGATAACTCATCTTGTACCACCAGCCAGCCACCTGTGAACTTTTCAGCACAGTTTTCTGCATGGTGATCGTTATCACGATCTCGTGACGAAAACTTTTGCCCCGCATGTTCTCTCAAACAGTCGGTAGCATCTCCGGAGTATTTGCCTAATGTTTTCATTTTATAGGCTTCCTTTTCGTTCTCTATAGCAAACCAATCATACTTAGCAAACCTGTGTTGTCCCTTGAAGTCCTTCATGGTTATGATTAATTCCTGTACCACCACTTTCGTCATGAAATGCAGTTTTTCGAGCCCTATAAAAAAATCGCCAGTAGCATTGCCAAATCCTTTTTTAATAGTCCTTCCAAAACTGCCATCCTCACGCCTCAAGACCAGTGTCCATGCTCCGCCCTGTGTCCTCATCGCATCTAACTACTTATAAACGGATGCAAGCTATAGCAAGGTACGAGAATCTGATAAACGCCACTCCGACGACTCAAATCCGCTGAACACCGATATGTATTTAAAATCAGCACAGATCGCACATGAATTAAAAAACTGAGTGGTGAGCAAATGAATTTAAATATGGCTATAGCTTTACCAAACAAGTGCTGATAAGGAAAATATAGTCACAATTCCCTGATGTTTATTGAAAAAATATGCCGTTATCATCCTCCCAAAATGCACACACATGTGTAATACATAAAATATTTTTAGAAATTATATAATATTTATTTAAGCTGAATACTATATAAATTTTATATTAAAAACTGGTCTCGCAATTCTCATTGTGGCTCATCTTATATGTCTTATCATCATTTGCACATTTTTCAATGAGGCATTATGGCCCGTAAGTAGATACCAATTTATGCCTTTTCCATATGTGGTATCATTATATTTTCCCATTAGATTACTGAAAAAATATTAATATGTATGCTAATTTTTGGGTATCAAGGAAATACCAACCTTTGGTGACATTCTTTGTACCACCAGCCGCCTGTATACATTTCAGCACAGTTGCCGTTATTTTTATCGTTATCTTTATCGCGTGCTGAAAATTTGATTCCTAGATGTCCTCGTAAGGAATCTCCAGCATCTCCGGAGTATTCGCCTAATGTATTCAAAGCATAGAAATCTGTTTCACTTCCGATCGCAAATCGTTCATATTTTGCAAACTTCTTTCTGCCAGAAAAATCTTCCATGGCTATGAGCAGTTCTTGGTTTAGGTCTTTGGTCAGAGCATACAGTTTATCCAAACCTATAAAGAACTCGCCATTGACGTTTCCAAAGCCATGTTTATAGTCATTCCAATGGCGAAAGAAATTAACACTTCCATCCTCACGCCGCAGAATGACAGTCCAGCCGCCATTCTGTATATCCTCATTACAACTGACTAAAAACGGATGCACACTATAGGCTGGTATTACAATCTCATAAACACCACTACGCCGACTCAGTGCTGTTGCCTCCGCACAACTCCCCGGGAACTGAGGTGGCTGCAAATTGCCTAACACCAATTTGTCAATTTTCGCCGTAAGTTCAGCGAATAGTTTCGACTGTTCTAGTCTAAAAATATGTACTATTTTGTGGATATTACATAAAATATCAACCTGGAATACTTACTGCAATGCGTCGATCTTTGAGTGCAGCAACTTGCTGCTAGGGTCTATAATTTGAAAATGTATTTCCGCCGTATGTCCATACTTAATTGTTAAGTTGCCCTGTTTTCCAAGATTGTGTACATTATTCTCTTCACACCTATACACTGATACGTGTACTACAAATATTATGCAAATAATTTTGAGCAGCATTTTAGCAATAACGATTGATTAATGAATCTCTCAAAACTGACGAAAATGTGCTAAAAGCGAGCTTATTTTAACAAAAATTGAAGCTTATCAGCATACTTATTTCTTTGCTCAGTAAAGTCCCCGTTGATTATAAGTAGATTTATATATATAATATGTTCAGTACTTGTTGTTAATTTGTCCAATACAAACAAATTAATATTTTATGAGCATTTTAACACTTGTTGATCCCTTTAACAGGTAACGCAGCCACCTGGAACACCCTTTATCTCACAAATAGTGTTAAGTAAACTATTTTGCCTGAAATGTGTATAAAAGGGAACGCCTTTGCCTATTAACATCATTCGTTCTTGGAAATCCGAACCGTCAACATTTCTCATCCAATGGAAAGCCCACTGTCATTTATGCAGATCGATGTAGGCTATATTATAGTGCTTATTCTGGGGCTTACTGTTCTGGACTATCTGATTGATCTTTGGCCAGCTTACAATATTGGGTTGAGCAATAAAACACCAACTTCTGTGACCATAGCCAATTGTAGCAGTAAATACTATACTGTTCCAAGGATGTCAAGCTGGAAATGTATAGGCAAGGATATGAGCTACGGCCGTGAACCACAGACGCCCATGAAATATCTTAGCTCAGAGCAGCGTGTAAGGCTTATATCGGGTGTTCGACGAAGACTTGATAAACAATTTTAAAGTACTCAATTTTCAGATGTACCCTTTTGAATCGTTGTAATAAAATAAATTTAAATGTTGAAGATTATGTGTTTTATTTATAGACGACTTATGATTTTTGACAAAAGAATAATTGCACATTTAACATTTTACAAAATTTAACGGTTTCTTGTCGTACAATCAGCTTGGCATTCTCCTCACATATCGATATATCGATATATGTTAAGCGTAACAGAACATGTTAACCTTAACATTTTTGTTGTTATAGCAAACTGTTTTAGATGGAAATGTGACCTGTGGCGGGATTGTACGCAGCTAAACCGTGTGTGTTTATTTTCAAAACAATATTTTTAAACATATACATATATGCAAATATAGTATAGATGAAACATTCTTTTTCGATGCAGAAAATTCTTCGTCTGACATTGCAGCACACACGATTAATGGCCAGCTTTTCACAAGTAATCAACCCGATGACAGGCCAAAACACATGGCAAGAGCGTGGCGATGACTACGACTACCATCAGGAGGTGGCAAATGCTGGCTTTGGTGACATGCTGCACGACTGGGAACGCAACCAGAAGTACTATGCGGCATTGCGAAAGACAATCGCAGCCATGCGCAAGGCGGGTAAACAAGTCCATGTGCTGGACATTGGCACCGGCACTGGCATATTAGCCATGATGGCGCTGCGGGCTGGCGCCGATACCGTGACAGCCTGTGAGGCCTTCATGCCGATGGCGAACTGTGCGGCACGCATTCTGACTGCGAATGATGCCGCACAGGTGAGGCTCATACGCAAACGCTCGACGGACATTCAAATGGGCATCGATATGCCGCACAGAGCCAATTTGCTGGTGGCCGAGCTGCTGGACACTGAATTGATTGGCGAGGGTGCAATTGGCATTTACAATCATGCGCACCAGGAACTCCTCACCGAGGATGCCCTGTGCATACCCGCACGTGCCACCTGCTATGCTCAGGTGGCTCAATCGCCGCTGGCGGCGCAATGGAACAGTTTAAAAGTTCTGCCCAATCTAGATGGCGACATTTTGCTGCGCCCACCAACGCAATTACTGGAGTGCCGCGGCGAGGCCGCTCTGCACGATGTGCAGCTCTCCCAGCTCCCACCCAATTCATTTCACACTCTTACTGAGCCCGCACAGATCTTTCAGTTTGACTTTCAGCGCAAGCAGCCGCGCGAACAACAGCGGGAGCATGTGCTACGACTTCAGCTAAGCAAGCCGGGCAGCGTTGAGCTAATCTTCTACTGGTGGCAAATCGAGCTGGACGATGCCGGCGAGCAGCTGCTTAGCTGTGCACCCTATTGGGCCCATCCGGAGCTGCAGCAACTGCAGAAAAATTGTAAAGATGCAGACCGGCCGCTGCCCAATATTGTGCCCTGGCGAGATCACTGGATGCAGGCCATATACTACATACCCAAACCGCTGCAGCTGCAGCAGGCTGGCGAACAGTTCTGGCTAAGATGTTACCATGACGAGTACTCGCTGTGGTTTGACGCACACAAGGAACAGCCCGAGCAGCCGGCGCGGCGTCATAGCTGCAGCTGTGACCTGCATATGACCTACACTCGCAATCGCATCGGCCAGCTTAATCAGGGCACTAGAAACAAGCGCTACCTGGCCTACCTGGAGCAGGCGGTGCAGCAGGCAAAACCTGCACACGTACTGGTCATGGGCGATGGCTGCCTGCTCGGACTTGCCAGCTCTGCTTTGGGTGCCTGCAGTGTACGTTGCCTAGAACCCCATCGATTCTCGCGCCGCCTGCTCGAGTCAGTTGCCAAGCACAATAAATTGAAGAACGTCAGATTTGTGGAGAGCCTGCAACAGCTGGAGCCTGAGGAACTAAACACCATAACACACATATTCGCCGAACCATATTTTCTGAATGCTATCCTGCCGTGGGATAACTTTTACTTTGGCACATTGCTGTTGCAGCTGCAGCAACAGCAGAAGCTGTCCGAGTCTGTTGAAATCTCGCCTTGTGCGGCTCGCATATATGCGCTGCCCGTGCAGTTTCTGGATCTGCATAAGATACGCACGCCCATTATTAGCTGCGAAGGTTTTGATCTGACGCTCTTCGACGAAATGGTGCAGGTAAGCAATAGTTTAATATATTTGACTAGTCATCTCAGTAACAAATAAAATGATGTATCCATTTCAGCGATCAGCGAAACAGGCCCTGTCCCAGGTGGAGGCGCAACCGCTCTGGGAATACCCTTGCCGTGCTCTTGCAGAGCCGCAGCTGCTACTCAACGTCAACTTTGCCAACTTTGGCGTGGAACAGCATAACCAGGGCTGTTTGGAGCTAACAACGTGAGTTGCCCTAATAAGCTGATACAAAAGAGTCTATGCCCTAATCTCTGTGCCATACTATTACCAGCAAGGGAAACTGCAATGGCATTGCGTTGTGGGTGGACTGGCAGCTGGCACCGAACAACAGCTCCAAATCAATTGTCAGCAGTGGACCTCTTGAACCTGTTGTGCCCGGTCAATTCGTCAAGTGGGATATGTTTGTGCGTCAGGGCGTGCACTTCACCAGCCAAACGGATGACCAAACCCACCTAAACTGGAGTACAACGTTCAGACCGCTGCTAGGCGAGCTGAATTTTAACTTTTCGCTGCAAGCGAATCCCGAAGAAACCAAATAAAAAAAAACCGATTTCAGCACAAGAATTTAGACAAGACATGGGAATACATCGAAAATATTAGCAGTTTCAGGACTTGGGTATCTCCTGCTCCATGCGGGTGAGTACAATATTGCGATCAGTCTGGGCACTTGGATTCGTCACTTTCAGTCCATACTCGCCGCCCTTAAGACGCAGACGCAAGTCCAGTGCACGAATGTCTGTCATCAACGAGTGTTGCTTGTTTTCTAGATCCACATCGATCTTCTGGGCATGATCCGATAGCAAATTGAAATTGGCCTTGGCGTCATCGATTTTAGCCTTGAGCAAACGACGTATTTCGCGTAACTTCTCAACCTCCGTGCAGAGCAGATCATGTGCATGATCGAGGCACAGCTCCATGCCACTACGCTGTGCCCGATTGTCCAGACGCGTCTCAGCCAGCTTCAATGAATCCGATTTATCACGCAGCGCATCCTCCAGCGTCTTAATCTCGCACACAGCACTCTCCATTTCTTCCTTCATCTTGAGCTGCTGCCACTCCAGCTCGTTACGCGCCCGCTGAGTCTCAAAGATGCGCTTACGTATGGAGTGCTCCGCACGTTCCTGTTGCGCCTGCAACATGTTACGGGCCTTCTCACGGCACACGAAGAGCGCCTCACGTATAGCTGATGTATCAGCCAACTCATTTTCGGCCAGCTGTTTCATGTTCTTCACATGGCCCAGCCAGGCTTCATAGGAGCAACAGCTGCAAACATTCAGAATTCAAAGTTAACCCAGAAGGCAAAATCCGATATCATGGTCTTACTTCTTGGGATTACGCAAGGGATCCGGCTTATAGGACAATGTGGCTGAATTACGGTCTAACGCAAGTTGCACATTGTCAAGATCCACTGCCTCTATTTTGTTCTCAATCTCCATGCCAATTTTGTAACGCACCTCCTCCAAGCGTGTCAACTTCTCCCATGCCTTCTGACAACGGTCCGCTAACAATCGCTGATTGTTCTCCAAAACGTATAGTTCGTTCTTGATCTCCTTGTCCGGCTCATCATATGTCATCTCGGAGCCGACGCGGCTATCACGCATGGTGAGCACCTCGCTCATTACAGATATGGGCGCAGTCAGTGCGTCCAGCTCACGCTCGGTCAAAGCCTTTTCCTCTTGCAGCGATTTAATTTCGAGTTCAATGCGCTCAAAGGTCTTGGAGATAACCTCACGCCAGCTATTCAGCTGTGCAATACTATCACACACAAAAGTCAGTGGCAGTGTCTATAAGGATTCACTCAACTCACCGATCAGTCAACGCCTCATTCGTTTCATAGTTCGCCCAGTCACCCTCGATGCGCGTCTCATTCCGAAGCGTACGGGAGGAATGACGCAAGGCGAAGGCGTCAGCACGACGGGAATCGGCCACATTTCGCAGACGAGCAACTCGTGCATTCCAGTCAGCCAGAGAAATATGCTGCAGTGGTTTTTCCATAATTACCACCGAATGAAAAGCCATTTTAATGCGATGTGTGTATTCCTTTTGAAATCAATTTTTATTTTATAGAAAAACAATATTTTTGCTCTTTTTCACGGTATTTGTGTTCACAACGAAAACACAACAGAAACTGATGGAATTTTTCAATTTTCATGTCATGTCAATTTTGTTTATGCGATGGCTACTAGATTACCAAGGTGTTGCCTTCAAGCTTGTTGCCAGGCAGTGACGGGGCTATTGAAAATTCGACCTGCAAGTGGGGAAAAATATTGGTCTTAGTTGGTATGAAAAACAACTTCATAAGTCCGCTTGCCGAACTTGTCATTAGAAACAGAAATAATTTCAGTACAATTTGATATATGCTTTTAATCTTATTTCTCTTAATATATTAAATCGGACAAGTTATAATAGGCATAATATTATTTAGTTTGGGTAGCATTTATTAAGAATACTCAGTCAACAGTTAAATGATTTCATGAAGTAGATTATCAAAGATCGCTTGAGTAAACCTTTGAGGACTGTTGTCCAATTTCAGTTCCTTCGATTGAGGATAATCGCTGTTGATCTATAGAACAATTCGAAAGTTCCTTGTGACATCGTATTACCTTAAGGTCTAAATTAGAAGTTAAATGTAGCCTTGTATTCAATTCATTTCTAGGCTTGTTGCCCTGATCGATTACAAATTCATCGAATGTACAAATATTATAACCCAGCTCTAAGACTTGGGAATCAAATCCTGCGTGTTAGTGAGTAAAATATTGCGATCGGTACCAGTACTCGGATTAAAGACTTTCGGTCCAGTTTCGCTTTCCTTAAAGGCCTGCCGTATTTGTAACGCTCGTTTGTCAGTCATCAGTGCGTGCTCCTTCTTTTCCAGATCCGTAGCGATCTTTAGGGCATGTTCCTCAAGTAAATTGTAGTTTTTCCTGGACTCTTCGATTTTCTCCTTGAGACAACGGTGAATTTCACGTTGCTTCTTTACCTCGAAGCAGAGCACATCGTGTACATGATCCAGGCAGAGCTCCATATTCCGGCGCTGTGCCCGATTTTCTAGGCGCGTCTCAGCCAACTTTAAACTATTTGTCTTATCACACAACGAATCCTCCAACGCCTGAATATCAATCGCAGCATTCTTCAATTCATCATTCATCTTGTCCATTTGAAATTTCAGCTCGTTGCGTGCTCGCTGAGTTTCAAAAATGCGTTTCCGTATGACGTACTCGGTGCGCTCCTGTTGAGCTTGTCGAATGCTACGGGCCTTCTCACGGCTCACAAATAAGGATTCTCGCAGCGCGACCGTGTCGGCCATTTCGTTCTCGGCCAGAAACTTGATGTTCTTCGTATGTTCCAGCCAGCCCTCGTATGTGCAACATCTGCAAGCAAGAGTTTAAATTTGTAATTGCCTTTTAATTTGGGAGCCAGGCAAGATTAAGTACAAAAGTAAATGCCTGCATCAAGTCAACTAAAACGCGTTAAACTTGCGCAATTACATCCACAAAATCGAAGACATCATTCACTTTACTTTATCACTTACTCTGTGGGATAACGCATGGAATCCGTCTTGGACGATATTCTTGTGGAATTGCGATCTAGTTCGCGCTGTTTCCTTTCCAGATCCACTGCCTCTATTTTGTTCTCAATCTCCATGGCTATTTTGACACGTACATCCTCAAGACGTGTCAGCTTTTCCCATGCCTTCCGGCAACGATCCGTCAACAATCGCTGATTGTTCTCCAACACGTAAAGTTCCTTCTTTATCTCGTTGTCTGGCTCATCGTATGTTATCTCAGAGCCCAAGCGGCTATCGCGCATGTTGAGCATCTCGCTTATCACCATTATGGGTCCCGAGAGTGCATCCAGTTCGCGTTCCGTCAAAATTTTCTCTTGCTCTAATGCGTGAACTTCGTTCTGTATGCGTTCATAGGTCTTCGATATGATTTCGCGCCAGCTAGTAAGCTCCAGAATTCTGCAAATATGCAAGTATCAAACACATACGATTTCTTACGTAATAAAGGAACTTACCGATCCGCCAATGCCACATTCGACTCGTAGTTAGCCCAGCTATCCTCGATGCGCGTCTCATCGCGGAGCACTCGGGATGAGTTACGCATGGCAAAGGTATCAGCGAGTCGGGCAGTCGCCACATTTCGCAGACGCCCCACTCGCTCATTCCAGTCGGAAAGTGAGATGTGCTGCAAGGGTTTTTCCATAGTAACCACCGAATTGAAAGCCATTCTTAATTCAATATGTAATCTTTTCGTATAATAATATATTATGTAAAATCTTTAATCTTTTATGTTTGTGTACTCTGTGAAGGGCACGAAGGGAATGAATATATTTTCGATTCGGTTTGTTGGAACGTTGTATATATACTTATGCAATGGCTACTAGATCGGCAATGTGTGTCCTTTAGACCATTGTTAATAGCAACGTTACCATTAAAAGCTGTTGCTAGGCATTGACTTAATGAAGCAGTCGATTGGGGCTGAATTCTTTGAACTTTAGGAATATTTTGATAATAAAAGAGCAAACAATATCAGGGATGAAAATCCCAACAAGAAAGTTATCAAGCTTGATTAAGGTTCGATGAAACTTTTATCAAGCTTAAAATATTTCAAGCGGCACATATTTATACCCTGAACTCGTTAAAAATGGGTATAAGGGTATATTGTATTTGTGCGAAAGCCAAATGTATGTAACAGGCAGAAGGAAGCATCTCCGACCCCATAAAGTATATATATTCTTGATCAGCATAAATAGCCGATCTAGCCATGTCCGTCTGTCTGTCCGTCCGTCCGTCCGTCCGTCCGTCCGTCCGTCCGTATGTATGAACGCAAGGATCTCAGAACCTATAAGGACTAGAGACTTTTAGAAATTTTAGATGTAGGTGCTCCTAGCTCCCGCGCAGATCGAGTTTGTTTCCGATAATCGATAACTTACTCAGCTTCCAAGCAATCGATAAAAATCGATATCGATATCTTGTTTTTTGGGCAATTTTGGTAAATAATAAGATCTAGTCACCAAACTTGACATATAGCTTCTAAAATAGAATATATATATGCATTTGATGTTGGAAGAAGAGGGTTCAGGGTATCCCATAGTCGGGAGCTCCCGACTAGAACCTCTTACTTGTTTCACATAGAATTGAGCTATATATCCAAAAGCGACAAACGTAAATTGTTTCGGAAGTAAAGCAAACCATTTTAAAAAAGATGGTTCGCTTAATGGTCAGCATGAAATTATATATAAAAATATTTAATTTCCAACATTTATTGTTGGCACTTTATTGAAACAATAGGAATAAAAAATGGTACCATACACTCTTTCATTTTTTTGCAGTAATATTCTCTGAGTGGGTGAGTTCTATATTTCGATCAGTCTGAGGACATGGATTGTGCGTCTGTATTCCAGCGTCATCATCCCAAAAACGCTGCCGCAACTCGACAGTTTTTTTGTCAGTAATTATTGCGTGCTGTTTTTTGGCCAGATCGTCCTCGATCTTATTAGCATGATTCGATAAAAGATTGAAATTGGCCCTAGATTCGTTGAGCTTCTCCATAAGACAACGCTGGATTTCGCGCAGCTTTTGAACCTCTAAGCATAGAACTTCGTACACTTCGTCCAGACACAGTTCAGTGGAGCAACGATATTTGCGATTCTCAAGGCGAGTCTCAGCCAACTTTATCCTATTTGTCTTGTCATTCAGCGCATCCTCCATATCTTGTATCTCACAATTAGATGCCTTTAAGTCGTCCATCATCCTAAGGCGCTGCCACTCCAGCTCGTTGTACGCCTGCTGGGTTTGAAAAATTCGAAGGCGCAAATAATGATTGGTGCGCTCCTGTTGGGCTAGCAGCATGCTACGGGCCTTTTCACGGCACACAAATAGTGATTCCCGTATGCCAGCTGTGTCGGCCGTTTCGTTCTCAGCCATCTGCTTCAAATTGTGAGTCCACGTCAGCCAATTCTCGTACGAGCGGAAGCTGTAATCAACATTAATTAATTTGATCCGTTGTCGTTTGCTTAAAGAAGCTTACTTTTTGGGCGCAAGCGTCGGATCCACCGTAAAGGATATGGAATCCGAATTACAATCTAGAGCCCGTTGTGTTGTGTCTATGTTTACAGTTTCTGATTTGTTTCGCAGCTCGCTTTCAACCTTAAAGCGCACTACTTCCAGACGCGACAACTTCTCCCATGCATTCTGGATGCGATCTGACAGCAACCGCGCATTGTTCTCTAGCAAATAGAGTTCATTCAATAACTCCTGGCCGGCCCGATCGTAGGTCAACTCCGAAGTAACTCGATCATCGCGCACAAAATGCATCTCTCTTAAAAGCGATAAGGGGCCTGCCTGCCACTCCAGCTCATGTTCCGCAGCCTTCCTCTCCGACTCCAGCGCATGGATCTCCCGCACCAAGCATTCAAATACCTTGGAAATAATATCTCGCCAGGTTTTCACTTCGATAACTCTGGCACCCAAAATATGTTAGTCACAGGCAAATCATAAGGACTCTGACAACAACCTACCGAGCATCCAGCGCGTTGTTCGACTCATAGTTTGCCCAATCACACTCGATGTGAGACTGATTCCTGAGCAGCCGGGATGAACTACGCATGGCCAAGGCATCAGCACGGCGTGCAATTGCCACATTTCGCAGACGATCCGTGTTGGAATTCCAATCGGACATTGAAATGTGAGGGACCGGCTTCTGCATGGTTGTTATCAAACGAAAAGACATTTTAATAATTGTATGTAAAATGTATCCTTGGTGGCAACAATGTATATAGTATATATATTGTATATTTTGTATATTTTTATATATTTTATGTCTTTGAAGTGTTTTGTGTGAATGGAATGTTCTCACTGAAAGGGTAAAGTGGCTTCATGTGCTGGCCTACTAGATCTTACCTTTTTTGCCTATTGGCGAGATTTAAAAAAGTGAAATTATTTCCTGACTGGCCCCATTAAAGTTTTCAATAATATACGCTATATCATCCAAAAGGGTTTTAAATGTAAAATAAGGCAAAAAAAAAACAAATAAATAAAACGTCTTTTTGAAAACTTAAAAAATATGTAGCCCTAAATATCGATTTATTTTTTTTTTTGCGCCATCATTAAACAGATGTTTGTTATCGATATATGCTTGTCACGTCTGCGCGATATTTATTTAAGTAATTGCCATCACCAACAACTGCTGCTGTTTACAGTTTTTTAGGCTGAAAATCGCTTAAAAAGGACATTTACAGCTATTTAAGAGTGTGCGTAGGCGACGCTTTGTGTATTTAAGGTCAGCACCAATTAAAAAACGAACTGCACGGTGTGAGCAACGGGCACACGGGTGTTACGCTCCTAGCTGCAGTTAAGGTGAAGGACAACAAAGGAGCCAAGGACAGGACGCCACGCAATGGCCACGTGCAATCGAAATCTGAATGATAACTGTGACAATACGGCAACAACAACATGCCTCACCAAATGCCCTCCACTTGCTGTAAGCCTCAATGTATTGCCCGACGAGATACTCGAGTTTATATTCACCTATTTGCCGCCCTATGGCGATCTGGAGCACTGCAGCCTGGTCTGCAAGCGTTGGCAACTGATTGTGAAGAGTAAGTGCGTTGCAGAGTATAATGCCATAATAATCCAAATAATTTATACTCCAGATCTTGTGCGCCGCTCACAACTAAATCTGGAAAAGGGCCTGGCCGACTTTCGGCTGCGCTGGGAGGTGTTCTCACAACAGACGGCGGCCTCTTTGGAAGCAAACTGCCCGAGCATACCAACGGGTATGCCCATGCCTATTATAGCAGGACGCTTTGCACACTCGGCAGTGCGGCTAGGTAACTCGATGTATGTCTTTGGTGGCGGCTCCTCGTCGGACACAACATTTAATGATCTGTGGCGCTTCGATTTAACACATATGCGCTGGTCGCGTCCACTTGCGACGGGTACATATCCCTCACCCAAGGGCAGCGCTTCCATGGTGGCCTGGCGGGATAAATTAGTGCTGTTTGGCGGCTGGCGTTATCCCTCGTTACATCCACCGTATCAGCCGTGGTGCCTGTTCGATGAGCTACACTACTATGATCTGCCCAAAGACCGCTGGCTGGCGCGCAACTCACTTCCATGCCCACCGCCCATGGCAGGTCATTCGGCCAGTGTGCATGGGAATAGCATGATTGTGTTTGGCGGCTATCAGATAAAGGATGACGTCAATGTCAACTCTAATGATACCTGGGTGCTGGATCTGGATGAGCAGCGATGGTGGCAGCCAATCTTTGTAGGCAACACGCGACCTGCGCCGCGTTACGGTCAAATTCAGGTGGAACTCGATAAGCAGCATCTACTCATCGTTGGCGGTTGCGGCGGCGCCAATCGGGTTTACACAGATGCCTGGCTGCTGGACATGACGCGTGATGCCTGGTGTTGGAAGCAGCTGAACGTACGCAACAAACACTTTGGCGCCGTCCACATGTGGTGCAATCCTGGCTGCAGGGTTAATAACTATTTGGTTGTGGTGGGCCCATCGCCCAAAATGCCCCTTGACTTTCAGATAATGAAGCAGAGCCGTGTGCCAGCTGTGGGCGGCAACGCATTACGTTTTGCTGGGCTAGGCCAGGTGCCGGCACCGCCACCGCCGTTCTACCAACAACAACAGCAGCAGCCCGGGCAGCGAGTACCACTGCCGGAGCGTAGACCAGGCGCCATGCTGCCTGAACAGCATCAGCGTGGCAACAATGGACGTTTCGGTGCTGCCGCCGCCTTGCCACCACAGGAGCAGTATTTGGCCAACAGGCGGGCCATACTGGACCAGAACATGCAACAGGCGCAGCAATTTATGCATAACAACAATGTCAACAATAACAACAACAACTACCAGCCGCGCTCTGGACGTCTTAGCGATTTGCATTCACCGCCTGCAGCCGCGCCTGCTGCAGCGACAAGTGGAGCACCTGCTGCATCTGATGGCGATGCAGATGCTGCACAGAGATTACAACGCAATCTGGCGCTGCGCTGTCGTGACAACGAGCCGCTGCTGCCCAAGCGTTTTGACGAGCACTACGAGGTGAGCGAGCCATATTAAATAAATGATTTTTTGCCATTAACACAAGAATTTACCTATTTTAGGACCCCTTTCGCATGGCCGCATTCAATTTACCCGGACGTTCACGCAGTGCATCGCGCGATCATAGCGAACGTATACGTCGCATGGAGGAGAAAATGAATGCTATACGCAACTCGCGACGCAGTGCACCCGCCCATGTGGAGCCGCAAACATTGCGAGCCCCCTCTCCGAAGCGTGTCCGATGTAATGTCCAGTCGCTGTTCGTTTGCGACATCTCTAGCTTGCTGCAGCGTGATGCGAACAGTGAGCCTGGCCTGGATTGGGTGGAGTACAAGAATTTTGGTGTTTTAAGCGGGGCACCCGATCGCCTCATACTGTCCAGCCTGATAGCGGGCAACGGGGAGCTGATATTATTTGGAGGCGTGCATAAGGAGACGCTAACGGACATCACACACCATGTGTCCAATTCCATACACTTTCTCAGTGTACCACGTGATATTATCTAAGCGCAGGCACAAGCCATACCACACACACACAAATGCATATTTAGCTAAAAATATTTCTTATAAGCCTAAGCTATTGCTACCCTTTTAATCTGCGTAACTGCATCCTTCAAATCCTTGAAATTAGTTGCTGCGTTTAGACTTTAAATTTGAGTTAACATGTAATATATTATAATTTACTCGCATGATTAAATGGGGTGAACCTTATATGGAGCTTTGTGCGGGCAATCATCTTCTGTTCACATACTTGAACAGGATCATGAAATATAGTATATGGAAAAGGATATACAAAATAGAATAAATATGATTTCACCCTACAATTACTTTATTTCGTTTTGTTAACCAACAACTAAACTATATAGATATGTATATTGTAATTTGTATATTCTAGTTCGCATTTTCGTGTACACTACTTAATTTTTAATACGAAATATTATAATTACATATGTTCTACTTCAATTTGTGCAAAACGCGGCAGGTGTTTCGGGTAGCAAAAGAGAGGAAATCAAGAAGAGAGTAAGGCATAGACCTTGGCCAAAAGTAGACGAGCACACGTGTATGAGCTGAGGGACCAGCCTCCAACGGTCGGTCATATACCAGTTTGTAAGTCACATGCCAAAGTCAAAGCCATGGCAAAGCGTCTGCAACTGGCATGAACAAGCGATAAGGTATAGCAAATCACGCAGTCAAGTCGAATCGCCATTGCTCTTACTTCCGTTAGATCCTTTAGAAAATGACAATCGGTTTGACTTGATATTGAATATATTTTTAATATACTTAATTAATTTGTAATTAATTAACTTGAAATCAGTAATATTAGTTATAGTAGATTAAAACCTTAATGTTCTCTGATTAGTCTGGTAAAAGTTAAAAGTTATGTAAATATTTTCTTTAATTTCAATATGATTTAGCTATTGTAGAAGATATTTATATGACTTTCATTATATTTGTGAATTTTTAAACAATTTGCTATTTAAATACATTTGTTACAATTCTCAAAATTTCAATAAGCCACAGCTATTGTAGAGTATATATATGTATGAGTTACAGAAATAACTTTGGCTGCAGAAGAGGCTATTAAAGGGTTCAAGGTTGCGCCTCGGCAATGCCAATCATTGGCAGCACAAAATGACGCCGCTTAATTTGTAATCTCAACTAGATGCTGGATGAGCACAGGCACATGATTCTTATTAAAGATTACAATAGAGAGAAAAAGAGAATAATGATGGGTCAGCTTAAATGGTCCCCATTTCATAAAGAGAGAGAGAGAGAGAGGCTCGACACCTGAGTGACAAACAGTAACAGTAGCCAGAGTCTACGGCTAACGCAAGAGCGCGACTGAGAACCAGAGCACCAGAGAGTATGGTCACCTTCCAGAGAGCAGCCAGAGGTAGGGGTATCGTTTGTGTTCTCCAAGCGATCAGTTGAAGGTGGCGCTTCGCGCTGAACAGTACGTGCGTCCATCAAAGCTTTAACTGCGCTCGTCGTGCAGCCGCCAGTGAGCAGCTGGCAAAATCGGTCAAGTTCAGCTCCTTTCCAGAACAAAATAATTAACTTTAAGCTCAACAAGCCTCAGTGAAAGACGCTTTCAATTCAGTTTTTCTGCCGAACTAAAGAAAAACAAAAGTTTCAACGTAGCAATTAAAATATAAATACTCAAGAACTTGTCACAGTGCCAATTATTATGCGCAGATAAAAGGTGTGCTTTAGTATCCATTGAAAATTATCAACGGAATATATTTCAAAGGTCGCTAACAAAAATTGAACAAGCAAAGGAACAACGAAACAAAAAACAACAAAAACGTGCTTATGTAAAGTTCTGGCTGTCTCGAAGCATTAGTAATTACGCTACCCGATCGCCAATCGATGCCCAGAGAATAATAAATAATTTGCGCAGCAGCTTTCGGAAATCAATAATATAATTTATAAGAATAATAAAAGGTAAATATCGCAGCTCCTCAGATTGAGTGTCAACCAATTCAATTGAATTTGCGTGCGAAGTATGAAATTTTCTCCCTCCACCGTGAAGCCATGCTGTCTAAATATTTTGCTTATACTCTACATGAGTTGGCCTTATCACTTCTTTTATAAACAACGTGGATTAGTTTTCAATGAACCAACTAGGTACTGGTTGTGTCAGTTCTTTGATAATAATTATTTCTAATTTCTTGAGCGTCCCCAACATCCATGCTGCATCATTTATGTAAACACTATAACCGGTTTTTTATAACCCGTGCGCGAAATATAATTAACGAGAGTCACACACACACCGAGCCAAGCACGGGTAATGGGCGCGACATGCCGGCATTAGAATGGTAGAACATGATTTAGTAGTATACGTAGATATATAAATATTTGAGTGTGTTATTGATAAACAAAGTATCGCATATATATGCGATTGACTGTGTTACGCCTAGCCGACGATCAAAATAAATTTCAATCTTATTTCGCCAGCACTTACGTCATGGACTCTTTAAGGAGGCTATAAGTTGATTTATGCCTAAGTAGGGGGCTTCTTATCACAAACATAGATTAGAAAACTAATATATAATCTTTGACCAAAACTTAGACACTATAAAGAGGCAAAACTCTCTAAAAAAAAAGGCTATCTAGTGATAACATGAAAAATGTGCGAATCTTAAATATCAAACATATCAATTACTTCTAATAAAGTTATATTGTTTTTTTTTTCCCCAAAGTTAGGAAGCGTAAGCATACAAAGTGTATAGTGTGTAGGGCGTGCACGTTTCGGGGTCCCCTAATTTGCTATGCAAACTAGGGGAAAGGCAGAACTCAGAGAATTTCTAAAAATTTGCTAAATGATTGATGCTGTATGGAAACTGGTTTCCTATTAGCCAAACTGTCATTAGTTTCTCCAGAACGCAATTATTATATATGTATGCATGTCTTTTTTTATGCTTTCAGATGAGCGCCGCCGCTGCTTTCGAATTGGCCGTGGCCCATCGCAAGGAACAGGCCAACGTGGGCACCTTGCTGGGCCGGCGGTACGCGGAGCTGTTGCAGGCCGAGAAACACACGGACTGTGTGTTCCATGTGTGCGAGCAGCAGCTGAAGGGACACAAGCTGATATTAAGTGCTGCCAGCCCGGTCTTTGAGGCCATGTTTTATGGGCCGCTGCAGGAGCTGGAGTCGGAAATAGAGATACATGATATCAGTGCGCCAATCTTTAAAGTATTGCTGGAGTATATTTACACGGGCAGCGTTGACTACGAGGGCATGCAGCTGGAGGCCGCCATTGAGTTGTACTACGCCGCCGAGAAGTATCTGCTGGATCAGCTGATATCGGATGCACTGCTGGCCATAACTCAGAAATTGCGCTTCTCCAATGTCCTGCCAGCGCTGGAGCTAAGCGTGTGCATGGGTCTGGACAGTTTGCTAGATGTGTGTATGTCGTTCTTTATGCGCTGCTGCGTCAACAATGACCAGTACATGAGCTATCTGAAGATGCACTATGTGCACGTGTCCAAAGAGTGCGTCAAGTCCATCATAGCCGCATGCAAGGAGCCGCACAAGCTGTTGATCTGGTATATCTACGAATGGAGTCAGCGGGAGTGCGATGATGCCGGGCTGGGTGATGCCACCAACACCTGGCAGGTAACGGCGGCTCCAGCGGATACAATAGACTGTCCTGCTCCCACGCCTGCCACGCTCGTCGAACGCTGCTACTACAAGGCCTGCCGTCCGTTTACCGTGGACGCCGAGTCGCATGTTTGGCGGCTGGGCTTGAAGTGCTCGCGATTTATTTCAGTGCTAGGCTTGGTGCTCAACAGTCGCCTGGCGCCAAATCTTACGTGCAACATTGGCCATGTGCCGCAAGAGTATCGCGAATCGTTGCGCATTGATCTTTATCCAGATGGCGGGGAGCCCGTGTGGACGCATCTTATCCAAAATCAGACAACAAAATACAATTGTGATTTGCATCTGAGCTGGAGCCGCGAACAGGCCTGCGTGCTGACGCCCGAGGTGCACTACGTGCTGCAACTGCGCTGGGAGAGCAGCGCCTATGGCGCCGAGTATCCATGCAGCTTGCAGTCCTGCCTGGCCGATGGCATTCAGTTCATCGACGGCGACAGCTTCAGCGGCTGTTTGCTGAAGGGACTGCGCTATGTGAACTTAGTTTAGATCCTCTTGTTTAGGTTAATTAAATCGTAATCATTGTGTATTTATTGCTTAAAGTTAATGTACGAGCGTCAAAGTTCAATAAACTGTAAAACAGAAAACGATATTCATACCAAACAAATACATATCAAGCCGGTTTGCGTCTGGTCTGTTATCGTCAGCTGATGATTGTACAACTCACGCACAATCTTATAAATATACAGTAACAACAAAAAAAAACAATATTTTAGGAAGTTACCAACTGAAAACTGGCCTGTTCGATATCAACAAACATACGTACATAACATAATATTCACATTTGATGGCAGCCTTTGGTTACTGGGTATTCATGCATCAGTTTAGATGAAAATGCTGATTTAAAGTATATTGATTTGAATTTATTTTAAAATTACTAATTGATTTTGATTGCTGAGTGATTTTGGCGCAATTTGTTAACGATAGTTTTCGTCACTGTTTTTGTGTCTGCTGGGTATATACCCAGCTGACAATTTTATCGCCATTCACAAGTACAACAATAATTTATCGATTATTTGCTTGCACATCACTAGCATTACACCGCTTTTAGTTAAACAGAAGTAAACAAAATGACAATTTTGTACAAAGTTGAAAGCCGGCGTGAATTTGGTAATGGCAAGGACAGCAGCGTATTCCCGCACAAGGTCGTGCTATGCGCCGTATCCGCGCGCAACATAATTGCATTCAGCGCACTCCAGAGCCTCTCCAGTCACGTCTATGTGTGCGACATTGTGACACCCTGGCAGTACTATAAGATGTGCACCTCAAAATCGCTGATCAATGTTTTGGAGTGGAATGCCAGCGGTGAGCAGCTGATGCTGGGCTACATTGGTGGCCGTGTGGAAATCTGGCAGCCTAAGGAGCAGGCGCTAAACGTCTGGCAGCTGCAGTACCATGTCAACATACCCAGCGAGGACATCATCCAAGCGAAGTTCTTTCACAACGGCAAAGGCGTTGTCTTCAATACACAGAAAAAGGATCATACCTACTATGCCGAGAAATTTGAGAGACTCGAACAGCGACCCACGTTAACTGGCTTTGGCGGCGTTGCCACCGAAGGTTGCATACTGCTTAGCTCCTCCGGCCTGTTGGCCGCCTTTACGCTGCCCCAGCTTCAGAAGCTGGCGCCCAACAGCAACAGCGGCGTTGTACCAGAGCCGCCGCTCAGCGCCGTCAATAACGAACAAATCGAGCTGACGCCTGCCACTCACAGCATTGGCATCTCGCGCAGCTACATCGAGCACAGTAGCATTGTGCCCAGCGCCAGTGGAGCTCTCAACATAGCCTACAGCATTGGCTGGCAGCAGCATCAGCAGCTGGTGCACTGCTTTAAGGTGGGCATATTCTATTTAATCCTTGGTCTTCAGAATATTACTGTTTTATCTTGTCTTTTTCCAGGTCTCATTGCAGTTGGAGGGTGAACGCATTGCCATCAAGTCCGAGTCTCTGGCCAGTATATTTTTGAACACCACGCCTTCGCCACTGGAGAGCAGACGCATCACACAGCTGCTATGGACGCGCGTGGCCAACGAGGATGTCATATATGTGGTCTTTGGCTGTGCCGATAGCGCCAGTTTGCTGGAGCAATGGACGTTGACGCGACGCCATCAGAATGTGCACGCGCTGCTCCAGCAGTCGTCAGCCGCGCCAGCTAACAACAGCAAGCCCGTTGATTATGTGCCAAGCGAGAGCTGGGAGCAGGTGGCCAAGCTGCAATTGAATGCACAAATCTCGCAACTTTGCAGCTCGCGCCTCATCGCCGCAGACTGTGAGCAGCTGTATGCCATACTCTATGATAACAGCGTACAGGTGCTGGAGCCGGGCACGTTGAAGCAGCTAAATCACACGCAGTTTGAACGTGATGCGGAGACGAGATTCGTGTGCGCCGACCTTACGCCCACCAGCCAGATGTTGCTCATCTTCGACAGCCACGCCCAGCTGCATGCAATGCAAACGCCCATGCTGAAGCAAAATGCGAGCACCATGCAGCTGCTGCTGCTGCTGCTCGAGTACTGCATTGTCACCGGAGTGGACGCTAGCGATGTGCTGCTGCTCAATCTGGGCAACCTAGAGGCGCTGGTGGAGAAGCTGACGGACAATTTTACACGACAGCCATCATATGTGCGTCAGTTCTACTATGCCAACTTTTTGGCGCTGAAAAGCAATCTGTGCCGTGCGCAGCAGCAGGAATTTGATAATCTGATCATATTGCACGCCATCTCGAGCACATTTAAGAGCCTACTGCGTCCCTCGGATTTGGGCTGTCAGGACAAGGGGCCGGCGGATAATTTGGCCATGAAATTGGCCGAATCGGTGCCGGACGTGGACACGGTGTTGCTTAATCTAGATCCCAAGGACTTTACCGTGGAGCCCATGATGCTGCAGAGCCTGCAACAGCTAATCCAATGGGTCACTGACCTGGCACTCAACATGCTCAATCGCCTGCCCGAGGAGGTCATGAAGAGCAAGCTGTCCGGCAAGCGTGCCAGCTACGACATCAGTCGCGACATTGTGGCCATTGGCAGTCTGCGCGAGTTGCTCGTCATGATTCGCATATGGGGACTGCTCAATCCGCAGTGCCTGCCTGTCTATACCAAGACCATGGACAACATCGATGTGCTGGCCATACTGTTCAGACTGCTCACGCGGTTGGCACAAAATGCCGCGGAGCCGGACGAGCTGCTGCTGGACGAGTGCAGTCTGCTGTCCAAGCAGCTGCTCATACCACAGCCGTCCAAATACAATCCGACAACGCTGCTGAGCGCCCAGGGCTATGCGGCTGTCAAATCTGGACAGCTAACGTTCACCTCGTTGGTGGAGCCAGTCGGACTGCAGGACATTGAAATGGAGCAGGTTGTCTTTGCCAATTGCGTCAAGGATGGCGTTAGTAATCTCCAACTGGGCGCCAATCCCAGCACCATTAGACGCTGTGCCCGCTGCGGTTTCGTTAACAGCGCCAACAAAGTGGCCAAAACGTCCGCACTGAAAGCCTGGTGCAACAAGTGGTTGCATTGCCACTGTGGCGGCTTTTGGAAGCAAATTAATTAGTATTCAAATTAGAATTAGAATTCAAATTAGAATTAGAATTAAAGAGCTCTAGGATTTAAATTAATAAAAAATTAAATAAGGGTTAAATAGATTTTTGTAAATAGATGTACATAAACACTGAAAACTCAAACACGTAACCCCGCGGTGCTTTTGCCCGGTTATGGGAAATCTTAAACAAACGGAAATAAATTATTATTCCCCTATATAGCTATCGTAATTAAACTAATAAATACATCTAGAGAAGTTTATGTAGTGTATTTATGTTTTAATAACTAATATAAATTGCTAAACAACTATAACATATACCTTCGGGAGTATAAATTTATATGTTAGTAGATATTATTACAATTATTTTGTGCTACGGAAATTTTGATTTTTTTTATTGTTAATTTGATTCTTTTTCAGCGATAATTGTTATCGCTGATATCAATTACAATATTATCGATAGTTGTACATTCGGATAAAATTTGCAGTGCCATCGATAGTTGTAGGTACTTTCCAATCGATTGCTTGGAATCTCTGCTTCTTATTAGACTATTGATAAATACAAACAAAAATTGGCTTGCAAAAAATCTAATTTGATTTAATTAACTCCACCTGAAAATGAACATAAACTTGCCCAATTTTAATATGAAGAACCTGGTCAAGGAGGCGGGTAGCACAATATCACGCGTGGTCCAGGTAAGTCATGACTTAGCCAATAGCTAACCAAACTTGTGGTTGGGGCCTGACTGTGGGTGTGGATATGGGTGGCGTTTTGGGCCTTGCGCACGCGATTCACTTTTTTCGTTTACCCTTGCCCTTTTGCAGCTAACGGAGGAGAAATTGGGCACCACCGAACGCACCGAATATGATATGCACTTTCAAAATCTAGCAGAACGTGCCGACGTGACCAAAACATGGACAGAGAAATTGGTGCGCGACACCGAATCGGTGCTGATACCGAATCCCCAGAATCGCGTCGAGGATTACATATTCGAGAAGATTGAGAAATCGAAACCGAAACGCCTCAGCAACTTGGAGCATCTGGCGCTAGACATGATCGAGGCGGGCGGCGACTTTGGCCAGGACCTGCCCTACGGCCAGGCACTAATCAAAGTGGGCCAGGCCGAGCAAAAGCTGGGACAGTGCGAGCACGACTTCATTGCCACCTCAGGCATATGCTTTACGCAACCGTTGCGTAAATTTCTAGAGGGGGAAATGAAGACCATCAGCAAGGAGCGCGGCATACTGGAGACGAAGCGGTGAGTCTAACGCCATCCAAAGATTAGACATATGATAAATGTGTGTCTCTGTTGTTTGCAGCTTGGACTTGGATGCGTGCAAGAATCGCGTGAAGAAGGCCCGCAGCATGCTGGGTCAACAGGCGGTGAGTGTGGGTCGGCATGAAAATTGTCGCATTAAGCTCATTATAGATTTTTGCCTCTGCTTTTACACTTTTGTGCTGCTTTTCTTCTATGTGGATGTGTTTTATGTAATTTATAGAAAGATGGCATTTCGCCAGAAGCGGCCTTGGAACAGGTATCGCCCATCGAGGCGCCTATTCAATGCTCTATTTTAAACGCTTTACGAAATATTTATATATCTTCTTTTACTAACAATTAAGTTTGTTCTCGTACAGGCGGAGCGCGACCTGCGCGTGGCTCAGGCCGAATTCGATCGACAGTCGGAGATTACCAAACTGCTATTGGATGGCATCAGCACATCGCAGGCATCGCACTTGCGCCATCTGCACGCCTTCATCCAGACCCAGGTTCGGTACTACAAACAGTGCGGCGATGTCATGGATCAGTTGCAGCGCGAGCTGGCCAAGTAAGTAGTAACAGCTATGGATAAGAGCCATGCATCGGTTGACTTAATCACTCAATCAAAGAAAGTTTGAAATCGACGGGCACAAATTCAACACCCAGCCAACATGTTCGAGCTTATCGGTAATAGTATTATTTGTGTGCAATTCAAACAGCTCGAAGCGAACATATTTAAGTCTTGACTCGAAATAATTGTTTGAGCATCCGAAACGCGTCTCGATTGACTCGATGCAGGGCTCTACTATGAATATAAGCTTATCCTTTTAGATTTGTTTTCTTTACATGCAATATATGTATTAGTTATTATATGCAATTTGAGTACTTGAGTAGGTGGCACTTAACAATTCTTGCACTGTGGTTGGCATTGTGTGTACATGTGTGTCCTTTTGGTTGTTGTTGACCTTTCGGTTTGTATTGTTTTGTGGTCTTACAGAATGCAGCCAGCGAAGCCACGCCTGCGCATCAATAGCGAAGATGTCGATGGGCCTCCCAGCATTGCTTCGGCTCATTCCTGTGATTCAGATACCAATTCCACTCCATTAGCACTAGCACTAGATAGCGATTACGATTATGATAATGATAATGATATTGAGGGCTATAAGACCATTGATATCGGTCCGGTCAAGGCGCTCACGCATCTGCTGGAGGACTTTGAGATAGAGTTCGATACAAGCGCAATAACAACAGTTTAATTAACGCCTTGAATCAAAATTGAAACGAGCTTTGGTTAACATTTGTATACGAATACTAGGCATAACTTTAATATTGGTTGTCATTAATCAAATAGTCGTTAAGTCGTAGAGTCGTTTGCTTCTGTTTTTGGTCAAAGCGGTTTCACTAGAAGCACCCATTCAATTCAAACTCAACACCCACAAACTCAAAACCCACAATCAAGTCATTTAAGCTCTCTGCCTCTGCGTCTTCCATCAGCTTGGGAGGCCCAACACCCTACACACCGATCGATTTGCATGATGCCGCCAAGTCCAGTGCCGCCGGCGGCATGGGCGGTGGAGCACGTAATCCTGGCAACAACAACAGCAGCAGTGCCGGCCACAAAGCTAATCAGTCCATGCAATTGAATGTGAACACGGATCAAATGCAGCGCGCGCGTGTCCTGTGCTCCTATGATGCCAAGGATCACACCGAATTGAATTTAAGCGCAAACGAGGTGAGCAGTTGAAATTATTCATAGTTTTCCCATCAAACTTCTTACCTCTTTCGATTTCGTAACTTGCAGGTCATCTTTGTCGCCGAATGCTCACCTGTAAATGAGGATTACATGTACGGTAAGCAGGGTCTGATGAAGGGCCTGGTGCCGCGCGCCTTTGTCGAAATGCTCGATGAGGAACATGAGGTAACTCTCTAAGTGGATAGTCTTGAATGCCAGCAACCAAAATGAAAAGACAAAACCCATAATCAAGAGAACAATTATGTTAGACAAAACTAACTAAAAGCAACAAATACTCATAAACATTTAAAGCAAATGCAATTGGACAATTACAACATACTTAGTTCATACATAATACATACATATGCAAATTATGCAAGAGAGTACAATAATTTATCAGAATATACATATAAAATATACAACATATATACACACACATATTATAGCTTATAGCCCTAGCTTAGTCCGTGTCGTTTGATCAGTGTGCCTCATGTAATCCACAAAATGCATTCCAATCACCCAGCATTAGATATACATATAGCTAAATGACCTATCCTTGTTACTTGCTCAGCTTTTAAACGAAATATTTAAATAACTAATATATTTATCAATACTAATTCGGATATAAAGAATCTCCTCTTAAATATGAAATTAAATGCAATTGTTTTTTAAAATTCCTAAAAACTCAATTATCAAAATCTAAAAAAGAAATACATTTACTATTTTTATTAAACTTATATTTATATAGTGCAAAATATTCCAAACATTTATTATTGTTGCTAAACTAAAGAAGTCTTTATTAATTATTAAGCTTCTCAATCTCACATTGAACAAAGTATTATATTTTGTGTTATTTTGCTAGTTGTTTATTCGTTAGTTAAATTTAAAGTGTTCTTTAAATATACATTTACGAGATTGTTAATACTACTATTCAAAAGTAAATAATTTATCTTAGGTTAAATATACTCACCTTAACTGTCTTCTTTACCTGCCTTTGTTAAATTTTGGTGCAATTTTTCCCCAAAAGTCAATTAAATGTTGCTATTTAATGTTTAAGATATGCCCAAAAAAAAAAGAAAAAACAAACACCAAGCCAAGCCAGACTTAGCGCTAAATCAAAGTAACAAAAGAGATTTGAAATTAACGTAATTATTAAACGTACAATAGCATAAAAAAAAAACAAGAATAGCAAAGTAAACAACGATTTTAGGTTTTCAACATTGAAATGCGTCTAGAGATGGTTTTTAAAAACAAGCAAGCACACCATAAACTACTATGTGAAACAAATGTATTAAAATATAATTATATAAATAATAAAGAATGTTAACAATATGCAACAAACAATTGGTTTAGCGTTTCATAACGAGATTAATATATTTTTCGTAGTGATATATTGTTGATATATATTTTAATAATTATCTTTTTTGGCGAATTTTAGTGTAATACGAATTTACAGTAAATGGATATACTAGAATTAGCCCCAATATCTGAAAATATCGGGTAAGTGTTAGCATATAATATTAAATTTATTAAATTGTTTATAAACTATCCCAATAATCTTCGATATCTGAATAATCCATATCTTCTAAATCGTAACCAAATTCGTCAAACCCATCCAATTCGTCAAAATCCCCGTCGTAATCATCGTCGGAAAAATCGTAGTCATCGTCAGTATCGCTTAGGAAACCCATATCATACAAACGATGATCATGTTCTGTGTCTAGCTCGTCTGAACCAAAGTACATATCATCGTCGAATACCAACAAATCGGATAGGTCAAAGAAGCAAAGATCAGATGAAGAGGGTGGCGCAAGAGATGCATCAATTATATCCTTGGAAACCACATCTGGATTTTTCATGTTCTCCTCGTTAATGTTGCATCCGTATAAACTAAGCTTGATGGGTAGCTGACGCTGGATTTCTTTTTGGCGAATTTGTAAGCGCATTTTAAAAATAATATCGGATAGTAGCTTTTCTGTGAGCTGCGGGCAATTTTCTAAATGCAACACCCTCAGCTTTGGGCAGGAAAGTATCAAGCGCAGCGCAGCATTGTCGTTAACATTGCTGCAATACTTAAGATTGATCTCCTCCAGCTCTTGCAGACTGCTCAAAGCCTCTAATTCACGATCTTTGATCGCATCGTTGTTGGGTATAATAAGCGTGCGCAGTGTGCGTAGTTTGCTTATTTGTGAAACCATCTCCGAATTGATGCAGTTCTGACCGCGTGCTTCAAAGTGTACCAGTTGCTCGGACCTGTGTTCCACCAGCCACGTGAGCAGCTCGGGGCGCAGCTTTGCATCCTCCTCATGACTGTGGACAGTCAGCTTCTTGAGGCTGGGCAGCCTAGCAATGTGCTCGTATTGATTATTCAGTCCAAAGCCGAGCCCATTGCTAACTGAGATAGTTTCCAGCGTATTGGAGCGCTGGCTGTTGACTAGCTGTTTAAAGGCCGAGCCAATGGTATAAACACCCTTCATGTGCAGCTCCTTGAGCTGTTTGAGTGCCTTAAAAACCCGGGGCAATAGTTTCGACTGCAGTCCAGTGCAACTGGTCAGTGTCAGCGACTCAATGCTTATCGGCAAGCGATTCATATTTTGCCCAGTCAACTTGTCATTGTTAGACAAATCGAGTATCTTGAGCTGTGACAAATGCTTCAGCGCAAGCAGAGCATCATTACGCAAGTCGCAACCGCGCAATTGTAGGCTCTCCAGCTGGGTCAGCTTGCCAAAGATCTTGTTCATGGTGCGAAAGGTCAACTTATTGGCCGTAATTCGCATAGTAGTAAGATTAGTGCAGTGGGCGCCCAGAAATTCGCCCAGACGCTGGCGATGGCGTTGTGGTATAATGCCCTCAATCTTCCGAACATGACGACCGGACAGCACAAAGAAATCACGCACATCCCACATAGTCATGTCTGCAAATTCTTCAAATTTCACGCATTTATCCAAGGCTGGTGACGCCCGCTTATAGATCTCTCGAAAACGGATGCAGGTGCGCGCAAAGTGAATGCGATCGGGCAGTGCCAGTAGTCGCACTATATAATCCAAGCAATGATCGTTCAGATTCAGAATAGCAGCCGGCGGCTCGTTGGGATCGGACGACAACTGCTTCCGTGGTATGCCATAGGCGTCTGGCTGATGCCAGCTGTCGCTGGGCTGCACGGATAGACGGCCTTTGTTTACATTGTGAAATTTGCGACGCAATGCTCTGCAGGGCAAAATGTTTATTTTAGATGTACGCAGTATAATTGATTCACTTACTTGGCAGCACTACGCGGATCTGCGAAGACGACATAGCCTCTCTTTGATTTTGGCCTATCATTTGAGGCCTTGGAGCCGAAATGGTTGCTGGCCTGCCCAAAGAGACGCAAGTGCTCGACGCGTCCGAAGGTGTTGAAATAGGCTCTCAATTGCTTCGCCGATAGCTAATGCAGGAAAATTCGGTTATCTTGAATATTCAAGGAATATGAAATTCTTGCCAATCGCTTACCCCTGGTGCTACATTATTCAAAAAAAGATTCTTCACCAATATGTTGTCCTCGGTGTAGACTTCATCGCCCTGAAAATAATAGGTTTTGTGCGTCGGCAGACAATCGTTGACCCTTCTATAAGCACGTGAGCCACGTATATTTAAAAAATTTTGAATAGCGCTCATTTTTTCTGCTGTAAATTCTACTACGACAATTGAAGCACAGCTACATATACTGTAGAATTTCCTTATACGATGGAGGGCCCCTACAGCATATGCGCTTTGACTTTTGTTGATTCTTGCAGTTGCACGAAATTGTTCTTGATACGTCTGTCGGATAGAGTTAAACGATACTTACGTTATCGGGTACTTGTTATCGCTCATCTCTAGCTTTCGGAACTATGTACCTATATCGATAGCGGGTGAATTGAAAAATACATATTTATTTTTAAATTTTTGATTTCCCGGCAATCACACTCACCTATCGAGTAATTCAATTTATAAATAAAACAGCGTCCAAATGTTTTCTCACTCGTACTTTAATTTCGTAAATTATAACGTTTTTTTATATTATTTTTTAGCAAAGCTTAAAAAAAATATTTGCATATTTCATGTTTGCTGTTTCTTGTAGAAAACCTAACACAATTGTTTCTATATTTACATAATGTACACAATTTATGACTTAAATTAACTAGTTTCAATTTACAGTTGTTCTACTAAAAGTCTTCGATTCTTATGTCAGAAAATCAACGAACAGCATACAAAATATGTTACGCATCTATATACAAAAAATGCTGCCAGCAGCGTTTGCAAATATAATACAAAAGCAAATTAAATAAGTTTAATAATTAGAAAGTAACACTTCGTGTGTGTTGTCTAGTTTTGATTGCTAGAATTTCGCCGATTGTCACGATAGTATCCAAGAGTGTATAATACCTTTGAATAGAAAGCCATAATAATTATGAGAATTAGGTTAAATAATTAAAATGCTTACGATTTTCGCCCGGTGAGAGCGTTATATGTATGTCCTCACGATTAAGAATCGGCGCTGCAATAAAACAATTGCAATTAGTATATATTTAAGTTGATTATCAGCAACTACAACAACAACGAATTGTGTAAATATTTAAATAACTTCTTTATTTATGCAAGCTGCTTAAAATAATAATAAACTTTGTTTGCTTAGTAATACAGGCGCTATCAATAAAACAGATAATGAGGCATATGCATTGACATAAATATTAATTAAACATAAACAATATGTGAATAGATAGGTTAAATAGGTTAATGTAATTTGTAATTATTTCCATTTATCTGTTTCGTATATGTTTTTGTTTGTATTTCTTTTTAAAGATTTGTCGTGCTTTTGAAACGAGCAATTATTTCGGTTCGTAACACACATTTAGTGCATTTATTTATATATACTTATGGAGGCTGCATGCGTGCCTTGACTTTTTCAATTCATTTGCTTAACTGGAAACTAATTTAAATATGCTATCACAGTTTCAAAGTTGCCAACATGCAGACAACGTGCGCAAGCCAATGCATGTTAGAGAGACTTTGTGTTGTATATATACGTATATATATATAGAACATAGCTTGGGTCCTTGACAATTAGTACACTTATCAATGATAACAAACAGGCAAGCCAGCGATCGATCAATCGATCGTGCGTTCTATATTATCAGTCGATCAATCGATCACGTGTGCAAAGCGTATGGCTGCTGCCGATTGGCATCGGTCTCTAGGCCAGCGCCGGCTGTATTTGTTGTTGTGGGCGTGGCCGTGGCATTATCAGCGCTGCTGCTATGCACAATGCGTATCATACCCGGCTGGATCCTAACATTTTCACAGGCTTCGCAAATATTCAATTGCGGATGGTTGCGGAATGTACACAAGTTGCAGGCCCACATATCCAGTGGCTCCTCGCCTTCGTCCACCTCCGATTCGGACAGGGACTCCTCCTCTTCCTCCTGATTGATATGGTTGACACGTGGCTGCTGAACTGCTACCGATGCTGTCGCTGCCGCCGCTGCAGCTGCTCGCTGCTGCTGCAGAAACTGCTGAAACTGACAGTATTGTGCATAGGTGGGCGGGGGCTGTAACTCCAGCTGCAGTTGCTGCTGCTGTTGCGGCGTCAGGCAGGCCGAGCTGGGCGCACTGCTGTGATGTTGCACAAAATCTAGATGAGACTGTGTCGGCGCGGCGGGCACCGAATGCAATCGCAGCGAATTGGGCGGTGCCAGAGTGCGACCGCTGCCAGGTACAGCGCGCTGTCGTGGAAATGGCTGCTGTTGTGGCCCGGCAGGCGCCGATAGCTGACGATTCATGGAATTGGATGCGGCCGCAGTGCCATTTAGCTGGGGATCTGCAATGACAGAGATTAATGTTTAAATCAATTTCAGTTAAATACAAATAAATGCTTACCATTGATCATATTGAGCAGCCGCTGACAGTCCTCAGTTAGTTTTTTGATATCTCTATCCAGTCTTTCGGATTCGCCCACCGGCACCGGTTCGGTCAGTATGTTGATCTCCTGCTCCAGGCTAAGCAGACGCTTCTTGTTGTCACGCAGCGCATTCGCCAGCTTGTCGCGTCGCGTCTTTTGCCGCTCAATGGTCGCCGCATGCGCTGCAAGCAGAGTTGGCCAAAAATATCGAAAAGTTAACGCATTGTATATTTACTTAACTTAAATGTATTTATGCATATGTATAGATATACATAGATGAGGTGTCTTTGTGTGCGTTTCGGTCTTTTATATGGCTCAGTAGCTCACATTTTATTACTCTGTTTGTTGCTAAAAATAATGACGCGCATTTTTGCGCTGCCTAAAGTTCATAAACAATTTTAAATATAGTCAAAATGCGCAAACACACGAGAAATCAATCTAATAATAATTTATTTTTGCTGAAAATAAGCAGCGCAAACGATTTTCGAATTTGATTTTAACAAACTTAAAAAAAAAAAACAGTTCAAATAAAATAAAATAAAAGCAAAATATTTTTAGACATTTTGATAGATTTCTAGCGGAAATAGCAAACAGGGCAATGGGCCAAGGGAGGAGACAGACATAGACATAAATTCGTATACATATATATATGTATAAACAGATATATGTATATGTATATGTATATATATCATATATATATGTATATGTATATAACAACTCGAATTTACGTCATTTGCGTGTATTTTGCAGACATTTTAATTGATAAATTAATTCATTAATGCGGCCGTTGCGAGCCGAATTCCAAAAGAATAGCATACAAAATTATAAGTGTAAATGTTATTTCAATTTGATTGACTGTCGTCTTTAAAATACTTGGCTAAAAGCAAATGCTTTCTTCAGTGGGAGGATAGACAAATGCTTAAGTGCTTTTAAAACTCGTGATTAAAATTCAACGCGACAATTTTCATAATTAGGATCGGAGCCACATTATGGCATTAGAAAAGCATTTGGACTGCCCACGCTGCGTATGCTTAATGTGTCAAGTGAAACGCCTTCTACGATCTAATTCGAAATTCGGAATTCGGACTCGGATACGGATATGCATTCGGAATTGGGCTCTGTTGTTGTTGTCGTCGTCGTCGCATTTTCGCCCTGAACTTGAACGAGTCGCAAAAACAATAGCATTGCAGAAAAGGAAAAGAGAGAGAGAGCCAAATTGTTGTATAAATAAAATGTCGTGGACGGCAGGGCGGGTGGGGGTGGCACATTAAGCAAATATATATTTGAGAAAAACACGAAACGAAACGAAATGAAACGAAATAGAAACAAATGAGATGAAATGTACAAAGGCCAAAGAAACCAGACAAGAGACATTTCAACAGAATATAATGTGCCGGACTCTAGGTATTATATACATGTACATACATAAATATTGAAGCGTGGGCGCGCCATATTATAACACATACATATATACCTCATATATAGGTAGGTAAATTGGATATATAGGTAAGCTATCTGTTTTATTGCCGAAGGGTGGACATAATGCAGCAATCGAAAAGGAAAACGAAAAAAATATCATAATTATAAGATGCATGAGAAGATTATTTGGGTATTATCTATAATTTATATTATGTCTGATTTTTCTATTCGCTGGCAGTTAAGTCAGCCGATATTATTTATTTGTCGAAAATGAATTAAGAAAATACTACTTAAAATTCGAAGATTAATTTTATAGAACAATTTAACGATATGGAAAATTTTTAGATATTCTAAAGAGCAAGAAATATACTAAAATTTCTTAATAATTTTGAAGATTTGGCATGCCATTAAAAGGTTTAGTTCTCTGATGGCAGGACTTAACCTGATATGCATATTTACTCATAGACATTTATCTGGCCCGTGTGGTAGGCGGGCATTAGAATTCCACCACAGTACATTCCCGCTTGTCGTAAGAGGCGGCTAAAGGGATCCCTAAGATCTTAGGAATGAAGATTGGAACTAACAATCGAACCTTCTCGTATATCATAATTTCAGCCCATTATCCGAAAATCGATAAATATCGATTTCTATCATTTAGGCCCTCATTTAACACAATACCGAATATTAATACTGAATCTTTATATTTTAGATACGATTGAGCTTCTTTTATAATGACAATTAGCTTATTTATTCTATTCAACACCAAGGTAAATGTTTATTTTAAAGCTGTCCATTTAACAACGAGCATTTTTCGCGGAGCGCAATATTTGGGGCGTAATTCAATTTGTTATCAATTGTAAACAAAATGGCCTGATAAGGGCCGGCAGAGAAGAAAAAAAATCCCCCTATAAATAAAGCCTATGGAGCAACAGAAACAGAACGACGACGTAGATAACAGGCGATTTCAGACATGCGAAACATTTTGAGGTCTAAGTATAATTTGAGGTACGGCTGGGTTATTTCTAATCAGATTTGCGTTTCATAATATACTATATAGGCGATTATCATGCTATTTATGTGTTAGAAGTTGAAAACTTTCAAAATACGCGACATAAGAGTAAGAAAAAGTAAAATTTAAAGATAACACTACAAAAGGAACTAAAGAAGGATGCTGGTTCAAATCTACGGCGATTAAGCAGCTACAATTTTTATTCACAAGTTATATTACGCACTTAAAACCAATTAATTTATATTGAATAACTGTGGCTAAAAGCGCTCATCATTTGTACACTAGCCAGAGATTTGAACCAGCAACCGCCGTTTACTGTTGCGACTGCCAAGAATGCTTGTCTGTTAGAACTGAATGGGCGATAAAATGATTTCATATGCCACGGCATGTCGACACTTGCCGATGACGATATACCTGTCCCCACCTCAATGATTCGACTCACCTTCTCGATCGCATTCGGGCACAACGCCCTCGTAGAGGGGCATGTGTGTGACGCTGGGACTGTTGTCGCTGCTGTTGCTGATGTTGTGCAGATGGTTGTTGTTGTAGTTGGAGGCAACAACATGATTCTGCGCCTGAGTGGGATATGGAAATACTTCAGGCATCTCTGATGCTTCTGCTGCGGCAGAAGCTGCCGCTGCCTGCTCCTGCAGTTGCAGTTGCAGCTGCAGTTGTCGGGACGTCGGAGTAGCTGCTGGCGGTGGCGTTGCTCCATCGGTGGCTAGCACTGGGGGCGGCGGACAGGGCGCATATAGCGGCGCCTGCGGACGCACACAGCCGGCACTGAAGACGCTGCCCTCGTCGGTGACCGTTAGTTGGAAATTCTTGTGGGTGCCGCGACGCGCATCAAAGCTGCTGCTCGAATAGGTGATGCCGCTGCTGCCGTTGCCGCTGGGCGCCGGTCCGGCCGTAATGTCTATGGTGGAGGGTGCAGCGCCGTTGCTGCTGACCTGCGGCTGGCGCAACGTGAGATTTAGCGAGGTGAAACTCTTGCGACCGCTGGGCGTGCTCGCGCCGGATGTGGGCGATGGCGGCGTTGGCGCTGGCGAAATGGTCACCGCGTTGTTAAGAAATTCTCGCGCATACGGCGGCTCCGGCTGCAGCGTTATAACTGATCGATGTCGTACGGGTGAGCGTAACTGCGCAGTAGCTGGTGAGGCGGGCAGCGCTGCTGGCGTCGCAGTAGCAGCAACAGCTGCCGCCGTTGTAGTTGTTGTCGTTGGCGATGATAAGGAGACGTTGAGCGACAGTTCCGACTCGCTGGAGCTGAGCGGGCTGGTGAGACAGGAGGAATCATTGGAGAAACTGCTCATCAGTTGCTGCTGCTGCTGCTGTGGGAGCGAGACAGCTGCATGCGGCTTGGGTGGCAGCGGCGGCAATGGCGGCGCGCGACGCAGCGGCTTGTACTGCGCGCTGGGCGTCAGCTGTTGTCGCTGCGGCTGCTGTTGCTGCTGCTGCTGTCGCTGTTGTATCTTCTGCTGCAGCTGTGCGTTTAGCTGACGCGGCAAATTCAACGTCGTTGGGCGCGGACGTGCAATGGGCGTGCCTGGTGGTGTCTCAGACGTGCCATTACCAACGGGCGGCTGTGTGGGCGCAGCACGTGAGGGCTTCAGGGGCGTGGGCGGCTTGACCTGACGCTGCTGCAGATGCTGTTGCTGTTGCACCACCTTAGCGGGATACGACTGCACGGGTGAGGGATGCAGCACCAGCTCCTTTTTCAACATTTGTATGCAATTGTCGCGCTGATGGCAATTCTCATTGACGCATTGCGTCACCAAAGCATCCGGTAGCGTGGGAAACTCCTGTTTCATCTCATGGAACAAATGCATAATACTAATGTTGGTGCACTGGCAGCTTAGCTTTGCTTTTGGCCGGCACGCTGACTCCTCCAGTTGCTCATAGCTGCTGCTGCGGCTAATGTTGTTGATGTTGTTGTTGTTCCGCTGCTGCTGTTGCTGCTGAAGCTGTTGCTGTTCCTGCTGATCCTCGTCGGCGTTGAGCAGTGCCTTGAATTGAAAGTGTTGCTGCAGTTCCTCGACTATGGCGGGCGTGTTGTTGTTGCTTGTTGTATGATTCGTTTGTTGTTGTTGCTGCTGCTGCTGCGGATTGCCATTTAGTTGGAAATTATTTGCTCCGGGCGGTATTGGTGGTGTGGCCGCCATTTTAGGCCATCATTTGTCACAGTTGCAGACCTGCAATTAAATTTCGGTTTTAGTTGGCGCATTTCGCAAGCATTGTCAAAGCTAATTCAATTAGCAAATGGAAAACAATAAGAGGCACAGGAAAAGCCAACGTCAACCGGCAATCGTCATAGCCAGATTTAGCACAGCGACTAAGTCGGCAAATTCAATGCAAAAGAACCTGGCAAAAGTCAAGAAAATCACAAAATCACGAAAATCAAAGAGCTTCAAACAATTTGCTTAAGCGCCGAAAACGATAAACAAATGACAGAGAAAATTTAAAAATATTTATGACACAATAGACCGCATAAAAAATTGCTCAGGTTAAACAAAAAAAAAAAAAAACAAAAAAACAAATCACATACATAAATAATAATATTAAGAGTGAAAAATTAGAAGAGTCGTATTAGCTAAATCTTGATATCGCGTGCCGCTGTTGTAGGACAGTGTCAAGGATGACATAAATATATATACTATATAGATGTATGTATATGTAAAAGCCAAGTTAGATACAGAATAACAAATAGAGCACATTTTGTGCATATTCATGGATAAAATACTATTGTTAATAAATATGCATATTTGAGCAAATACAGGCATATCGATAGAAATGGAGCACATTGATTTATGGGAAATGGCAACAATTTATCAAAAGTTGATTAAGGCGTACAAATATAATTAACCTTAGCCCACTTACATCTTGATTTAGGTCAAACAGTTGAATTTTGTATGAAGTTGAAAATGCGAAGTCTGCTTTTTACTATTTTGATTGATGATGTTTTTTATATTTAGCGAACAATTCTAATTACTTGTTTGATTATATAGATAACTATATTTATTTTTAAACGTTTTAGAGTTATATTTTTTATGTATATTTTTGTAAAGCTTTTATTTTCAGTTGTCGTGTTTCGTTTTTAGCTTTAGCAAACAATTTTTCGAACCTTTTTTAAGTATAGCTCATTCATTTGAACATAATTTACATTTATTTTGACTAAAATTTAAGTTCGGTGCGCCTCGAACGAAATAATTGCAGCTTTTGCTGGCTTTTAAAGTTTTCTATTATTTATTTATAATTTGCTTGTTTATTTTTGCCAGTTTTCCATTAGTTGTATATTTAATAGACAGCTGGTTTGTATTGCATTTGTGCGTTTTGCATATTCAGTTAATTGTTAAGTTATTTCACAAATTTATTTAAAACTTTGCTTTCTGGACGTTTCTACGCACATTTCAGTTACGAATTTATACGACACAGCAGGAGCTAATGTATATATATATATATATAAAGATATTTATTTTAATATGCAGAAAAATTCTTTATCAAAACGGATTTTCCCGCAGTTTTCGAAAAATGTTTTCAGACGCGTTTGCACGCTTTAAATGCCAGCGATAAACTGAATTTCGAAAATATTCAAAAGAATTCGAAACATACAAAACACACACACGCGTGTGTGCCTATGTATTTGTGAGAGCATATACATACAAATTTTTTGAACCGAATGAATGCCCTCAAATAACAAATAACAAATTGTAATTTCCTTCTCAAACTCGACTGAACCATGTGACGTATGCGTAATGCGAAAACTAAAAATATTCGCGATATTCGCAAATGAAGCCACAAAACCGACAAAAACTTTTAAGCTGCGCGCCAAGTCGGGCCGTATTATTTATAGTGCAGAAGGCAACATTAAGATCAACTGTAACGAATCAATTAAATCATTCAATATTTTTGACACACGCACACAGTCAAGCATTTTGGCGTAAGCATAAAGGAAAATAATTATTTTATATTTGTATTGAAATGTGTTTTCCTTCTCTCTCTCGCTCTCTTTCTTGGTTTTTCTTATAAATTTCTTAAAAATAAACTTTTGAGTGGGTGTTGCACAAAAGCATCGAAAATTGAATGAAATCTTTGAAATCTAGCAAAATAACAACAACAAAGAATGCTCTAGTCGGTTAATAGCGACCGGGAGATACCCTGCACCCAGCGCGTAGCTGCTGTCAAAATCCTTCGAGCTTCCATATATGTATATCTGGATATGCTCCAAAGTATCTGACAGCCCAAGTTTGGTTTTACTCAGGATGTTTAAATCGATTTCAATCGAGAAAGTGAAAACAGGACGAAATCTCGCTAAACTCGATATATTTCCTTGACTAGGATGATCTAAGTTCAATATTCAAAGAGTTCAGCTCTAGTCTCCGAGATCGTTGAACATATATACTTTTTGGGTTTGGTGCAGTTCGGATTGGTGTTTGGTTCCCTTGCCTGTTTCATAAATTCCCGCAAAAATAATATACCCTCTTTGGCTTAGCTCAATGGGTTCAGGGTATCAAAACACAAATGAGCAGCATATAAATTATGTGCGAGGTGAAAGAGTTGTTTAAGAATGAAATTAATTAAAAATCAAAATAACATGTCTCGCAGAAAACTATTAAATAGATATGTATGCGGGCACTTAATAGCCAGCCATGTGAAAATTAATCGCGGACATCAACACAAGGATTAAATAGAAATTAATTGAATAAGTATTGGAACGGCCCTCGTATTTTTATCGGGCGGCATTTGCGGCTCACCTGAGCTCTTGATGGGCTTTGGAGAAATAGAAAAAACTACTGACAAAATAAATAAAAACAAATAATAAACTTCGAACACACGCACACACGCAAGTGGAAAATGAAATATACGAGTATGGCAATAAAAATCAAACATTTATGCACAAAAAACGTATTAACAATAAAGCATTGGCATTAAATTTGGATATGGCACATTAAACATGGCGCCATTAAACTGGCCACAGGCATAAATAATATTTATATTTTTATATCCAGAGAGAACAGCCAAGATTTGTTTCTAGCCGTCCACACGCATGCACACATGAGACACACACACCCGCGCACACACGCACACGAACATACACATACATTCCAGAATTTGTTTATTTGAAAGTTTGGCTCAAAAGCAAACATGATAACAACATAACGAAAAATGCGAGAAAACCCAAAATTAAGCAGCAATTAAAATGCAAAAATACAAAAATTAGCAGAAACAACAACAACAAAAAATGCTTGGCTAAAATTATAAAAAAAAATCGTCTTTCTTTTTCGTTCCATAAAATTCCAATCCAAAATTTTGCAGCTACTTGACGCTAGGGAATGAACGGAACGCCAGCCAAAAAATTGAGCAGGCATTCAAAAAGTATATCGAATTTTTAATACGCTTCAACATTTTTTTTTTTTCTGGAGGTTCGAATCTTAAATTTCTTACCGACGCTTGCCCTGAAAAGTTTGGCTTTAAAAAGTGTATCGAATTTACGGTTCGGGGGTTCGAACTCTAAACTTCGTGCTTGGCCCAGCAAGCTACTGCTCACATTTCAAAGAGGATATTTTCTTATCTCTTGCAATGCTACTTATTCAATACCATATAAAGTGTATAATATGATCGGCACAAATTTAAACACAACAATTTTCTTTTCGGTTCTTTTTTCTGGGTTTCTTTTGTGGAGTGAGAATGGGAGGCGCGGCGGCGGTGTTAATGAAAATTTGTTGAATTTCAATTAATTCTCGTATTCGCGTTTTGTTTGCCAGTTTCGTGAGGCTTATAGCGAGGGTGTAGCGCAGACACAAACATGCGAACGACTGCAGACGTAAACGACCTTCACAATTAGCGCGATATATGCAATAGATACACATATATACAAATATTTTTATAACTGTGTATATATCTGTGCGATATACGAGATATGCACGAGTCTTCATCTCGGAAAGGAAATCGACGTCAAAAAGTGCAGCTAGTATATAGAAGAAACAGAGAGTATATGCATACTATATATAATATGCTCAGGTAACCGAATGGTTTTTGACACACGCAAATGCCTAAACATAAAACTTGTGCTAAGAGCGCAAAAAAGAGAAACACAAAAATGCACAAATTAACAGAAAAAAAGTTTACAAAGTAATTATATTTATGGGAACACATATAAGTTTTATGGTGGATGCGGCTCGGTTCGGATCGGAACGAATCTTCTTGTAATTGGACGGAACAAAATTTCCATTCATTAAAATGCTTTTGTGCAAACTTTGGCGGCGCTTCGCGTGTTTTTCGCAATATTAACATTAAAAAAAACCAAAGGAAAAACTAAATGTGTTATTGGGTTTTCCGAGCAGTCGATCAGCTGATTTTAAAGTTGAGCAGCTGATGTTCACTGGGGTTATCCCAATTCAGTATATACATAGTTTGTTTTTGATAATGTATAACATATTAATGTTAAAGTTGATGGTAACATAAATGTTACAACTTATGTTAACGATATGTTATGTTCGGTTTCCGACCAGTCAATCAGCAGATGTTTAAGTTGAGCATCTGATGTTTGTTTTTAGATAAATGTTCAATGAAATGTTAATGTTAAAGTTTATGTTAACCTTAATGTTAAAGATAGTGTTTATGTTATGCTATGTTAGATACAAGCTATATGGATGAGTTATCGTTGCAAATCAAGACATAGAACATCTACGAAACCAATCTATTCTTGAAAGCTTATCAACACAGATGAAAATAGTTAAGCAGCCCTTGAACTGAACCGTAGAGTTACGTGTATTGCCGTTGTATTATCATCAAAACAATTTCACGTCTATTTTTATCAATTAAGCAATCCACATTAAAGAGATATGTTTATGTAGATAACTATATTGCCCGTCTTCGAAGGCCGACTATTTGAAGTATCAATGCATTGACCGGAAATCTAGTTGTCTGCCTTGTCAAAAAATAAATAAATAAAAATATGAAACAAAGAAACTTTGAACACAAAAAATGAAACCAAAAAAAATGCCTACCCCTTGCTGCAGTCTCTTGCTGTACATTCGGGACACTCAATTCTGAAACAGAAAACATACGGATTGGCCGAAGACAATGCGTAGAAAAACTAGATGGAATATAACTAGATAACAGTGCTATACTACATGGAAAACAACTTTCACTTTGTGTAGGGAACACGTACGAAAAAAAAATACAAAAATTAGGATGAAAAAAATGTATAAGTATAAACGAAATATTATAAATCAAATGCAAAGACATGAAATGAAATGGAAACAACACGCAAAAATGGAACGAGAATAATTTTATTTTATATTATCTATTTTGTTTTTCTTTCTTTTAATTTTTTTTATTTTTGTTTTTGTGCGCCCGCTGCTTGCCAATAATTTGAAGAGGCGTTTTGCGGAATTTTCTGCAGACGTCAGGCCTTGACTGACGTCATTAGCGCGAATTTCAAATTGGAAACAAGACAGAAGAAACGTGGCTCGAATCTCCTGTCCTGCTCCTGCCTGAAAATTACTTGGGCGCTGTGCGAGAATAAAAGCGATTATGCCGCACACAGACATCAATACGGGTTACATATTTATTTATCCATGAACATTTGTTGTTCTCCTTCTCTTTTACATTTTTTTTTTAATTTTTATTTTTTATCTTGGTTCTTCGTAAATGTGCAAATAATCAACGCGGAGTCAAAGGCAACAACAATTTGAGTTATATTTAGACGATGTTCATTTGGGCGTAAAAAATAAATAAATGACAATCAGCAGAGGGGGCAGCGCGACTTGGAGGGGTTGCTAGCAGGTGGGGCTGCCGCTTATCGTCGCTAGCCTGGGAAACGCTTTCGTGCTCGGCGACAATTTGGAATCTTTTTTTTTTTACTTTTTTGACATTTCTAACGATATTGATAAGCCAAGGGGCTCATGAAGTCAGGCCAATTGCAAACATCGCGTATACAGTTCAAACTATTAACTGTATACATACGTATGCATAGTTTTACATGTGTGTGTGTGTGCGTGTGTGTGTAAATATGCAGGGAATTTCCCGCATTAACAGCAACAAAGAGCGCGAGAGCAGCCCCAACAATAACAACAACGACGCATATAAACAAAGACGTAAAATGGAAACAACAACACAAACAACGCTGTGGCTGGTGTAAATTGCAAAATGTAAAACAAAAAAAATTAAGATGCCTAGAGATGACAATTAGCGAAAATTAACGATTAATGCACCAGCAAGGGACAAACGATATCTTTATCCATGTTTTATATCGTATTCAGTTTAGAAATATTTCAGCTTAGGACTAATCTTATAACCATCACTAACTTAGCTTCCCCGGGAGTCCAAAACACGTCAAGAGAACAAATTTGTTAAAATATATTCAAGACATCTTAACCAAACTCAGCGGACATCGTGCTTCTATATCATAAATCCATCACGGGTCAAATCACATACAAATATTTTTACATTTACACGAAAAGTCGTGAAACGTTTCTTACTATCCACTGACAACACTGGCACCTGTATGCGCCGAAATTAGGCAAATAAAAAAGTATATGGAAAAAAACAATGAGGGCCATTGATAAAAGCATGTTGAAAACTCTGGTACATACATAGAAAATCAATATTTGCACTTTTAGATTAGAAATTATGAGGAAAAATATAATAACTAATACATGCGTACTAGGGCGCACATGTATTTAAATATTTTCATAAGAATTAAGGCCATTATGGCAAATAGGCAATGGGCCGGACCCTGCACGTCGGACCCCGTCGTTTCCAAGCCCGGGCCCTGTCTGAGTTTTGTGTGTTATCACTTGCGAATGGGGCGGGGGCGGAAATATTCATATAAAAATACCTACAAACATATACATGTTCGCTCGTAAATGTACGTACGTACGTATGTACGTGCACTTAAGCACACACACAGTGAAATAAGAGCATGAGTGTGCGAAAGAGACACGTAGAGAGCGACAACAGCGACGACGCTGCTGTATTAACGGCAAAAAACGGCAACAACAACAAGATAAAAACCAGCCAGATCGTCTGTGTGTGTGTGTTGTGTTTCTGTGTGCGTGCGAGCGAGAGAGCAAGCACATAAAAACAGGTGACATTGGCAGCAGCACTACGCAATAATAGATAAAAAAAAAATACATAATTCAAATAAAATGTAAAGTGCCAGCCAGGTTAAGAAATTACACGAAACATGGCCCAAAATGCATAGCCAGTGTGTACACACACGGATTTATGAGCGGGAGTTGGGGGCGGACGCAACTTGTTGCGTTCATAAACGTAAACGCTTTACATATTGTTATTTCTATTTTCCACTTACCAATATTAATTATTAGTATATTTGTAAAGTGTGCGCCTTTGGGCTGTGTTTATTGCTCAGCACTTTGCGATTGCATCAACTTGTATTTTCACTTTTTCTCTCTTTATGGCCCTTGCGTTGGCGCTTGATTGGCTTTCACTATTGCTTTTGCACTTGTTGCAAAAAAACGCACATGCACTCGCTCGTCTTTTTATTCGGTTACGTTACGTTTTTGCGAAGCGTTTATTGGTATTTAATAATAATTATTTTGATTTTCGTTTTATTTCTACGCGATCCGATTGATCCGCGAACTGTGTGGCAAATGGAACAGCTGATTGATTGATAACAGAGAGTAAAATTTAACATTTTGCTGAACTGTTAATAACAGCGATAACTTTGTAATTTGAAAGCTGTCGTTGCTGTTTACTGTTAGTTAAGCCCTGAATCAATAATGGTTAAATAATACAAAATTTTATTCAGTCTAAAGTTTGCTTAAAGAAAAAGCATCGCGGCTTAAAATGGAATTAACAGCTCTTATTAATAATAATCGATGAATAGCAGGAGATTTTTATTAAATAAATATCGATATATCAACAGCCACATATACCGATATTTCATTTGATACATTGAGAAGAATCTGGAATGACTAAACACAACAGGTAAATTATTTAAGACAATTGGGCACACGATCTTACCGTTAGGTGATCTTTCATTACAAATTAAACAATTTAAACACAGCCTTTGGTTTGCTTTCAAACTGCCATAAGCAACTTGATTGTCTTATATTTGCGTTTAGAATAAATGAAGAGCTTTAATACCAAACCTTGATCAAATTACATTTACCATAAATAATATTTGAGAAATTGTTCAACTATATATTTAACATACATTCGCAGATGTAAAATGGCCCTAAATCAGTCCAAAGAGATAGTAAAACAAGGGCAAGACAAGAGCCGCCTTCGCAGCTGAAATGCCGGTCACGCCAATAATCAGCTTGAAAACGCCGTAGAAGAATAATAGCTGGAGCGCCACATGCAGACCCAGGAGGCTGTAAAACAGGTGGGCAGGTGTTAAATATTGCAAGTGAATTCAAATAATATTTACTAACATTTTATCTTTACGACGTGCTTTTTCCAGATTCTTGGGCGATTCCTTGCTCAGATACTGACGCACTCCTCGGATTGTGTTGGCAAAGTACTCATCCCATGTCAGTTCCCCGATGTCAATTGTAAACTTTTTCTTATCCACTAGATTCATTGTTTTGGACAGCGCCAGTAGACGTTTGCTGTCAAAATGCCATTCGGTGAATATAAAACGCTCCAAGGTATTCAACGAGTTCCAAACGTTCTTATGAAGACGTATCAAGCTGTGAGCAAGAGAATTGTGAAGATCAATTTTAAATTAAAAGCTTGCAAAGCGTGCTAGCAAGGTGCAGAAGACATGTTCGACCCCCTTAAGTTGTTAAATCCTTGATCAGTCTGTCCGTTTAAAAGCTATCTTATTCGAACTTGAGATAAATCCTTTTCTTTTTTTGGAAGCAGAATTAGACGATAGTTGGCAAAGATCGGGCGATAGGAAAGTTTATGTGTGAAAAATATTTTGATTTTCTAAAATATCCCCGCCTTTATGCTCTCAATATTCGAGCCAAATCTTATCAACAACGGACTTCCATATCATTTAGTTTCAATTGGAAGAATTGGTCAGTTTGCAAAGATAACCTGCGGCACCTCGAAATTCATTGTACTCATTTGTTAAGACTTAGCAACGCACATGGGCCTGCCACCGGAAAGTTTGGTAACCAAGTCGAGGAAGAAACCTGGTATGAAATGGAATAGTATAGCGCCAAGACGAAACAGCATCAAACTCCTAACCAGGCGCAGATTGGGATACCAGACGGCGCTATTGAGTGGATAATCGTGCAAGTATCCATTTATTTTGTCCTTTAAAAACTCGAAACGAAATGGCTTGTATGTGCTTGATGTCAGATGGAAAATCTGCAGCTCTGCGGGACGATCCGCATTCTTCACTCTGCAATGGGATGGAAATGTTAGCTAACAGGATATTTCCATGCCATAATACCTACTTAAGTGAATTGACGTAGTAGCCCGTGGTTATAATGCCATTTACCACCACATCGATGGGAATGTAGTCCATAATTATAGTGGGATCCAGTGGCAAACGACGCAAAATGCCCTTGGATGCGCCCATGAAGAAGCCCTGAGGTCCATTCTTGGATATGGTCCAGCCAGGTATTGGCTCCTTCCAAGCGGCTGTGACTGCAATGAATTAATGGCTTTATGATAACAATAGCTTTTGTGGTAAATGGTAAAACTTACTCATGCTGGGACGCACAATGCCGCAGGGGAATTGTGAGGCCACATTGGCCACTTCATGTTCTGCCAGATGCTTTGTGAACGTGTAAGTGTTAGGATGATCCTTGAGCAATCTATAAAACGTATTTAAAATTGATAACTTATAATAATTTTAAATACATCAGCAACTTACTTGGGCTCCAACGCCTTAAGCGCCTCATCGTTGAGCGTTTCCGCAAGCTGTATAATCTTTTCTGGATCATCGGGCGAGGGATATAGCTTCTCTTCCACTTCCGTAATGTATGCATTTACATATGCGCTGGACACATGCACCAGGGCGTCCAAGTGGCGTAGCTGCTTGCATAGTTCCACCACGCGACGTGTGCCACGCAAGTTAATGTTCGTTGTCTCTTTCAGGGATTGGAAAAAGTCAAGGGTGGCAGCTGAGTGGAAGACCACGTTCACGTTTTCGATAAGAGTTTCGCGATCCTTTGCTGAAATGCCCAAGTGCTCTAGGCCGACATCGCCCTCAATGGGAACAATCTTGGATAGGCGCGATTCCAGCTGCAGTTCTTTAAAGCGATCAAACACTGAGTTCTTCTTCAGCTCCTCCAGACGCTCCTGCACGCTCTTGCCCTTCTTGGCGCGCATCAGCAGGTACAGCGTGCCCACATTGGGCACATCTCGCAGCAGCTTCTCAACTATGGTGACGCCCACAAAGCCAGTGGCGCCCGTAATAAAAACATTGCGACCCGCATAGAAATCTGCGATGGGCGAGCTGCATATGTAAAGTTGATTTAGTGAAAATATGATAACTTGTTTATATAACTAACGCTGTTTTATTTATTAACAGATTCTCTTGCATAAGAGAAAAACTTTCCCCACGTTCAATCGTTGCTTTGATTATGACAACAAAAATGCGCCTGCGCACCAGCAAATTCGAGTTGGGAGCGTACAACAAGTTCGTCGCATTTCTCCTAACGTAGTGCTCCAATGTCCAAAGCTCAAAACTAGTTTCTTTATATGGAAATAGCTATGGAATCTCATATATGTGAGTTCTGGCTGCTGACTGTCGGTTCCAATGTTTATCTAACTAACGACTACTCCTAGGCGGCCTTTTAATGAGCTGTGGGCGTGTTGATTTTAGCGTAAAGAAATAGCGAAACAATCAATGGCAAAAGTATTATGATATAAGTGGGATCACAGAAGTTCAAACACTCGAAACGATGTGAAAAATTGCAGTACTAATAAGGGAAAATCATGCCATTAAGAAGCCTAATATAAAACTAAGCTGTAATAACTAAGCTGTTATATAACTAGAAAAAAAAGGGTATATTGGGGTTGCAAACAAAGGCAAACAAGTATCTATATTCTATAGCTTGTACATTGGCTTTTAATATTGACCAGCCATATATCGCTAATTAACTTGAAAACTGTCGGAAGTCAAAAAATCAGATCTTTGAATTAATGCTGAAGATTATCTTTATATCTTGTACACCCTTCATATGTGAGTAGATAATAATTTCTACTGTTTTTTCTACAAGATCGTGTTTTTCGAGTTAGGTTCAATGTGGGAACTATATCGTGACATTATTATAATAATCTCTGCAACCTCTGGTATAATAACTAGACAAATTCACAAAAATTAACATCAAAGTTGCATATGCTAGTAGTAAGTAGGTCATTTAAGTTGTAAGATGCTCTGGATAAGACCCAAGACTTGTGTTTTTTTTCAAAACACGCAACAGTAATTTTAATTAGCTAATTTCGAACTTCGCTTTGTTTTTGGCCCTAATGATGCTCCAGTCGTTGTTTCTCCAACATGTCTCCGGCTTGTCTACGCTGCGGCTGGTCGTGGCAAATGATTTTATAATGAACAAAGCAAATGATTCGTGCGTAATTTGCTTTTTGTTTGTTTGCTTTTTTTCTTTTTTTATTTATTGTCTATTGGCCCGCAAATGGCAATTGGCTGTTGTTGATGTGTGCAATCTTTAGCTTCAATGGGCACTTGATCAATTTGTATACTCTGTGCAATTTTGAGGCCCTTCATTTCAAAGCTCGGCCCGCTGCAGCTGCAGCTGCAGCTCGCTGCCTGCCACACAATGCAAGCTGCTGCGTCATGACAAAAAGTTTTGATGCCCACTTCAGATTCGGCTGAAACGCTTCGACTAGCTGTCAACCACATGAAGCTTTCACTTTGCGCCACACTCAAGCGACCGCCTGGCAGCTGAACCAAAACTTAATTTGGCACTCACCTGTGCTTCTAACGTGGCAACAACTTAGCATAAATTAAAATTGTTGTTGCGGTTTTGGCTTGGCAAATTTGCAAATTTAATTTTTCGTTTTGGCCACGCAAGCCCTTAGCCAATTTGCTACTGGCTCTTGAGTTTTGTTAACTTTTTATTAAATTTTTATTTATATTTTTTAAACATTTTGACGCTACAGTAAATTGTGTTTTTATCTTGAGTGGCGCAGTGCAGTGATTAGATTTTGGCTGAGGCTTTCAAACTTGGACAAGTGGAACACTTATCTATAGCAATTAATTGTGGGCGCTATAAATGGAACAAGTGCCAAGCTGCCACTGGAAGTTAGATTTATGCAAACAGGTCAGTTATGTGGCATAGTTGTATTACAGTAATGCATTTCTCTATAATACTCCAATAGACCATTTATATAGTTTACAAATCGGCAGTTTGAAAAACGTAACTCTACGCCACCAAGTCATGCCGGATAGTATATATGGATATGTTTTACGTCTAAAAATAGTTTTAATCAACTCAATTTTAATTCTAGGTTCGTACATCAACAGGAGCCGCTTTTAACTGAACAACCGTGCGGACAGAACCGACCTTGTTGCCGGCCATAGAGACGGTCATAAATTGCTATTTGTGGACATAATTGCTGGTAATGGAGCTTGTTTTCACTGGGCATCCATTGGGATTGGCCACCTTTGGGTTTGGCGTGTTTTGTATTTTTCCACTAGAGTTCCTGCTTCATATATCAACAACGCCTCCAAGCAGCTTGAGGGTCTAGCGAGATAGAGATAGAGAGAGGGAGAGAGATGCTGGCAGAGCAACCAGTTCTCGCCACTCAGAGTGCAGCAGATCATATATGTATGTACATATATAAAGAGCTTGCGCTTTAGGTGTTGCGCAGGTCAAAGTTTAAGAGGCGTATGGAATGTGAGAAAAATAAACGTTCAATTTGTTCAACAAATTCCCGCTTCAGCTAAGTGCATGTTAACAATTTGAGAAAGCATATTAGTTTTTCGAAATATTTTGGGCATATTCTCATATAGTATTCTCATATAGTATTCATATTAGTATTGAACAATTTACTCATTGTCCTAGACTACAAATAAAATGATGATTACAAAATAGTAAAGAAAGTTTATGTAGTGTTTCTTTATGGCACAAATAGTATTTAATATGGTTTTGCTTCTAACTGTAAGATCTTTTACGTAAGCTATCAGCCACATGCATATATTAAGAAACTCTCTAAAATGTAGACTGCGTGCAGCTGTTAGGGTATTTATAGCTTTAAAACTTCAAAGATTGAAATTTGTAGTTGTGATTTTGGCAAACAGCTCTGAACTTTGCACCACATGTTTAAATTAAAAAGCAGAAACACTGTAACACACACAGCCACATACACACACACACACACACGCTGACTAACTGTCAAACTAGCCAGAGGTATTTGTTAGATGAGGCCCTATTGTGCAAGTCCATGTCCAAATATGCTTACCTGGCCATTGTAATCAAGCAGCTGTTGATTGAAGCAGCGAATATTCAGTTCAATGTTATATCGTCTATATAGATCGATCTATCGCAGCAGAAATGCACCAAATTTCTCTTTTTTTCGATGTCTCTAAACTTAGCTTCTTTTAACGTTGCTTCTTCCTCTTTTCACTTGGTTGTTTGTTTTAGCGCTGTTGCTGCGGGTAGTAAACAATATGCGCGCATACATGCAAACACACAATATATATGTGTGTATATGTATCTGTGAACAGTTACGTTGGCTTGTGTATGGGTGGGTAGCTGTGCTCGTTAGGAACTCTTCGTGGATCGTGCGCTCACTACTCACAACTTGCACGTTTGCCGGCCGAAGCGAAACTGTTTCATCGGCTCGCGTTGATCGCGTCTCGTGTCTCTCGGTACGCCAATGATCAGCATTATGATCAAAATCGTCATTATCGTGTTCAGCCCCAAACCAGTTATGCAGTGGCGTCTATAGCAAGGGGATTAGCTACTTTTTCTTGCTCAACCGTAACGGTTAATTTTGAAAAGAAATAATTTTTATACAGAACTATACACAGTTGTGAATTAAAAAAAAAATTAAAATAACTAGAACAGTTTTAATTTATGGATTAACAAATTAATTTTCATTAACTTTGGGCACAATAATATTTTCCAAGCAGACTGTTTCAAATAACAGATTATGTTAATTATTGCCAACAAATGCTTTAAAGTAAAAAAAAAAAATTAGCTGAAAAAATAAGATAAGATCGTAGCATACTTTGGGGCTGACATTGAAAACTAACTTATAAACAGAAAATTTAAGTAGCCTTTCATAAGTTCTATGTAAATAACTCAAAAAGGATTACAAGCAGGACAAAACTATGAATCATAAAATATAATTGGAATATGTGGACCAAAGCTTATCCTTTGTATTTTTTAGAAACAAGTTCAATAAATTTGTTTTTTTTTCAGCTGCTGTACAGGACTATAGGAAACTGCAGAGGTAAATTAAATATATTGTAAAGATGATAAAAAGACTAGTGAAAGAAAACAAATTTCTTATATGGTATGTAAGTCACGCCAAGGCATTTAACCTAATCTCCGATTAGGAATCGAATCCGAAATTAATAAATTTGTTGAAAAGTTTCGTAACGATGAAAAGTAGGAATGGAAGAGAGTTCTTTCAGGTCAGTGTTAGGTATGTTATGGACTATAAAAAAACGCTTATAAAATTTAGCTTAACATTTATGATTGTCATTTTTATTTCATTAATAGTTTACATAGTTAATATTTTATCATTACCATTTTGTTTCGTAATTTACAAGTGCACAAACATTTGACTACTTGACTATATACCAGGACTATTTGTTTAAATGTGACTACGTTTTGAGCTAAGTTTTAAGCTTGTTTTAATTGCAGTGTATATTGATTGATTTGTTTACTCGATTTTTACTATACTCGTATTCGCAATTGACTTGTACTCAAGTGTGAGAACTTAAAGTAAAAATACATGATATATCCTATGAAGAACAATTACAACGATGAAGACGACTGAGCTGAAGGTGTGAAAGGTTATTTTGGACTGAATATTGCACAATATGAGCGAACAGGATCCTCTCATAGCGAGCCCTACAACCAGACCAGGAAGCCCCAAATGAGGACAGCCAACGTCAGGCCCACTGGGAGGCCCAGGAAAGGCGTCAGCGCAAAGTAGAGAATTGCAAAGATCGCTACAAAGCCGGCATAGTACAGGACGTTGAAGCTGAAATTGAGGCCAATTAGATGAAGAGCTTGGAAATTCCGATTAAAAACACTTACACCTTCCAATAGTTGCGATGCCATTGTGTGGTCACCGCCGACTCCTTGAAGTAGAAGCGTCTAATGCCGATCAGGCAGCGATCGATAAACTCGGACCAATCACAGCGGCTGGCATCAAAGTTGTAGCGCTTGCGATCGCTGTCATGGATCAGTGAGGAGACGCGCAGGGCATTCTTCATGGAATACCGGAAATCCTTGTCCAGGAAATAATCAAATGCCTTGGTGCCATTTTGGAACACGCGCATGTACTCGTAGGCGCTGCAGAATTTAAATATGGGATTATTTAGAGTTCACATTTGGAGATGGGTGTCCACCTACGTGTGCTGCGGCATACCAATGCCAAAGAGCTTCTCCGGTATATAGAAGATCATAGCGGGCAGCAGATGAAAAAGATAGAAGAACAGATTATAGCGCCAGCCATTGCGCAGCTTCGTCTTTGGCTTCCACACAAAGCTGTTGGGCGGATGACGTTCCACGCTGTCGTTGATTATGTTGCAGAATTGCGAAAGTGTCAGCGGATTCACCTCGCCCGATGTGCAGTGTATTATCTCGGGCTTATCCACATGACGTGTGCCCACATACCAGCCCATGACCAGGGAGCTGTTGATCACATAGTCGCATGGTATGATGTCAATCACGGCATTTGCACGGCCGGACATGGTGCGAAAGATGCCCTTGACAAATCCGGCCAGGAAACCCAAATGCCCCGAATTGGCATTGCCCACCCAGCCCTTCATGGGATGCTCCAGTGTGCCGTAAACTATGAATGGGACATAGTTGATTCTTAATGGAAGCTTCGTTGGTAGCTGGACTCACCTATAGATGGCCTAACTATGGCTGCTGGCAGACCGGACATCTCCGCCATGAGCAGATTCTCAGACAGATTCTTGGTAAACGTATACGTATTGGGATGATCCTTGAGGTAGCTTTTGCACTTCTGCTGCGTGAAATCCACCCAGGTCTCTTCGTTCTCCGCCATTTTCATCATCTCGTATGGATCGAACTGTGACTTGTACACATCTTCGGTGATCAAGCCACGATTGTTGCTATTGCAAAAGGCCGTCGAGCAGTAGATGTAGGCGGACAGCTGCTTCAGCTGTTTGGCCAGCTCAATGGTGCGCATGGTGCCCGTCAGATTCGTGAATATAGCAGTGCGCAAAGGTGAATTGAACCTGATCGTGGCGGCACTATGATAGATCACATTCACACGATTGATCAGTTCCTGTAGCAGATCGTTGCCAAAACCAAAGTTCGGCTCGGTCAGCTCCCCCACGACTGGCACGACCTTGGCCAGCGTTTTCTCATTGTACTTCTGGAAGATCTGTGGGTTGAGAAGATACAGATGGGATTCTTTTGTATATATCATTTTTTAATATTATGCATGGCATGGATGTTTCAGTGATCATTTTCATTAGGGTCGATTGTTAAAGTTCGAGTTGAAGAGCCTTAAAAATGTTCTCTTAAAACGAATTTGATCAATTTGATTTCTATGACACTGTGATAGTCTAAATATATTTCGCAATACCATAAAATTGAGCAATGCCAGAATATTTCATATCCGCATTTTCAACGTTATATGGCTCTACTCCTAAATACTGAGGAATAAGGCCCACGCCTTACACAGAAATAAAAACTCTCTGTACTCCGAAAACAAACTGGAACTTTCATTAAATTTATTATAACACGCTGTATGTTTGGAGTCTGCTTAAGAGTGTATAAAATAGAAAAATAAAAAAAGAAACAAAGTACATTTTGTTATTACGCTATTAAAAGCGCGTTTAAAATTATAATGATGGAAAGAGTGTCAAGAGATCTGGCCAAAAAGACATGCGTATCTACATATGTTATGTAGTACTCACATATGCGGTTATTACAATTGTTGGCATTATAAAGAGCCGCTAAAGAGGCCTGCTAAGGGGCCGGAGCGGAAGACACTTCGGCTTCGACAAATTAACGCACCATGAAGGCGGCCGTAATTGTCTTGAATAATAGACCCGGGTCGAAATGGGTCAGCCTACGGTCAAATGTTGTCGGAGGCGTGGCAAGGGTTGCGGTTCGACGATGTATAGTGATTTTTTATATATATCTAACACTCACCGGCTTCTGGAGCAAGCGATTGATGCGCTCGTTGGGATCGAAGTTGCGTTTGCCACGCACCAGCACATAGATGGTGCCGATATCGGGATGTGTGTCCAGCAGCGCCTCGATTAGAACCGTGCCCAGAAATCCGGTGCCGCCGGTCACGAAAATGTTTTTGTGCGCAAAAAATTCGGGCACTGTCAGGGCGGTGCTTAGCTGACGCTGGCTGCTGTTCGGCGATGCAGTTCCAGCTTTGCTGATCCCGATTTTACTATTGTTGTTGATGATGTTGTGATTGCTGTTGCCATGCTCCGTTATGACGGCCATGGTGTAGGGCTCTAGATTTGTGGGTGGCGCCAACTTGCTGCTGGATTTGTCTATGGTTGCACGCTGAAAGTTATGAAAACAATTAACTTAACATGAGTCTTCCTTCATTTTGATTGGGAAGGGAGAAGAAAAAAGTACATATTCCTCATATATACGATATATTACCTACCGTTTTTTGCATATAGCTCTTATAAGATCTGAGCTATGACTCAAAATCGATTTTTATCGATATTATCAAATATCGATTCTTATCGATATTATGGTAAATCGATCATTATCGATACTGTAAATATCAATTTTTATCGATATTGTACAATATAATTTTTTAACGATATTGTAAAACTTCGATTTTTACCGATAACATAAGATATCGACTTTTTATCGATGTACTTAAAATTATTAATTCGTTCTGCGTATGGTATACGTTTTATTTATAAAAAATTAGCTTTAAACGAGTTATTTCCAGCTTTGAGTATCTAGCTCTCTTTCAAGACCAAATTTGATCGATATTATGGAATCGGTTCTTCTTTTTCGAAATCTCTTTTTTATATGACATCCTATCTACAAGATTCTGTATATCTACATACATTCTCGTTTTGTAATTGGGTAGGGGTTAAATACTTATGGATAGTTTATATTTAAATTTCGGATTTTTGTTAGTTTTTTAGAGTCAAGTTTACGAAGCAGGCCTTGAAATGTGCCTCTATTGCTTGTCTAAGTTGAAGGAGTATTGTATTTCGAGTTTTACAGTTAATCAGATCTGTTATTATTTGTTCAGCTCCCGGGGAAAACAGTTCACAAAATTTTGGTCTACTTTTTGGAAAATATTATTTACAAAAACAAATAACAAACAAAAGTTTTTCAAAATTCAACGAACCCAAAAAGCTGCAGTGATAGTCCCTGAACAAGAAAAATGAATGTGGCAAAGAGTCTGAAGCAGTGCGCGCGTGCTATGCGGCAGCGCGGCTGGCGAAGAATACCGCAGGATATTCAGGTGGGTTGTGTTGGTTTGGATCAGCGGCGCAATTATCAGGATGATTCCGACTGGTCGTCGAAGCGCGGCGAGGATGCGGGTGTGCAGATGAAGAATGTGTATGGCGAAGATAGGCGTTTCGATCCGCGTTACGATGATCGCCACTACAAGAGCTACTATCGCGGTGATAGTATGGTTGATGGTAGCTCAAAGAGCGTACCCAGCAGCCCCAAGGATCCGGAATCCAGGCGTCGCATCACGCAGGACACAATGGATCATCAGCGTCGCCAGGAGCGCATCATTGAAGAAAACAAAATCAGGTGGCAGCAACGTGCAGAGCCTAAAACGCCTGTGTCGCAATACACACACCACACATTTTTCTCCGCTGAAAATCCTCGTAAGCCTAGCAAGCAGGCAAACGAGGACCAGACTGCCGAGGAATACAGTCGTCGTCGTCGCCAGCAGCGCCTGAAGGAGGCGAAGGAACAGGAGCGCGAGTTGCGCGAATCGCGCAAGGGCTACAATATACCCAAGTCTGAGGATGAGCAAGGTCCACCTGAGAATTTGGATACCCGTTATGCTAGCGAGGCTTGGCTGGAAAAACGCGATCAGGAGGATGAGGCTCAATACTGGCACACCTGGACAACCTGCCCCGAAGAGCGCCGAGCCAAAGAAATGGCGAAGGACGCTGCTGCTGACGAGGAGGAGGATGAAGGTGCACCCAAATACAACCCCAGCGAGCGTCGGGGTTTCGTTAAGCCCACTCTGCCCTATGACAGCAGCGTGCGTCGCTTTCAGACCCACTCATTGCAGCTGGCTGAGAATGACGTGCCGCCCATGGAGCCGCCACAGCATGCTGCGATGGATCAAGGACAACCTAAGCGTCGTCGGCCCAGCGGCATGGAGAAGCAATTTCTGCTGGCCCGGGATTTCAATCGTTTGAATTTCGTTAAAGATGAGACCACCAATCGACCATCATCCTTGTTGCAGTCGCACGTGTTCAATTTGCCGAAGACGGTCTATGCCGAGCAGAGGCGTCGAGAAGAGTTGAAGGATATCGAGCTGCCCGAGCAGCCGCCGCGCAGAAAGCTAGCCTGGCAGGGCCTGCCACGACCTGTCTACAAGCGGTTTGATGGCGTCAATCGCGCAATTGCTCGCAACGATCAGGTCCAGCGCAAGAAATGTAGAAAGTGCGTGGAGCCTCCACGTTTCCGGATGACCGTCAAAAGCAAAACGCTGAGCCGCAAGCCAACGCCCATTGATAGCTTTTCCAGCTTGTTGGCCGTCAGCACAAACTACACACCGCACAGCGAATACACTGGCTATGGCCGTCAGACTGTCTGCGATGCTTGGCAAAACTTCACTAATGTGCATAACCTGAAGCCAATTTACTGAAGAGCCAGGGGATAAAGTGATGGGTATTTTAACAGCTCGATTGGAAATGATAAACAAACAGGTAAAAAGAGTATTATTTGTGATAGTTTATACTTTTATTAACTAGTTTTCGAAGTTTGTAGTGTCATTTCGACGATTATAAAATTTATTTGCGTATGGAGAAATAAATTTAAACGTTGCACTTTTGGGAAACCGAAATTGTGTACAAATTCTCTGTATGAATTTGAACCAGCGCTCTTTTACTTGTTAGATCAAAGTTGTTTTGCCCCTACTTGGTCGAATAGCTTAGCATATTTTATAAGGGTGGCGATCGGTATAAAATGACATACATATATATTCAGTCTGCAGGCAATATCTATCGTAGTTATTGCTCAATATCATATCATACATATACTAACGAGTAAGAGGTTCTAGTCGGGAGCTCCTGACTAGGGGATACCCTGAACCCCTCTTCTTCCAACATCAAATGCATATATATATTTTATTTTAGAAGCTATGTCAAGTTTAGTGACTTGTTATTATTTACCAAAATTGCCAAAAACAGGATATCGATATCGATTTTTATCGATTAATTGGAAACGGAGCAAGTTATTGATTATCAGAAGCAAACTCGATCTGCGCGGGAACTAGGAAGCACCTACATCTAATAATTTCAAGTCTCTAGCTTTTAAAGGTTCTGAAATCCCTGCGTTCATACAGACGGACATGGCTAGATCGACTCGGCTATTGATACTGATCAAGAATATATATACTCTATGGGGTCGGAGATGCTTCCTTCTGCCTGTTACATACATTTGGATTTTGCACAAATACAATATACCCTTATACTTATTTTCAATGGGTACAGCGTGTAAAAATTGTGTAAAAATTCTTTGTGGAAATTGTTGCTCAAATAGAACCAGCGATATTTCGTTTGTTAGTTCGTTGCTCGGTTCTTACAAACCTTTCTCTATTAAGTCGAATATTCCAAAGCCCTGTTTTGCTAACTAAAAGGAAGCTTTAGTGAGAATTTAAGGACTGTCTTTTATAAATGTACATATAGGTAGTTTGATTATCTTGGTTGTTAAAATATTGCGCGTGCTAGCCGCAGTCCTTCATCGAATTAGTGGCTAATTACGCGAATATGTGTAATATACAAAGCCAAGCCACATGCTGTATATCTGTGTGCCGCACACCAATTTGATTTTATTTTTATTTTTCGTTTTTTTTTGTGGTTGCCTAAGGTCCCAGGCGTATTGTGGCCAAAAACTGCGCAGCCATTTTGAGATTAATTTTGATCATTTTCTGTGATTTGTTCAACGCATGAATTTGTGTCAAGGCCGCGTTGAAAAGTAATTCGAATAGCATAAAAGATTTAAACATTTTTGAATTTGACGCTAGTCGAATTGTTGTTGATTATTTTATCATTTTATATGTATGCGTATATTTTTTCTTTTGATTTTTTTTTATTTTCGTTAAGACCTGCAACTTAAGATGCACGGTCAGGGCCAAGTTTCTTTTTGATTTCCAGCTTGTGCGCAGCGATAAGCAATGCCCCAGATAGTATCTCGAATCGTTTGATTTTTGGTTTCCTCAGTTTTTTTGACAACCTGACGCTAATTAAACATGTCTAGCATTTAAATCGTTTTCGTAATTGCGGTTTTCAGTTGTTTTGTAATTAATTAGCCAACCGATTTCTAGGGGCGTGCTTGGCGAATTGCAGGCCACAACAATAGCCTTCGCTTAATTTTCAATTTTCACATATGAAAAGCCGTCAAAAATTAATTTTTTACCCAACTGATTGGCTAATTGACCAATGACTCGGTTTAAATATTTTATTTTTATTTGAGTTTTTTTCAAGGCACTTCAAATGTTGACATTGAGCTGAGAATTATGTAAACTAAGGTTTCTCGGTGCATTATTGAATTGCTAACTAAGATCTCGCACAAAATGCCGCATCATGCTCTGGGTTCAAACTGTATTCAATGCCCAGAAACTGGTTTCGTTCGCATCGACCAATGAAACTCTATGTGGACTAGGTCTTGGGCAATATCAGCATAATTTTATCTGACCTAAGGCGCCATGTTTTATATGCGCTATCGGTTAAGCTTCAGCTCAAAGTCAATGAACTGTATGCCAAACCGTTGCTCAAAGCTTTATATATAGAATGCCTGAAAGTTTTTTTCTTTTACTATTTTATGAATGTATTAAAGTTTTTATTTGATGATGAGTTGATTATTATTGGATTGAAAAACCCTTATTTGAATAAGTGAGGTTTGTCACTTAAAACACGTAGAAACTTTGAGAGCGAAATTAAAAAGTTTGTTGGTTGAAATTACCCGGCATTGCTCGGCTCAAATCAATAATGTTGAAATGTCAGTGGTCAAGCGACAGCTTTGGACTTATTAAAGAAACATACATTTTCTAATTTAAATATTTAAAAATATATATGTATACTGTCTGTCATCTTCTACTATCTTTCATATGGACAGCATTGTCGTTAATAAAACAATTATAATTGTTGATAACGACTCATTTTTCATTATTGATATTATCACTGCTCTCCATTTAAATATTTGCTGGATTTGAACCGGCGATCCCTAGAATGTGACGAACAGATTTAAGGTAAAAAGTTCTAATTGCGCCTGAATTGTAAGGTCTGCTCGATTTGGCTTAACTTTGCAGGGCCTGCATTGTTTCAATGCATTTTTCAAAGTTTGCATTATATTACGGCTGCCTGCCAAGAATTATTAAGCAAAGTCTCAGAAGATTCGCATAAATGCATTCATCACAGCCGGAATCGCAATAGAGCGTAAGGATTGTTGTATGCGATTTGTTTTCGGGCAGGACAAACTCTACTTATGCCCAGTATATAGATAAGCCCGTAAATGCGCGTGTGCATCTGCCTATATATGCATATATACATATATAAATATATATAGGTGTATATACATATCTATGCATCCGTTAAAATATATATATACAAAAGCCCATGTGTCTGGTAAATTTTTCAAGATTTGCATAATTTTGCTACGTTTGCGTTTCGCTTGCTAATTTTGTTTTAGCAAAATGACAGAGCGTCTGAGTCGCTGAGTATCTGTATCTATGGCCAACTGCGGGTATCTATGGGCAACAATGTGTTCGAATGTGCGAGAGAGCAAAATCGTTTATGCATATTAAATCTTTTGAAATTTCTTTCAGTCACACACACGCGTCTATGTGTTTAGCCATTTGACCTATTTCGTAAATGCAACCACAATCAGCAAACAGCAAACACTCAAAACAACAAACGAACACTGTCTGAAAGCGTTTTGGTGACGTTTGTAAGGGCTGGCAAAAATTTAAGAAAAAAATCTGTGACGAATTTATAAAAAACATACAAAAAAAAAGGGCCAAACACATTTTATGGTCACTTTCTATTTAACGATGCAAGATCTCTCTGTCAACATGAATCTCACTTTTTTGGGCTTTATTATAGTTTATATACTTATCGATATATTTCGATATATTTGAAATTCGCAGCTTCCGGCATAGCAACAAAATGTGTAACAATTTGTTTTTGTATGCAACGCATCGCGTTGGCTGAACTTGATAGCCGTTTTTGGGGGCGAGTCGTCATAAACAAAGCGTCAGCAACAACAACAGTAACAACAATTGCTTTTTTATAGTGCGTATTAAGTGCGCGCACTTTACTTTCGGGGCTGGGTCTTTGTTTCAGCCATTGCCGCCTTTGGCTGTTGTTGTTGTTACTGGCATTTGCATATTGTTGTCAGACCTTAACATTGAAACTACAAACGCTTGACGGGTTCAATCAAATTGTTGTCTGTTTGCCTGTGTGTCTATGTGCTCGCATAATTGATGCTTTCAATGTCGCGTGCAAACTTGTCTAAATCAAAAGACTTAGGCAACGAACCTGCCGCGCCTCATTGAATATACCTTCCGCCAATGGGTGTGAAAAAGAGATTGATACTCGAGCAATTCGCACTTTATTTCTGATTTTTTTTTTATAAATTTTTTTGTTCGTTGAACAAATAGACAATGGGATTTTGCTGTTTCGGGATGCTGCCAAGTCAAAAGAAATTATAAATAAATAAAACACAGTTAAATGGACATTTTGGCCAACCGGTTTGTGGCATCATAAAAAAAAAGTAGCCGTCGGGCAGAAATTAAATAAATCATATAAAACAAAATTGGCCACGCTGTCGAAAAAAATGTCGACAGAAATTGTGCGGCGCAGGCCAAAACAGAAAACCGAATAACCGAATAACCGAAAAGCCCGAAACCTTCAAATAAAATAAAATGCCCAAACGCAACGCCAATGAATTTTCCAGCAAGAGCGCGCAAAACGTGAAAAACAAACCATCTTTGACTTGCGTCGCCAAAAACTCTACACACACACACACACACACACACACAGCAGACACAACCACGCACACACCTATCTCAAAGTTAAAACAAAACACAAACAACAATTGAAAATTGCCTTTGCAGGTAAAGTGAAAAGGCAGCGTGTCAATAGAAGAGCAAGTCAAGTCAACAGGGCACAGTAGATCAATAGATCAGCTAATTTCCTGGTGTCAAATATTTTCCAAAATAAAATAACAGAATAACTCTGAGCACAGATCAGTTGTGGGGCGTGGGGGCGAGGAAGCGGCGGCGGCTTTCGTCAGAGCGCTTCCGTTTCGCATTGATTTAGTTTGGCAATCGATTCTCAATTCGATATCGAATAGTTTTTTTTAGCACAATTTGGCAAGCACATGTGTTCAAGGCTTTAACGAGAGACGCGAGTTTCACTTGATTTCATTAAATTACTTTTTATATATACAGTGTACAACAAATTTGTGGCGTAAACTAACCAAAAAGTTTGGATTCAATCAAAATCCAAATAACAACAATTTTCTGTTGTTGTCGTGACGGCTTCACAAATATCGCTGTAGAAGAAGTTGCTGCCAATGCCGACGCACGCTCAACTCGAACTGAAACCGAAACCGAAACTGAAACTGACTGAAACTGAGCGCAGCGGCATCGACATGAGGAAATTTTAAATACCCGCCAGGCAGGCAGTGAAAAATATAAAAAAAAGCAACAACAACACAAAAACACGAAGACGTCCGCATGGCGAACGAAACCACGTAATGAAAATCGGAACACTAAATAATAAGCTCAAAAAAGCCAAGCGAGCGTGCGCGACAGACTAAGAGAGCGAGAGAGTGAGAGAGAGAGAAAAACACAAAACCAAACGCAAACGCAGCAAATAATAAGTTGTCTGATCGGAAATGAACGACTAGCAGATACCCTAAACACAGCATTGGCCTTGATTAGCTTCGCTGCTTGTTTTCCGTTTTGTAGAAAATTATCTGGGCTTAAATTTTACATCCAAATGTGTATAAATACCTAAGCATAAGACTATAAGTCTACAAAATTATTTACTTTTAATGCTGGATGCAAAGGGGGGAGGTGACTAAAACGTTATGAGTCCTTGTGTGCTATCCTGAGTTGTGCATGCTTTACATGACATTTTGGAGTCTCTAGCTCTTATAAGCATCTAGATATGCTCAAAAAATAGTATTTCGATAATGGTTATTATTTTACAGAAGCGGAGTAGGTTATCGATGATTTGAAGCGATCTGAACCTGCGTCGATGTGAACAATGGGATCGGAGGTGCCTTTTTCTTTTGGTACATAAACATGCACAAAACCCATAGACTCATTTCGGATAATGGGCTCAGCGTATTTCGATAACGATTATTATCGAGTTCACATAAGCAGGTTAAGTTGTCGATGATTTTAAACGATTTGAATCTGTTTCGATGCCTCTTCTGCCCTTTTACATACAATTGCACAATGCAAATAGGCCAATTTTCAAGAAAATGATAAGCGTATTTCGATAACGATTTTTATCGATTTCCCAGGAATGGGCTAACTTACCGAGGATTTGAAGTATTCTGAATCTGTGCCGATGGGAACAATGGGATCACAGGTGTCTTCTGCTGCCTGTTACATACATATGCCCATTACCAATAGACCCATTTTCAAGGGGCTACAATAAAATTGTGCGCAGAGACTTGAGAGCCAAGATCAGAGACCAGAGTCAAAATAGCTATCAAAGAGCTTTGAGCAGCTACAACAACAACACTTGAAAGTACCGCTACTTTGCGCTCGTAATTTGTTGGTTAGTGAGAAAGCTGGAGATCTTATGTTTATCTTTATCTTCGTAGCCGTATCTATTACGAGAGTGCGTTTAGCTTTTGAGCAGCTTGCTTAACGCATTTGAGTGTGTTTATTTGAGGCCATTAAATGTTTCACTCATCGTCTTGAGCCACTTTTATGATAAACAAAACAAATCATTGATCAAATGAACTGCTTTTGTACCAAGCTATTTAAATGCAAATGACTGAATTAATAATTATGAATTTAAGCCATAATAACAAGTGTTGCCAAAAACAAAAGTAAACCAAGCAATCAAACTAAATAATTTATAAATGTTTTCATATGATTTTCCTAGGTTTTCCTTTTGGTTTAGCTGTTCTAGTCAGCAGTTTCCATATGGTTACTTGAGAATATAATCCGAAAACAGCTTTCGAAATGGAGGCGACTGCGAGGCCAATTCGATTTCAGTTGTTGCTCATTTTAACCACATTCTGCCAACGCTTGCATTTTCCCGCTTAAACGCAATTCTTGCTGATTTAATTGGTGTCAATGATATGTATGCTTGTTTGTTTCTAGAGAGAACTAGAAATGGGGTAAACGTGTGTGTCAATAACAACTCAGATATCGAATGCAACTAATTCTCTAATAGATTTCTATGAAATGTGATACGATCACCTCGTGAACCCTTGTTGTTTTTATGGCACAGCAAATCTATTGCCAAAGCCAACTTAGTTGTCTCTCAATTGCAAATGACCTAAAAAAAAGAAGCCCACACGGCTGTAAGTTTCCCGTTAAAGCCCCAAACAAAGGTTACCCTCGAGCCAGCAGTTGTGTATATTATAATCTTTGCGGAGTACCGACAAAAGAAATGCCTAAAATAAAATTTGACAGTAATTTGTGCGACACGCAGAAGAAAGAAAGTGGGCGGGTCGAAAGTGTGTAGGTGGGTGTGCGTGTGTGTGTGGGCTGGAAGTGTTTGTCTGCGGCTCAGCGTGGTTTCTATTATGATTTATGCAAGGCCGTTCAATACGAACATGCAGTTGGGTCACAAAAACATAAAACAGCTGAAGGAAAATATCTAAAATCTATAAAATGTATAAAATGTATACATAAACCGGAAAACGAGCTAAGAGCTGGAATTTCCGTCTTATATTTAAGTTAATTTGCCAATACGAAGCCTTTAATTATTTTTTGCCATTAGTTAGAATAAGAAAACTTTCCAGCTATATTTATTTTTAACCGACTGCATTTTTAATTTGATAGGTACTTGTAATTTTAATTGGTGGAATTGATGACTATGCGGTAGGATTTGTTGTTAGCTTTGTACTCGTGATTATTTTTTTTTTTTAATTTATGCTAATGATAATAGCAGCAAATTTCTAATTAGCATAATTTGTATTGATTGCTGGGCCCTCGGTACTTTATCTTAGAATGAGATTCGCACAAAGCGGCGCGTTTGTGATAGGTAACAGTTTTATGTTAACCTAAACAAAGGCATTTCCGTTAATATCTCACTCACGAGCATCTTCACATTCTGGCCTATATCTAATCAAATGGCCCACAACAAACCGCACATTAGCCATACAATTAACATTAATTTACATTTGAGTGGCCATTTCGAAAATGCATTTCATTACCAAAGCCGAGCACTAAAACCCTCATGATTTTATCGAATTTTCAGCTAGTCACCCGGCACTTGCCAGCTTGTCTCGTTGTTGGTTAACAGCTCTTGCTAACTGGCGACCACTTGTGGGGCTCAGCAGCAACTTTTTGCCGCGTCACGTCTTCAAGTAGAGCTTGCACTTGGATCTGTGACACACACACACACACACACAGGGGAGGGCTGGCGTCATTGTCGCAGACGACGTCACACAAGGCGCATGAGTAATGAGTTTAGCTTTTGTTACTTGCTTTATCAGTTGCTTGATACTGAAAAGCTCATTAAAGGTCGCCTGATTTTTATTTTAGGTTTATCAATATATTTTCAAATTTTAATTTTAAGCTACTTTTCTCAGTAGTGAAAACATGGAAAAAAAACTGGGTGTGTATTAATATACCTCATAAAATACCATAATTATTACCAAGAATTATATTAATTATATTCAAAATAACTTTGCAATAACTAAAAGTGAATTCTGATATTAATAAATATTATATATTACAGGGTATAATAGCAGCGAGTTTAATCATTCGTTTTATTTGTTGTTTGGCTTTGTTTTAACTAAATGGAAATTGATTATTATGCGTAGTGGACCATAAAGCCGGGACTCGAAAACTCAGAGCGATGACAATGCACTTATCATCGCCTGGAATGCGACCTTCGGGATTGTCCAAATATTTAATTGTTGAAGGTTGGCGGCTTTGTTGACTTACAGAGCAGATTAATTGAAATTGATGACAGATTTAAGACTTATGTGTGTATCTGCGGTGTATTGTTTATTTGTTTTGTTTTGTTTTTTTTTTTTGTGAACTGCTTTTAAGTGAATTTGAATGATTTTGGTATTTTAAGCTATAATAAATCACCACGCGCAGCGCGGAGACTATGCTGTTATGCTGTGGCAACGCTGGCGGAGTACTGCTTGATGGCAGATGGCAACGCTGGCTGGTGTGACAAATTTGAAACTCAGCATGCGCCAAAAGTTTTGTAACGTTAAGATATGAGTACTATATCGTACAAAAAGTCGTAGGCAAAAACAAAATTTCTTTTGCTCTCGTCTCGTATAATTTTTATGTTCTCTTTTCTCGGGCTGCTGAAAAACGCATGCGCTGGCAGCAACAACAACGACAACAAAAGCTCGAAAAGTGTATTTCATTCAATAGGAAAACCTCAGACGACGGTGGTGGAAAAACCAGGCAAAGCGAACGCAAAACGGAAGCGACGAGCACTGCGCAAACTGCGCAAACCACGAGCCAGCAAACCAACAAAAAAAAAGGAAAAAAAAAAGCAACGACAACAACAACAAGGGTGAAAGGGTGTGCATGTTTTGTTGTTGGGCCAAAACTCACCACCGGGGCGCGAAAAGAGGGTGGAGTTGCCCTCAGTGAGTGAGCGCGTGTGCTTGTGCCTGCCTTTGTGTTTGTGTGTGCGTGTGTATGTGCGCGCAGCCGCCAGCCCCCGTGAATTTGCTTGGTGAAATTTTGCTGGCGGCCCGGTTTTGCGGCCCAGCAGTTGCCCAGTCGCCCAGTTGCCTGTCGCCAGTCGCTAGTCGCATTTCGAGCTGTGCTGCTCAAGCGCCTGCCGCCACACCACACAAAAAGTTAAGAGCAACTAGCAACAAAACAGCAACACCAACACCAACACCAGCAACAACAACTACAAATACGCGTCTTCTACAACATTCCCACGATATCCCCTCCCGCAGCCGGAAACTGGGCAGGGCGCTGTTTTTCAAAATTCTTAAACGCGTGTCGCGTGTGAAATTTGTGTGTGTGTCACTTGTTTTGAGAAAGAAAAAGTTAAGAAAAAAAGCAGCTGTAAGAAACAAGTGAATACTCCTACATCACCACCACCACCACCACCACCACAAACAAGAACAACAACAACGCCAGCACAGCCAACTCATCAACCAACTCCAGTTCAGTTCAGTTCAGTTCAGCTCAGCGCCAGGCAGCATCCAGCGACGATTCCAACCTCACTTTTGTGCCGGTATGTACAACACCCCTGGCTCCAGAGCCCCATTGTAGGACGCTCTACCCGATACCCCCACTACCCAAAAAAAAAAAAAAAAAAAAAATTATTCGGTATTTATAGTGCATAATTATGTGCCCGTTTGTTGTCAAATTTGTGGCCAGCTAGAACTTACAGCAGGCATTTATTTTTAGAGCCTCGAGAC